AGGTTGTCCTAGTTTGTTCAAATGTTAAATTTGCACAGGCGTCAGTATTTGCTTGCTTAAATGCAGCTGTCATCTCTGCTTGACACACATCTCCGGGGCAAGATCTGTCATTAGGTGTAAAAGGAAAATTAATCAGGATAAGCGAGTGGATGATCGCATTTACAAAAGCCAATGCAATCCACTGATCTCGTTGTAAATTAGAACAGCAGGTTTTATGGTCGATCCCAGAGTATTTCTCTAAAGGCACTGAATGGCTTGTGAGTTGTAATCACATCCACCGTTCACACGTTTCTAAAAGTGCAATGGCGGCATATTCCATTTTTAATCAACTATAAGGAAAATATCACTAATTTCCATTACCATCTTCTCGGCTAATAGCGGCTTTAAAACACATATCTCACTTCTTCCACGAGCGGTCGATCGAATCGAGGACGAAGCTTTAAGATTAAACTTTTATGCATTGCTTATTTAAGGTAAGTGATAACTAAACAAGAGTAACTTTTCATGTTTGTGAGAAATGTGTCTGTAGCTTCGTTCCATTTGCCTATCCTCATGATCTTTAAGTCGTACGAAATGTAAACGACCACGCTGTGAAAGTATACAAAGGATGAAACTTCGTTAATGATAACAGCAAAAACAAACCATCATTACGCACGCTTTCCTCTTAACTGTTCCTTCTTGTTGCATAAATAAGACCAAATTGTTTGATCGAAGATAGAAATTCGGTGTTTTTTATCCAAGCTTTTTATGTAATTTATTTTCGCCCATAGCAGTGATGAAATTACTATTTTTACATCAGTGAGACTTCATGGACCAAGTCAAGTATAACAAAACCTTTTACATGCTCTTGTTCTCTACTAAAACAGGGACAGAAATAAGAAGAGATTTGATTATTTTCTTGAGGAGAAATTTTAATCAACTTGCTTTTTTTCCAAAATGGTAGAAAACAATCTCGACGTAGTTGATTCTCATTTTCATTTATTCATTTCAATACATTTATCGATGACCTGAGAAAGAAACACTTGGTAGAGTTTAAATCAACAAAACACAGACATAGATCATTAGCAGTTTTAATTTTACGTCCTTTTTTTAGGCTTTATTGATCTCTTCTCATCATTATTTTTTCAACTGGCGCAGAGTCCCTTTTCATTATTCCACGAAAAATTATATCGTTATTACATTTTCCCAATTATTATTAGCGTTTTTCATCGACTCGACAGAAATACAAATTTTTTAATGAGCGCCTTCTATGTTTTGCTTTGTTACGACTTTCTGATTTCCTTTTTTTCTTTTCTCGTTAGTTTTAACTGTCATTTCACCCACGTCAACTTAGGGAAACTGAAAAAATATTTATTTATACTTCTCCCGTTCATGATTTTATTTTAAATTGATGTCACTAATATTCAAAAGAACCAACTACATTAGTTACACTACTAACATTTAGTACAGGATGACGAGCGTAATTTGAATGGCTTTCAGAAAGCTGTCTTTAATCTTACCGAACCGGGCTTATGATAGCTATTTACGATATTAAAAGTTATTTGAAATTCACTTCCTCAAGTAAGGCAGACGGAGAAGTTTCTCCTCGGTTCGTTTGATAACTTTTCTTTTCAATTAAAAACCAGGAAAGCTTTGCAAACACAATTTTCATTGACATTGATTTCTATGCAGTGCTTCATCGCCATAAGAAAGGTTGATGTTTTTAATTTGTTCTAAACCTTACAAAATAAAAATTCACAAGTAAAATTATATGCCCATGTGAATTAACAAAAAGCGGGCTATCTTTGTGCGCCATTTGATGTATTGTACATGGAACTAAAAGTGCCGTATTCCGGATTCTCGTAAGTAATTTTTCCTTTTTGGGTAATGCGACTTTTGCACTTTGAAATTAAAACCATTTGGAAAGTGCGAAGTTGCACTTAGTTTATGGATTTCTAAGTGGAACAAAATTTGCATTCTACCTTAATCTTAGAACCAAACCTATCTTTTTCGTTCAGCAGGTATGTAATGAGGAACATTTCAAATTTTCTATCAAGAATCTTTGCGTTGCACTGTTACCTTTCTTTTGGGGAAAAGGAAAAATTTCCATTACAATTCAATGAGTTACAAACCTACTAAGAATTTAATCTGTACCTGGAAAGATATGCAATAATAGAAAACTTGAATCAATATATAAAACAACAATCTGATTAGTTCTTATGAAAAAAAAAGACCCTCTCGACAAAATATTACGATTCACATCAAGAACGTCATGGAATCACCTTCACGAATCGCAAAATTCAAGTGTGAATTCACGCTGGCCCAAACAAATGAAACGCTGAATAAAGCAGTGGTTAATTCATTCATTCACTTCTTTTGTCATCCATATTTTCCGAGTTGCATGCATAAATATATTTTTAGTATAACTTGCCCTGAGGAGAAGAAGCTACAAAATATATCCTCACTCCCAAAAAGTCAAGTACGATGCTAAAAGAAGCAATTTGTTGTTGTTTGGAGGCGTATTGTCTAAAGTGTCTTCTGATCTATTATGCTTTTCTTAGATGCAAATACGAGCTTAAGAACGATGTGATTGCCCTAAAGTGAACAGAAGGTAATCTTATCCGTCCATCTGTAAGACTGTTTTCAAAAATAAATGTAAATTTTACAAAATATATAAAAATAGAGATATCTGTTAGTGGCAATATGTACAAATGACAAATTCCGAATCGCGGTAATTTCCAGGTCTGACTTTAGAAATACTCAAGTGTTAATTATACGAAAAAAAAAATACACAGTGTGAAGTCAACTACGAACGCTTCAAAGAAACACTTCTGTCCAAACAACTGTCGACAGCTGCTCAAGGGCATATCAGTTGGCCATTACTAATTTCTGAACCAAAACCCAAATATCTTTTTGAAATCATAAAGCTAGAATTTTTTCATGCAACAAAGCATTCCTCGTTGTGAATATTTCGCCATTCCACCATTCCGCTATTCAATCATTCCATCGAATGGCGTCACTCTGTTAATCTCAACGCATTGCTCCCTTCGCAGATATAGCGGGTCTTTTGAGCATTTGTCGCCGATTGAAATGGTAAAATGATCTCTTTTCGAATCGATGAAATTTGTCTTTAAAGTTTCCTCGATATGCCGATCAAACCTATTTAGACATTTCTGTAAAGGAGAAGTCTTTTTTTCAATTACTTGCATGAGACGCCATTATGAAATTATTTTGAGATGTTTATCATCTATTGTAGTGTCTCGGTTAGAACTGAAAAAATTGTATCTTGGGATCTACTGGAAATAATTCGCTGACTCAAACGCCAAAATGCTCTCTCTTTCAAGGAAAAGTTTTTCCTCTATATTTTCATGATGCGCTGATCACCACTTTTAAGACATTTCTGCAAGGAAAAGCTTTCTTTTCTCACGCGCCATTCTGAAATGATTGTGAGATGTTTGTCGTCTTCTGCCGCAAAGCCATAACGTTGTCCTAATGAGTGACTGAGGGCACAATAGAATACGAACGACCTCTTCGTCCACAACGAAGTCTGCCGAGTCTTACCCGATATTCCTCGCTTTTGCCTTTGGCTTATTTGGGAACATCTTCGGTCGTTCAACGCTTAGTGACGATTTCTTCGAATTGCTTCGAATGTTTTACGGAATATTAGAAGGTGATCATTCTGTTTTTCGGTGCTACTTATTGTGTGTCATTACGAGACAGACTTCGTTGTGAACGAAGAGGTCGTTCGTCTTCTATTGTTACCCTCACTCCCTCAGTAAGACAACGTTATGGTCTCGCCTCCATAGGAGGCAGTAGCCACAAAAAAATCATCCGCCATTTGATCGCAAAGAGTAAGGGAATTTTAGAAACCATAACTGGAGTGATTCAGGAAAATTAAAAATCGTGTCTTGGCAGCAATTTAAGCGCAACAAGAACCAATTATTTATGGTGTCAATTTTAGAATTAATAGAATTTGAAAGTGCACAGCAATACGAAAAAGAAAATCGGGAGTGAGAAATGGTTCTTTCTTAAACTAGTTATGACGTTTTCCTTCATTCATTGTATGGCTTTTTCATATATTCCACCGTCATAAAATATTCTTTCCTCAGTCAACCTGGTACATAAACATTTTCCAAATCACTGCTTTGAACGGAGATGCAATATTTAACTCAAAAGCGCCTTTCTGCATTTGAACACGAGAGTTTTCTGCACCAGTCTTATTGAGAGAAAAGTCTTTCACGAAGTAAAACTAAAACATATGTCGATAACCTCAAATTTGTATCGTGAACAAGCTAACAGAAGGAAAATGAAGGCTTCTTTTCATTATCACGGCTTATTTGTCCACTTTAAATTTTCTGTTCAAGTGTTATTCCCTCTTTTGCTCTAAACTAGTTAATCCCGTGACAAATTCTTAACGCGATTTTCTTAATCGTTTTTTTAATGAAACAAGTGTCAATTAATCTCTCAGCAAAGATATTTTCGGAAAATGAAACTCCTGTGTCGCTTTCGCAGGTAAGAAAGGCTAGTTATTGTCAAGATTGTGAAACACCCCCCTTTAAAGATCTTCAAGGGAGGCCAAACTGGTATGCATAAATGCACTTGATACAGCGTAGATAACGTGAAAATTCTCCTAGTAATGATTTTTAAAGAATTTTTATTTGCACGACACTACTACAGGGCGGTAAGTGCAACATATTTTTGCGAATTTCAAATTCTCCATTTGAGTTTATTTCTGTGTCTAGAGGTTCTCAATGGGGTTAACAGTTAAAAATTTAACACTGAGTTGGACGTACAACATGACTAAGGTTAATCGTTCGTCGTAAGAAACCTTAACCGTAATTTTTTTAACTTTTAACCGCAACGGAAAGAAATTAACTGTAAGCCATAAAATGACCAAAATTTTAACCGTAAAGGCATCACCTAGCTTTAAGACACTCTATCTAGATTTAAAATTGTTCATAGAAAATTTTTATTTCCTAAAACATGTTCTGTTTTCAAAAACCACTCAACTGTTAGGATCGATGTTGAAACGGAACGGCGATACTCAAAAAGACCAGCATAGAGGTAGAAATGTATTTAGGAAAGAAATTTATCGGCAAGATATAATTTTTAGAGCTAGAAGGAGATCTACAGGTGCTATTGGATTATTTCTTAACACTAGAGAAGAAACCTGCTTGAATTTTATTTATATTTCCCTTTCGCGAGATACTGGAATATCACAGGGTGTTTTTTTTTAAGTCCAAAGCGAAATAGTGATATAAAGGAAATATGATCGATGTCTGTTGAGCTCATTTAACCATAAGACTTAATATTTGTACCACATTTTCATTTTCATGTTTCCTTTCATGCTTGACCCTAACAACCATTTGCAGTAGATTTACATGAATCGGTTGACTATGTAAACGCGTGAATTTTTTTTCACAATCCATAAGCTGACAGCATGAAAATATTGGTAGCATGAACAAATTGTGATTTTATATTTCCTTAGAGGATTTTAGTTCAGATTTTGCGCGTAAAATATTCGTCAACATTTTTCAAGGGCTCCATTTGAAAGATAATTGCCTTCAGGGTAGATATAATAGGAATTTACATTTAAAATTGAAACATCAAAGAGTCTTTTGAAACAGCTGTTAAAATGGATGAAAACATCACCTCATATAATGATATATATCTACTACCACAGCAGATAACCTCAAGATGAATAACAGCAGTATGTCTACAGGGGTCCATATGCATATCAATGACAGATTGCCTGTTACACCCGTGGTTGTAACTCTTTCGTTTTTATCGCTTGGCACCGTGCTCGGAAACAGCTTGGTATTTACAGCGATCCTCATTAAGCCTGCACTTCACAGCGTCACATATCTGTCTGTGTTCAGTTTAGCGATCGCTGACTTCTTAGCAGGAATACTTGCCATGCCCAGTTACATCCTCAAAAAGTTTTTCATGGCAGAGTCTGTCGATATCATCATATGCGACGTATTCCGGTTTTCGTATTTTCTTACCGGATATGCCTCTATCCTGAGCCTTTCAGTCATCAGCGTTGAACGCCTGCTCGCCGTAAAGTGGCCGCTGAGATATGCAACCGTTGTCACACACGAACGAGTTATCACGGGCTTGTTACTCACTTGGTTTGACGCGATAGTAATATCACTGCTACCGTTTGTTCCATGGGAGTCAGATTCTCCTAATAAGGAGTGTAATTACGAACCTACACGCTGGTGGAGCATTATGGTCATTGTAACCAACGTTATATTGCCATTCGTAATCATAACAACTTGCTATAGCTATTTGTATCTCACTGCCAGGTCGCACATAAAGAAGATATTGAGTGACAGAAAGAGCCTGGGAGATACTGAAACCCGGAGACCGCGACAAACGAACGAACGTAAAGCAAGCACCACAATTTTAATTGTTATTGGAGTCTTTGTGGCCACTTGGTTCCCCTCATGCCTTTATTACTTCCTGTTAAAGACCTGTCCGCAATGTTTTTCAGATTCATTCAGAAGTAAACAGAGTATTTTAAATGCTTTCGTAAAAATTTTGACGTTTACATCGTCCTTTGCTAATCCTGTAATTTATTGCTGGAGAAGCCGGCATTTCAGAAGAGCTTTTTTTGAGATTTTGGCAAGACTGTCAAGGAAGTTTTCTACGCTGCAAAGAAAGGATAGCAACAGCACTGAAGTTGGTCGCTACAGAAGAAACACAATAACCAGCATTGGTAAAACAGAGGCCTGTAATGTTTTCGTGTCTCAAATGGACGAAGGCAAATACATTCCAATTACCTTAGACAAACCTAAAACCGATTCGAGGAGAGATCACGAAGTGAAAGATGAACAACTTTGACACGTGCTTGTAATGAAGATCTGAAATAGACACAGATGTACAATAAAACTTAATATTTCAAAACATAAGTTTTGAACAACGAAGCATTCAATGACATTAGTAAAAGAAGCTTCGAGTACACCTTGGTCAACTAGAAAATTCGACATAAATAGCAATCGCTTTGATGTAAACTGAATTGTGTGGACAACATGGATTGGATTAGATTTGTTTGGTTTTATCTTGAGGGTTGCCCTCAAGACATTTCAGAATTGCTTTGAGATCTATTGGCAAACGGACCTAGCTATTCTTGAACGACGGTCTAAAATGACATAAATTATAGCAAATGGATCTCTTGAAGTAGATGCTAAAATCAGCATCATCATCATCATCATTATCACATCATAATCATTAAGAAATGTAAGTTAGAGTTAAGCAGTCTGAGGTATAAATTGCATCCATCTAACGTATCTTATTATACATATATACATATATATGTTTTAAGATACGTTTGATAGATGCCGAATTATATCTATACCAGACTTCTCAACTCTAACTTACATTTTTGATTATGATGTGATAATGAATATGATAATATTTGTTTCCCAACCATTTGACAATGCTGTAGCACATAAGGACTCCACTAAAAGACCTCCTGCTGGAAAAGGCTTCAGTTTATTTACCGTCTTTGCATGGTATCTTTTAATTCTATTTACACTAAAGTATTTTAGTATTTTTGCGCGAAGGTCTAAAAAATATACTTTCAGAGTCATTTTATTTAGGAACTATTTTTACGAACGAAAGTAATTGAGAAAGAATGGCAATTTAACAAAAATTTAAAATGTGATCAGATGTGCTTCTGCCGAATTTTTTTTTATAAAAGATCCTTAACAATTATTACTATTATTGGTATATCAGGCAAGAAACCCATTCAAATGGACAATCTGTACAATACGACTCCTTGTTATAACAACGCTTTTAGAAAGCTATGAACAGTTCTCACCCCGTCACAAATTTTGATGTTCACAATCCTCTAATTTGTCCAAAGATATAAAGTTCATATCGAGCCTAGAATTAAAATTTTCTTCCTAAGTGATAAATCTCAAAATTATTTCATCGTTCTGTTTGGACTTGCATTGAAACCGTACGAATAAATGTAACGCTGACAACTGACTCCAGAGCTCAAGACTAAAGCACGAGAACAATATCGTAAAGGTTATGTTTCCAATGACGACGGTAATGATCAAAACAGTAATCACAACAATAATCACAAACACGGTTATGATATTAATTTAGAGATTTCCATCAACTTGAAATACCACGAACTGCAACTTGCTAGCATGAAATGTTCAAATGTTCTTTAGCTTAACCTGACACAATAAATTGACAATAGCTTCCAACTGCTGCGAAAATTTACTAAATATTTGTTCACGATAATTATCAGTTCTGAGGAGAGTAGTTTCCCAAATGCGAAGCTCTCGCTCCAAATGGAAGCTATTGTTTTTTTCCTTTTTAGCGCCCAGGCAAAAAAAACCACTACATACAGTTTGTAGTGTGGTTCTTCATCTGCAAGGGCCGAAAAACGCTTTAAGCCTTAAATGAAGACTTCGTTGTATCAAAAGTAAGGTTTGAAAATTGTAGAACATCACTAATGGAATATCACTAGAAGTTCCCCACCTTTTGCTGGGGCAGATTCAGTCAAGTTCTTATTAAGGGACATGCGGTAAATAATTACGATCGTTACGTAGCCTCTGGGAGTCTTACACAAACGTTGACCGTTCAAAGATCCTACACTTGAAAAAATAGAAAACCCATACCAAGTCTAGTGCACGTTTGTTCGTCTTTATAAAGACACGCGCATCTTGGAACTAACAAACCGCTCTTTAATTGACGCGAGATTTATTCACAGTCGCGATGGAGAAACTATGATGAGTGCACTGCACTGTCCTCCTAAGCTGGAACTACACATAACCGTTTCTAATGCAAAGCCGGATATCGCTTGGTTATGTCATACTTATCTGAAATGCCGATAACTTTCATTTTTAACTTTAATAGTTTAATTCTGTTGTAATCTCTTTCAAATTTGAGCCTCACCAATTGGTAAAGCATACCATGCATCTTCGGCCTTGGTATTCAACCATTTTGACTCGAACAATTCTCTAAAATCCTTCCCATTCTTCAATGTCGCTTCTGATGATTTCTCCAAAGCTTAGAGCAAAGAGTCCATGGATACAAGAGTACCGCTGACCAAGGTTATTGTAGTAAACTGGGAGACACCGCGCTTGTCATGAGTCAAAGCGATCTTTCTTCTTAAAAATGTCCGCCATTTTTGGTCGCTGTGCATCTTTTAATCGATGGAATCCACTTATAAACGTGCTTTTAATTTCTTGTCCTATTTTGCTACTGGAAGGAAGGCTTGGAAAAAGGAAAAAAAGATTCACATTTAGGAAACGAGCAAAAAAACAAACAAAAAAGAATGAAATTCAATCGATATTCAAAGCAGATAATTACTGTGAGAGTGATTTCTGGTCTGCCTTAACCTCGCATTCTCTGAGAAGCACATGAACAGTTTCCTGTTAAAAAAAAAACCAATAGAAAGAGGAGCGATTACAAATAGCATTTGCCTCAAAAGGGTCATTTTGGAGCTACGCATTACAACAATCATATCGAAGAAAACTGCTTAATGTTAGTACTACAAGATTATAAGGCACAAGAAAGGTACTAATAAACAGAGGGGACACGGATTGGTAAGGATTGGGGAGACTTACATGGATTACAAATGACAAACTAAAAAATTGAAGCCAAATTTGTAACGATGGAATATCGTGACGTAAATATCTCATTGTCATTAAAACGTTTGAACAAAATGACCAGAAGTCATATTTGTTTACTTATTCAAGAAAAAAGATTTGGATTTAAGAGAGCTGCCTTCCACCAATATGGCCAATTTTTTTTTTAGTTTTTCAAACCACCGACATGGCCAATGTACCGTGAAGTTAACAAAATGTTATTAGGCCCAACCTCGCATTCTGGAGCCAAAGCCTCGATGTCCTGTTTAACCGCGCGGAGTCCTGGGATGATGTAATCATTTAATACATCAATAGAGATGACAAAGAATGGTTAAGGAAAAAAGTCCACAACAAATTATTTCGATATCTCTCCGCTTAAAATGCCTCGACTAGACGTAAATAAGATGAATAGGGGTAAAAAATAATGACAAAATATTAATTCAAGTGCGTTGAGTATAAGATAAGCAGTGTAAACAGTCTAAGATAACTCTGACTAAAAAGGAGAACAGATGCAGTGAATTTCATCGCGCTCGCGCCAAATGTTCAATGATCGGGCTCAAAATTGACCATCTTGTGCAACCTTAGAACACATTTGACGCTTTCGACGAAGAAGTTTTGCGGATAAAAACGCCGTAAAAAACTCTGAGAGCGAGGCGCAATCTAACATGGAAAAATCTAGAACTCTAACCATAGCTAGCTCCTTGCACTTAGTTCATCGCTTACATGAATTAGTAGGATGAGCTTGACGACAACTATTGGCATATGCAGAGAAATAAAATGAAGTTGTGGACTTGTGACCAACTTCAAATAATAACCCAGAATGCATGACGGAAAGATGGAACTAATCGACCGAAAAGTTCTAATAAAAGTTTCTCTAATGTAATGAAAAGGATACAACAACACGTCAAAGACACGTAAGCTTCCATTAGCTCCAGCGCAATCTCCCTCCGTCTCGTGTCGTCTTGCGATTGGTTATTGATTGTTGCCATGACAACCAGCCGCGGTAAGAGAACTGGTGAACAAATAACATTGTAATTAGCTACATACTCTGGATAGAACTGTAGTGTGTTTCCCAAAAATGGAATTTTCGTGCATAGAAATAATTTGTTTCCGTGAAATGGACGCGTGAAAGGACACGGATTCAAAGTTTTGTCATCTTCCTCCTGGATTAAAGATTTCTTTCATAATGGCTGGCATGACTACTATCCTATTATGAACATGCAGATGAACCTACTATGCCCTCATTATGGTGTGAAAATTCCATTGATTTTGAGCATGCTGACGGAACTAGGAAGGCTAATATATTTTACATGCATACAAAAGAATAAATACATAGCCCGCTATTTATGAAAGAGGTGTGTCGCCTTCTTTTCTCGTTGACCTTGCAGATCATCTCACTGAATGGAATTGAATTTTAAAGGTTAAATTCTAGCCTACCTTCATCTCTGAAATGTGGCTCTGCATGAGGGGCGACCTTGCCAAACGTTCTTATCATGGTAGCCTGTAGTTCATGTTGATCTTTGTATTGTGGGTCTTCAAGAAACGACTGGAACTGTACATAAACTTTTTCTAAAATCTGTAGACGCAAATTAAAAAAAATCCATATTAAAGACCGTAAGACAGTAAACTCCATGTTACAGGCCTGTACAGGCATTTATGACCCCTCCCCCCCCCGCCCCTTCCGGGCACAATTAACTGTTGAGGACCCTTCCCTCTTTTAATCGTATCTCCAGTAAAAATACGCCATCCCTGGTTTCATTCTTTGTCTGGCAGAATCACATTCAGGGCGCTCACGATATTGGACGTGGTCTAGCTTTAATTTACAAGTTATTGCTTCACATAGGGCTTAACTCGGCGCATCTCTTTCTCTTGGGCTAAATTTTCGTAGAAAAATTGTAATAAGTACGGGTATGAGCATAAAATAACAACAGATTACATCTATATCTACCATTTTATCGGTGACATTTTCTACTATTGCACCAAACGCCGGAATTGCCGCCGTTCTAACTGACCTGAACATAAAATAATAAAAAAACTAATCAATATTTCAGCACAAGTAAGAGGAAAAAAGTGAAAAATATGTTGATAACACGCCTTTTAACTTACATTTGTGAATCGGAAGCTAAAGTTACTAGAGCTGGTAAAACCTTTCTACTGATTAGATCCAGGTCAACACCTTTCATTAACACCTGCAAAGGGTGAAAGATACGACGGCATCTTACACTCAGTAGATTTAACTTTTTAAATTTTTTTTTTAAAATGATAAACTAGTGAGCAGCTCTGCACAAACTAAAATAGTAAAAACTTGTTTTAATCTCCTACGCGTTTCGTCTGACAATAGCAGACTTCATAAAATAGTTTTTACAAGTTGGGCAAATAAGCTTGCTTATGTACAGGAACAGTCATAATAAAATGTCGATTCTCGACTTCAACGCATAGAGAGAAGCAAGCGGAAAGCATTCGCAAAGTATGACTGAGGTGTTGTACATGCACGACATTTTTCGGACGTTACATGTTCATGTACATGTACGAGTAGGTGAAGAGTTTTGTTTGCTAGTCCAGACAACACCGTGAAGGAAAAATTATGGTCTAACATTGCTTCCTGTCATTAGCATTAGATTCTGACACGTCCTATTTATGCAGCCAGGTTACTGAGTTGTTTTCAGAATGACGGTGTCGGTAGTCAATAGTTTGTACCATTTACGGTTAGTAGAAAATTGTTAAACACTTCTAAATGACGGGATTTGAAACTATAAGAGTCTCTGGAGCATAGAGTGAATTTCATGCAAGCTATATTTTCAACGTTTGAGGAATCATTACATAATATATATTTGAGTGAGTTAACTTACAGTAAATAAAGGAGCCGCACAGCAGCGTACTAAGGAACTGGAATGGACAACTATCTCCCAAAGAACACCTATAAGTACCTCAAGATAGCGGGATGAAGTACTAAAACAAGAACATCAAACGAAATCAGTGGTAACAATACTAATACTTTAAGCTGTGACAGCGTATTTCTGATGCGAAAGTGTAATCACCATTAGAGAGCAAAGACATTCAAAGATTAATCGACACATTAATTTTTTTATAAACATTTTTGGGTGATCCTGTCATAAATCACTGAAGGAATTGTGAAATAGAATTCTGAATCATCTGACGTTCAAAGCAAGTTTTTGCTCGAAGAAGACAGGAAAATTGGTTTGGCAAGACTGAAAAACACTAAAGAGGCCTTATAATAACATGTGTGGCTTAGAATTTCAAACGTATGGCGAATAACAACATGGAAAAGTTTGGTCGAGAAATGGACGAGAGCAAATGAGCCAATCGTGTCTCGCCATTGTAACAGGGGTCCGTGAATCAGCTGTCACTCACCTCAACTCCTGGTACATGATGATTGGTCCTTCGAGTGATGCCGAGGCTTCAGCCAGGGCAATTACCGAATTGCGTAATAATGACGTCAGTTCAGACATGTCGTCCTCCTGGTGAGACCAAGTAAGGTTGAATAAGAAAACGTCCAGTATGAGCTGATTTTATAATGTGAAAGTCCACGACTTCAGTAATAACGTACAGTCTGTTATAAGTCCTACAAGCGCTTACTCTTTCACCAATGGATTTGTTAATTCAAAACCTACCGAATCAAAACAACCCAGGACGCCAGCGGCCAGAACTGGAAGCGAGGCACTGGATAGGAGACTTTCTCTTTTTTCTAAAGACCACAAAAGAAAAAGGTTGAAATGAACCCTAGTGACAAAAGAAGACTTCAACATTACTATCATCAATTCTATGATTATTTTTGTAAATAGACATAAATAGGCAGATTAGATGACCAGAAATTAATGATTTTACCAGTTATCATGAAACGCTGCGATAAGGCGTGAAGCGCTGACCTTGTTGGCGCAAAAGTCTGCCAAGGTGAGATTTTCAAATCGAGCAACTAAACTGTCCCATCCACTGCCCCAAACCCCTCCCAAAGAAAAATGGAAAAATAGAAAAACAAAAAAACCTGCTCGCAAGTGAGCTCTATCAAAGGACTAAACTATAAAACTTACCTTCGTCTAAAGAGAGAACATTTAATCTTTGCATACAAAATGGTTTTATCTGCAAACAAGAGTTATAGCAATTTTGACAAGGCAGTTGAAAGATACTATGGATGCATCTTATTGAAAAGAAAAATTAACAATATTATGAGGGGAATGGAAATTCTTTTATAAACATACACCTTGTGAAATGGACAGACATTACTTAGCCGGACAAGCAGAAATTAATACTTACCCTTCCTGAAGAGCAACCTCTCCTTATCAATACAATTAACCCTTTAACCCCTAAGAGTGACCAGCTTCTAATTTCTCCTTACAATATCACCCCTGAATCAAACATTAAGGTCACGAGAATCAAGGAAATGATCACCAACTTATTAAAGCTCTTGATTTTTTAACACATTCTCCATGTCAGTGCTTCAGGAAATGTATAGAAAACAGTATGGAGAATATGCATACTGATGTTAGGGTGTAATGGGTTAAGTAAGAAAAAGGTGATGTGAAAATACACACTGATTTGTTAAAGGATCCTGAATTAGATAACACCAAACTCTCTGATTTATTAGGACCTTTATCGCTGCTAAAATGGAAAATATGTACTCAAATATTGAAAGTTTAAGGGATAAGGTTAAAAAATGGACATGTATTTGAAAATGTAATGTTTTCCTCACCTTTTTGTCTGAGTATGGTTTCCCAAGTGTAATACACAAAGAGCGAAAGAGGGAAATCAACTGTTGTACACAATCTGTCAAAGATACATGAACTTTTCCTAGAAAAGAAAAAGTACAGTTTATAAAGACACTCCTTTCATATGTGGCAAGAAAAAAAGTAATCTTATCTCCTAGTGTTTAAAGGTGTTACAAATGAACTCACCTACAATATCACACAGATTGGGTAAACTGTAAAAAGAAATTAAAAAAAACCAAGGTTTTCAATAATCAACATGATCTTCAAAGAAAGAAGTAGTTCGTTTCTCCCGAGCGTGAAACAAAGTAAACCAAATACGAGTTCCCACGTGGAATCGAACCACCGACTTTCGAATTTCTCTATCATATATATGGCAAGGCAGTCTTGAGGTAAATCGAGCGTTCTGGTTGGCTCTTACTTGGTTGGGATTTTGCCATACGGACCATTTCCACGGCTGTATATTTTTGTTCTCGAAAGCCGGCAAATTCAAAATAAACAGGTTTGGTCTGAGTGCCATATAATAAATTACTTACTAGCCTCGCTTGCGCAAGCCGAACTGGGAAATATTGGCTATCGCTCGTTTGTATGGATTTCGCTGTGCTCGGTCCGTACTGCCAATACCTGGGGACCAATAATCCCCAGTACGGCCCTCGCGCTTGGTTAGTAAAAAGTTATTTCTGTGGCTTTACGTTTAAACAAAATACAGTGTGCACCAGAAATATTTCTGAAATATTACTGCGCCCAGTTGAAGTATCCAATCAAACTATTCTTACCATTCGTAATGAATCCAGGTCAAACTATCCCATGAATCAAAGTGGTCCTCCGACACGTGCTTGTCAAAGCGACGAACATGGAAGGCGACAGCCTGGTTCCCGCCAAAAATCGTCTCGATATCGGTCAGCGGCGATTGTGGTGTTAGCAATCTTCCTGGTGCAACTGGTTGAGAGAAATCAAGGGGTCATTAATTTTATTCAATTGATTTTAATTCATTTTGGTTCTTTTTCCTTCCTTTTTCACTAGCCTGCTTTTGCTTATGCGTGATACCGTCTAACAGCTGTGTGTTTTGCCGCAAGTAGTGATAAAATTAATTATTTGCTTAGGTGGAAATCTATGGTAAAAGAACGACCTAACCCAACCATCGCTCAATTTCGGGATTTGTAATTGCTTAAGAGATAAATTTTTTCATCAGCGGGCTAATAGCAAAACACGATATTTTGATCAACCTCATCAAATTATTATTATCATCGTGTGGTAAGGTAGTCCTAACGTAAACTCGAGCGTTCTGGTCGGTTCTTACTTGGTGCGCACTTTGCCATACGGACCACATCCACGGAAACAGTCACAAGCCGTGCACTTAAGGTCGCGAAAGCCGGCAAATTCAACTTAAACAAGTTTGGTCTAAGTACCATATAACAAACTCCTAATTATCCTCGATTGCTCGAGCCGTAGTGGAGAATATCAGTTTTTGGTTGCTGTACTCTGTTCGCACTGCCACGACCTAAGGCCAACATTCCCCAGAACGGCTCGGGCGCTCATTTAGTAAGAAGTTAAAATTTAGTAACAGCACCTGGCACATTGTATTTTTCGACTTCTTCTGGCTTTTTGGAAAATGGCGCTGAGTAGGAGAAAAACAGAGCATTACAACTTAAAAAGTAAGAAAACAGCTGATAACAAGTGAAAAATGGTACAGATAACAAGATAAAGGTTCGGAACGTGGACATAAAGTTTTAACTAAAATTTCAACCTTTCAGATTTCAGGTTGCCGCGCATGCGCTAAGTAAGAAAACACAGATGATGCAAAAATGGGTAATTGGGAAGAACAGCTCCCCTCTACCGACTGTAGGCCAACTGTCGGCCGATAGATTACCGACGAGCCACCGACAGATAACCGTAAAGCCACCGACAGACAACCGACAAGTTACTAGTCGGCCATTACAAAATTAAAGAATGTCAAAGTTTGCTTTCATAATAAAGAGCAGAATTGCCAGTTATGTCTTTATTCATGCTTATGTTCCCAGGGGATCATAGGGAAAAACCAATCGCAAAAATTTGGAAAACCTAGAGCTTACCTGTCCGTAGAACTAAGGCAAACAGCACCGGAATAAGCGACGAAATAACTTGAACAGAGCGTGCCAGTCTGTCGTGAATTGCTTCAAATGTTTTATGTACTTTCTCAGTATCCTCTGAGTCATTGGCAAGTTCGTGAACCTGCTCTAAATCCTAACAAATAGAGACCAATCAATGAGTTCAGTGAGGTCGCGCAATTGAAATGCTCACTAAGACCAAGTTTACACAGCATGGCGACAGAGTTATAGGTACTCCCTGCTCAATGACAAGTCAAAAGGTCAAATCAAGTATTGTGTCCAAACACTTAAAAAGACACCGTACCTTTAAGGCATTTTCCACTATGGAGATCAGGGAAGTGAAGAGATGAGACTCTACTTTATCAAGATCTTGAGCCCATGCAGCAAATGACGGTAGAAACACTTCTCTGGAAGTCTTCGCTACTTTTTCTGACGGATCAAACAACGTTTCCTCTAACAACTCGTAGGCCTGAGAAGAAAAATTTGCGTAATATCTGAATCATTCCACTGTTAAAGAGAAACGCTACATGTTGACAAGCTAAGGACGAAGAAACATTCTGAGTTCCCAAAGGGAATTCAAGTCGGCCGGAAGGTTCAAATTGCTACGTACGGAGCTGCAGAGAACTAGCTTTAAGAATCAGGCCGGGTTGCTAAGCATGGTAGGCTGTATATAGGACATGAGAGGTGTTAGTAAGCCAAAGTTGCACTCCTGCTCCTGGTTTTGCAGCTCTTTACAAATTCTGCTTGTTCTTCATTGTCTTTAAGTTCATTCGTCGTCCACACATTGTATTTTTCTTGATTAATATTTCTTTACTATACGTTTTGAGAACGTTTTGAGCTCGTTTTCACGGGCTCTTTCACCTTACTTTTTATCGAGCGTCCAAAAGTCCAAGGCAACTCAATATTCTAATACGTTCTCCTTTCTCGTGTCCTTACCTGTTGATATTTATCCACATTTTCCATAAACGCCACGACTAGTCCCAGACTCTTTGTTACGGCCTCTCGAACAGCCTCGTTTCGATCATCGCTCAGCATTTGTTTCAACATGGACCACACGAGAGAGCTACGAATGTAATCCTGAAAGAAAAGGAAAAGAAAGAAACAGGCGTAATGCATGATCACAAATTGACCCACTAGGCCTCGTTCATGCTAAATTCCGTCGAGCCTTTGGTATAAAAATACCCACTTTTCACTTGGACATTCCCTTTATCTCTGGGCTCTGAGGTTAATGTTGATAAAATTCACCATCCTGTTCCTTAAAGGGACGTTTTAAGTGGGAGACATTGTGTTCTTCCGATTGGACCCAACAACCCTATCCTAAAAATACATCATACAACGAATAAGAGTGAGCAAATTCGAAATCGCCCTTGGAAACTTCCAAATGTTCAACGTAGGCATTGAAATAAAAGTGAAACGAAATGCTTGCATTTCCTAACGAGTTCAGTAAGTTATTTACCGGTAAATACGGCGCTAATCCACCACAAGCTTCAGCAACGAGGAGTCTTCTTTCGACATACTTGTGGCCAATCTGCAATGCAGCGTAGAAAATGTGAACGTTAATCATATTCTTTCCACCGTGACAACACACAGGTGATTCTCTGTGTCAATATATAGTTCAAGGGCACTGTACCTGTTCCCACCATTGTGGTAAAAGTTCAGCCTCTATTCGAGTTGGTCCCACGACCTGCGCAAACGCAGCACACCCGCTCATAATCATCTGCCTAATTGGGTAAATAATTCAACTTATAACAAAGCAGTGATGAAGAAAATGAAAAAGGCGAACAAACAAAAATCGAAGACTACCAGAGATCTTTGCTTGCCTCTCTAACGATTACGTGTCTTGAAAATTAGACGCAGCGCAAGGAGAAATCTAAAGCAGAGTACCGTTCTGCTAAGAAAGGCTACACTCCCGGCTCCGAGGAGGACATGTGCACATACAGTGTGTCACTTTCCTTTTTTACAACGAATACGCCATTTTAAAAGTAATAGAACATTCTACTTGAGTTTTCATCTCCGAGAAACACAACAGTGGCTTGTATATCTAAAGAACGCTTTTTGACCCACCTCTGATCCTCGTCTGGTCGTTTAATAAGATTAAATAACATGTGAAGAAGATTGTCTCTTTCCTTCACAGCTGGATGGTGAATGGCTGAACAAAGAATTACGGGAATCAATTCCTACAATAAAATGAAAGGAAAGTCGGTGTTCTGTAAGACAAAAGATCTATAATTCAGGTTTTGTATTGCAATCAGTGTGAATCTTGTTCATCCTTGGCCACGCCGTTCCTTCTTAGTTTATTGTTTTATGTTTTACTGTTTTTCTATCGTACTACGCGAATATTTTGTCGTTTCCTTCAAGTTGAAGGTTGTTTGTTTTGTCTAACCCTAAGCAAAGTATAAATACTAATTCATCTGTAGGTAGCATTGGAACAACAATTCTCCAAACCAAACTGTTCCATTAAGCACCCCTCACTCCTCAGCCGCTGTTCAGCACATCAGAGAAAAAGCTAGTCATTAGCATACTTGGACAACAAGCCTACTTTGGGCACTCACCTCTCTTTTGTTAAGCAACACATTTGGTACAATATGAGGCAAACATCTCGCAACAATTAGAACCACATTTTCATCAGCGTTGGAAAGCTTACAGACCTACATATCATAAAGACACAAGTCAATAGCGCTCATCTCTTCTAAACGTCCTTGATCCCTAGCTCTCTTATCTTCCAGCTCCATGTTGCTCTATGAAGCAGAAAGGATGGAAACCCTGAAAACGAAGATGCCTATCCAAAACGTTAAGTTCGGTTGAATGTTTCGAACCTCGTGGCCTTTTCACCGCCGGTGTTGATATCGCTTTATGTGGCTTGAGGCAACAAGATCAGATCCTAGTCAATCGCAGGTATCTCCCCCACCCTCTCACATTGCATTTTTTCCCCGGCACCTACATGAACACCTAAGTAATTAAAGATACTAAAAGAGTTAAATGCCTTGCCTATCAACAGAACTCACTGACGCGCTCACAGCTCAAACCAGACCGTCCAATACGGATTCAGCTTGCTAACCCCTTCGTCTCTCTCAAGAAATGCCAGCAAGTTACCTTTACTATCTTTCAAGCCCGAAAAAGTTTGCAGTTCACCTACCTCATTAGAAAGTCTATTCTCTAACTGCACGTGCGTAAAAGTCAACAGCGTGTCTCTAAATAAAGATGAAGTTGTTCTGAAAGGAAAAGTGAATCTAAGCTACAAGCTTTGTACACTCTAAAGCAAGCTTCAGATGTGGTGTTTCCTGCTCGTTTCTCAGAACCGCCCTTATTTTCACCGAGTGTAAAAAAGGCTTCTAACTACGCAGGCCATCTGAACAGCCGCGGCGAGTTTGGTCACTGGAAAAAAAAAGCCATGCAGGATCAAGAAACGCGATAACTGCTTCGGAACCCACATTCTCTTCCTAAATACGCGCCGAATCTCTCTTTACTTGCAGAAAAAATGGTCCTCGTTCTCATTTCAAGGAAATGTTCAACGCCACAAAATTAAGTGACTAAAAATAAAGCTCCTTTAAAATGGAAACCGGAATAATCTGTCGTCTGTTCTGTTCACTGTGAAAAATTTCACCCTCCGTACCTTGATGAAGTTTGATCTTTCTCTTCATTGCCGCTTGGCTGTGACGATGGAGAGAAAGGTGTGACTTGAGGGTCATCACCCTAATCACAAGCGAAAACAGCAAGAACAAGTTTGAAAATACAGCATCAACGAAACTTCTACTGAGGGAAGTTAACAAATCAAAGAAAATAAAGTACACTTTTTTTGAAATTCAAGTCTATCTTTTTTTTGATAAAGAAAATTCACGTCAGATCACTCTACGCTGTACAATTGCGTTTTTTCGATGGAAGGTAGTAAAACCACACCCAAAGTAACCCGAACTCACGTGAAAACAAGCCAACAGCCTAAAGCGCGGGAAAGGCGGGTGACCAAGTCGCGCTTGGTCTAAGTTTTGGATCTGATTGGTCGAGATGATGGGGCCAGTTTTCTGGACCAATCACAGAATGAAATAACGCAATCCTGGATTATCTCCGAAACAATTGGAAATCGCTCTAACGAAAATGAGTAATCATGTTGTACATTGGACTGATAAACAACGTTTTACTGTCGTTTGTCTAAGTTACTAAAATTGTAGCGATGTAAACGCCCTCTCTTTCCATGCGCGACAAGGCCAAACAACAGGCTGCAAAGGAGACTAAGAACCACCTAATGGACTAATTTGTGTAATTTTACCTTTTGTTGTGTCAGTTCCACATCGGCTGTATTTCGTTGATGACTACCATCGTCAGGTAAATTTTCTTCGGGATCTTTACTACCCAATTCTTCACTAGTCTGAAGTTTCTCCGCAGCGTCTCCATTTCCTTCCTCATTTGGTACATTGCCTCTTTCACTAATCTCCACAGCATCATTGTTCTCCGTACCATCAGTGGCGTCCTCATTCTTTGTTGTTGATTCGCTGATGTGTTCTGCTGTGACACCATCTGTATCTGTATCTGTCTCTGATGATTCAATGCTTTTCTCTACGCTCAGCGAGGCCCTTTCAGTCAAATGTGATGAGTTGACAATCTCCTTTATTTCACTATCAACAAGAAAACAATAATATTGAAAAATGATTATTGTTTTTATTGATGTGGTTTTGACACATTTCCATCTAAAAACATTTTTAATCATGCTGGGGTAAAAGCCCTCTTATTTGATTTTTGCAAAGGTACCCATAGAGAAGCAATTAAAAAGACAAAAGATACTTTGGTACTAAAACCAAAATTCAATTCAAATGAAAAATCAACTTCAATTCAGGAAACTTGTCTCCCTATTTAGCTATTGTCACAATCTACCTTTCCAATTTTTCAACTGTTTCATTCAATGTATGGTTCTCATATTTCAACTCTCCTATTCCCTCCTGAAGCTGTTTGCACTCCTCTTGTAACTTGGCATATTCTGCCTCCAAGTTTGCTTTCTCTTCTTTCACTGATTTCAACACCAGCATCACTTCAGGTACAGTGTGATGTCCATAGTCTCTGTAAAGATGCAGCAGGTCTGGAGGCTTGGCAGTGTTCAAACCCACATCATCCCAGTCATCAAAGTCCTGAGGAAAAACAGCAATGTAAATTATAAAAAAAAAAGGATTTATTGCCTCCTGGTCTTGACACTTGAAAGGTTAAATTTGTTTTATTAGCACAGGCTGAAAATCTAATTGAAAATGGCAAAATTCTAATTCTGGTCTCTCAAGAGGTATATACCTGTAATAATCATTGTATTTATGTACATATAAAGAGCTCAAGCGAATTCTTTGACAATCTTCACTCAGCCTGAGAGACAGACACCCAGGGTATAGGGAGAAGTTACATGTGTATCACTTCTGGGGGTTAAAGAGTTAATTCATCACAAATAATTCATGATTATAGGTCAATTTATTCTAATCACCTGATCAGCATTCTCATCTGAGAAAGTTACAGAGGTCATTCTGTAGCCATTCTTTAGTAAGTATTCATTCACTAAGAAATTCAGGGCTCGCTTCTCATGTGGTCTCAAGGAGTCCTGATAAATTAATAAAAAATAAATACCTTTAATGATATCAACATAGCCAAAAACATATTCACTTTTAATTAAAAGATTGCTATTGCATGCAAAATATTACTTTACTACTGATGTTAATAGCCATATATTTCAGCGATAGAGCATCTAGGCATGATATCTGAAGGTCAGAGGTTTGATTGAAACTGAAGATGGATCCCTTTCAATGTCAGCCTCTGACACAATTCAGATTTGAAACACCTCTTACAACTTCCTTACCCCTCCAGATGAATGATCTCTGTCAATATTCTCTCCATGACTACTTTCAGAAGCTGGAGTTTCAGTTTCTAGAATAAAATGACAGACTCACAATTTATATCTGACTAAAAGGTGAATCAAAACATGATTAGCATTACAATATGAAATTTTCCTGCACTCAGGAAGTCTATTCTGAAAAATTTAATTCAATCGTAGTTTAAAATCTGTGGCTGCTGAGACAGGACATGATGTCCATTGGAATGAACAGGGCAGAAACTAAAACTGCCTGCTCAACTGAATAACATCATGTACAGCTGAAGTTTTACTTGGAAAAGCAAGTAAACATGTGATAGCTTCAAGCTCCTATTACTCATGTACTGAGTTTCATAGGACTTGATACCTCCAGCCACTCTCTTTCCTGAAGGGCATTTGCTTCATGAAATAGGGATAAGACATTTACCTCTTATACCATATTGCGATTTTCAATAAATGTAAATCTTAACAAAAAATTACCAGTTGCTTCAGTCAAAGATCCCCTCAGTGCTTTAATAGTCTCATGAGCTTTCCTCAATTCAAATTCTAAGACTTGAAATACAAAATAAGAATATGTTATATATTTTTTATAAAGCCAGAATATGCAGTTTAAAGATACCAAGAACCTGAATCACAGGCATTTTCCACACTGCAAAAATTCCTATGCCTTCAGCTCAATATTGGATAGAGGGCCAAGGAGAAAGAACCCCCTAAGAGCTACAAGTCTTTTTTTCTGAAATTGGAATTCTGAACCATTGATAAATTGAAGTTTATATTACTAAACTTTACCATTCCAAAATTTGACTATATTCTGATCCACAAACCTGCAACCTTTTCATCTGTGTCTCGGGCACCATCGTCTGAATAACGAGCATAATCATCCAGTGAATCAATGGTTGCAATACTAGATGTGCGAGCTGGAAAACAATAATAAAATAGAGTATAGCATCATGCATCTAAATGCCGACAACTGATCATAATAATACAGAAGAGCAACATTGAAATCAATAGTGATAATATTTCAGGAGAGAGCTCATAAACCAGGCCGTCTTCGGTGAAACTCCCGAAATCATGTCGATGTTCAGTTATTTGAAGAGAAAAACAATTATAGCGATAATAAAAAAAAAGGAAATTTGTGTGTACCTTTTTGTGTCTCCCATTGAAAAATCAATTCATTTTTCATTAGGCTGTTTATTCAAAAACAATATCATCAATGCGAACAGCACAGAAGATGCTCGATATTGCAGAAGCGGTCATTAAACTTGATTTCCGGTTAAAATTATATGGGCTGAAGAATTGTTATAAGTTTTAATTACGACAATCACTCTATCTTATTAGTGTATTTGCAAATAAAACAAACAAAAATAGCATTTAAGCCATGTTAATTCTTATTTTGTTTTTCTTTTATGAAAAGAGGTGAACAAAATACTTACGTATAACTGGCGAGTGTGCGCTACCGCTTAGTGTTGTCGTCTGGTATTGACGTTCGAAATTCCCAGGATTGGAGAAGAAATCACGTAAACGAGGAATCTCCAGGCCTGCTTCAACTAATTCCGTGTGCAGCTCAAGTGCAGTCAACAGTAACTGGTGCGTCAGGAGTTTTTCGGCGAATATGTCAAAATCGCTCGCGGATAAACGAGGCGGAGTTACTTCAGTTTCCTCCTCCGCATCCGCCATCTTGTCGAGAAGTTTCCTAGAAGCGTGGTTACTAAGAGACAATTTTGAGCCTGCAGAGCATACTAGACATCGGCTTCTCACTGGATAATTATGCGCAACGCAACGTAAACAAGAACTTTTTTATTTTCAAGGGCCGAAATGACGTGATAGCAATTTTGCAAAAGATTTTGCAAGAAACGCCTCGAATTCTGTTGTTATCGAGGTAGAAAAGAGCTCTTAAACTTTTGAGAAGCATAATAATGTTGGATCTCGAAGTCGTTCCGGAAAGATCCTTGGGAAATGAGCAGTGGGAGTTTATACTTGGTAATGTTAATGTTTGCAATGCAGTTTGTACATCATAAGCGCTTTCCCGCCTACCATGAAATTTATTGCCTTTTAGCCTATTCATCTTAGATTTAAATCTTACCTTCTGATGCTTTCGTATTCATTCTGATCATTTTAAGGAATGCCTGTCGCACAATGTGTGCAAATCCTGAAGCGGCAATGTCGTGTGATCAAATCGGTACAAGCTATGTACAGTGAGGCGGTGAGTGTCTGGATTGTGTTTGACTGTGTAACGCATAAACTCTCTTTTCTTGCATATACTTGGTTTTAACGACGTTATAATTACATGTGGGATAATCGTTCGTCGTGGCTGGACAGAGTATCGACTTTTTGCCATGACACTTTGATTGTCATTGATATGTACATGTCTGGACAGGATGAAACTTAATTATTGTTTTAAATATTTCGCTTCTTCTTCGTTGTGCAATAGAACCCTCTGGCAATGGATCTGGTCTTAAACCTGCCCAATGATGGAGTTAGACTGGTCTTTGATCCTGTTACACAGAGACTTAAGGTACAGACCAATCAATTATATACTTTTGAAAATAATAATAATTGCTTTCAATTGATGATACCTTACTGGAAAATTTAGCTTCTGAATTGTACTAATTTTATTTATTTATTTATTTATTTATAGATAATTGAAGTTTACAGTATGAACAAGGTCAAGTTGAAATACTGGTAAGATTTGGTTTGCTTGTTTGTTTATTTGTTGCTGGTTGTTGTTGTTGTTTACTAGTTGATAAGTATTGTTGTTGTAAATATATCCTCAGGGGATTATTGTGTATTTCTTTCTACTTTTTATCAAATTTCACATTATATCAAGTCAGGTTATGATGGATAATACTCTTAAAGGCTGAATTTTTTTTCCTTTTTTCATTTCAGTGGAGTGCACTTCAACTCTCCTCAAGTTCAGCCAACAATTGAACAGATTGACATGTCATTTGGAGCAACACATCCTGGAGGTTTGAAAATTTCTCCTATAACTTCTTTCACATTTTAAAAGCAATCTAGTGGAAGTGAAGTAACAGCTAATGAGTAATTACCATATTTATTCGCCTATAAGCCGAGCGATTTTTCCAACAAATTAAACTGAGAACAGGTAAATTCTCGCCAAGGTAGGGGGTTCAGCTTATAGCCGAGTATTTTCGCCAAAAAAAATTTACAGGTGCTTAACAAGATTCGAAATTTGACAACATGAAAAACTGGCCAATCAGAACCGGTCATTCCCACAGTTTGTGTAAACATTGCAACATGATCTGACAGATATCAGCTGATCGAAGCTTTTCATTGTTTTAAAGAAACAAAAGACTTACCTTGGCTCCTCTGCTCTGAAAACCAGTCCAGTAGTGTTTGACGACGCACCATTGATTCACTGATTCCGTAATCTCTAGCGATCTAGAATGATCTATGTTTATTCATAACCTACTTTTTGGTTGCATGTTTCCCGAGAGGGAAGCTCCTTTTGTTTTCGGTTTATGTTAATTCATCTCAGTTAACGACACGCGTGGAGTACTTTGCAATTATTAGGTCTCGGCTTATAGCCGAATGTTTTGTGTTTATTTTTTATTTCAATGCAACAGCTGCTGACATGAAAAAGTTTAGGGTCTCGGCTTATAGCCGAGATCGGCTTATAGGCGAATAAATACGGTATTCAAAGGCAGTTAAATACAGCATATGAGCTGTCATTGTTCATGCTCATATCTGCTTAATTACAAACCAATTTTTGATTGATGGTATGAGCTGTTTACATCTCATTTGGTTAACTTTTTGATGCAAAAGAGTGACTTGTATCTAATTTCTTTTTACAATATCACCCCTGAATCACATTAAGGTTGCAAGAATAAAGGAAATGATCTCTGACTAAAGAAGCTCGTGGTGGTTGAATAAATTCTCCCCATCAGCAACTTAGGAAATGTAGTAATAATGCTACAGACAGTATGCAAACTGATGTTAGGGTGTAAGGGTTTAAAAGGGAATTTTTTTTTTCAGTCTATGATCCCACCCATCAGCTGTTTATTCTGAACTTCAGAGGTCTCTCTTTTTCTTTTCCAATCGACTCAAAGTTTGAGGTAAGTGTTTCAGTCTGTCTGAAATAACTGGTTAAAGACTGATTTTGTGCATTGTATTTACTAATTAGCCTTAAGTTTGTGAATTTTCTAACAGAAAACAGAATTTTGATTCTGACCTGTAGGATCAAAATTTGTCTTTTAACCCTTTAACTCCCAAAAGTGATAAACATGTAACCTCTCCTTTATAAAAGTGATTAACATGTAACCTTTTCCCATAATATCCCAATATTGCATTTCTTGTGTTCTGATTGGCTCACTCAACTGTGGTTATCATCTCATATTCTAAGTCACCTTTTATGGCATTGCAACATGTTGGAAGCTGAAAATTTTTGCTGGAAATGTTAAAAAATTCAGGAATTAAAGAAATTTGATGTCACAATTACTCCATTTGCACTTGTTGGATATGAGATTGGTTATAGCTAACTGGTAGCTACACATCTCATTGGCTACTCACCTTGTCATATCAAATATGCGCTCACTGAATATTTGTTAATTATCCAGCAAGCAGAGAATGAGAATACTCATTTACTTGTCAGGTAGAAGTTGCTGTCTTTATCTAACACCACACTCTCGTAACCTATGTACAAGAAAATGTCTAACAGCCAGATGGGAGAATTGAAAATCAGATCTTGGGGGATAAAAGGATCAGGATGGTGTATCGATGTATTTTCTTTAAAACAATGACTGTCTGTTAGTATAGACCAGCTGAATTCAATTACAGTTATAGAACATTTGTTTACAGTAGTGCCACACTATTTTTATCTCTCCACAGCCATATTACACTCATGGATTAGGCTCTCTCAAATTCTCATCTGGCTCATCACCAGTTGTGTCACGCATGTCAATTTACCACGGAAACAACTTGACAGATGCCAAGTAAGGAAGCAGTCATGGTGTATCTATAAGTTTTTCATTTATTAATTTTTTTTACAAGAGAGCCCAAAAGGTTTGCAGGAATGAAATATGCAACATACTGTTTTACTCTATGATCATTGTTTTGCAGGGCACCACCCCTTCCCCTCCAATGTTTTCATGGCAACTGTTTTGCAGAGAGTGTTGAAATCATAAACCAGGATGGTAAAGTCCTGGGTCTTAAATGTTTCCTTGTGGCAGAAGGTAAGGCCAAAGACAACAGTATCAGGAGGACTCAGTCAGCCCTCACTGTCTAGTTCCTAAAGGTTAATAACCCTTTGCACCCTAACATCAGTATGTATGGTGATCATCTTCCTTCTTCTTATGACCTTGATATTTGATCCAATGGTGATATTTTAGGGAGAAATTTGATGCTAGTCACTCTTAATGGTTAAAGGGTGAAGCTTCTAAAGACTCCCTTCTCCACCCCCCCCCCCCACCACCATAACTGAACCCCCCTCTTTCCCCCCCCACCATAACTAAACCCCATTAATAACCCCCATTTGTAATTGATCAAAACATATAAAAAACCATAACATAAACGCCTGGGAGGCTGGCCAAATGCCAAAACACATTAATAAACCAAATAGGGACAAGAATGGTTGAAGGATTAGATAAAATTAACACATATTACATTTGCCAACCCTAAAAGATTTAGGGGTGGGTGAGGGAGATCTAAAAAATTTGACATGCATGAACTACTATCAGTAACATCCACCATCCACTTATCAACTGTTTCCTTTGTTTAAGGTCCTGGTCCTGGTAAGATCTTAGAGCTACGGCGAAGAACCTTTGAAAGGAATGTGATGTTTGGAGATTCATGTCAGGTTAGAATTTGGAGCTTTGGTTGTTTGACATCACAAATAATTTTCTAATGATTGTGCTGAATTTTAAACTGGAGGCTTATCATGGCTCAGTGAGTCATCATCCTGCAGCTGATGCTTAATTTATGCCAAGGCTTGTTATTGAGACCATGACTTTTTGTTTTTTTAGGATGTTTTAAGCTCACTTGGATCTCCATGCAAAGTGTTTTACAAAGCTGAAGATAAGGTCAGTTGATTTGAGAAAGTTGAGCACAATACGATTGAAGTGAAGATGGAAAAGCCCTCTCCCCTCCCCCTCAACCCCCATTCTTTTAAAAACTGGGTCCTGTCCTTGAAGCTGTGTAAACAGTCTCACTTTTAAAAATTTATTTTTCTAAAGCCAATCTGCAGTTGTTATCTTTTCCTTTTCTCTTTCTTCTTTTTCAGATGCGGATCCACTCTCCTTCTCCTCACAAGCTTGCCCAGTCCAAGAGTTCAGATTACTTCTTTAATTACTTCACTCTTGGAATTGTAAGTAACACAACTTAAGAGTGCAAGAATCATTGTATTTCATTGCCTGGTTGCTGTGTGGTTTACAGAAGAAGCTCTCAGTTAATCATGAACTGTTCCTTTTTTCTTCATTTATCTGCTCTAGGACATCTTGTTTGATGCATACAGCCATCTGGTGAAGAAGTTTATTCTGCACACTAATTTTCCAGGACATTACAACTTTAACATGTAAGCACATTGTCTGTGAAAAGTAACAAATAACATAGAGCTCTCGGCCCAGTTGTTCGAAGGCCCATAAGCACCAATCCAAAGTTAACCCTTTAACTCCCAAGATCTGATAGTCAATTCTCCCCTCCAGCTTTTACATATTTCCTTTTAAATTAGTTACAAGAATTTGGTGTTAGATCAAAACAACAACTTCTACTTGATATGTTTGAGTATTCTTATTACCTGTTGGCTGGACAATGTATGGATATTGTAGGGAGAAGTTGGATCTTAATCACTTCTAGGGGTTAAAGGGTGAAATTTTAATCTGGGTTTCTCTATTCCTTTTGTTCAGCCATTTTGTGACAATTTTCTCTATTCTTTTTAGAGCATCCAATAATCATATTCTAGACAAAAAGAGTTATACTGAATTTTCTTTTAAAGCTTTCAGATCTGAAATCAGATTTTACACTAATCCTGGGTTATCTTAACCCAGCTTTGAACAACCCTGCCCTAGATAAGAAAGGAGACTTGCATCCACATACTTTCCACAATTTCTTTGCTCTTTGAGTTTAGTTGCCTTAAGTTGTTATTGCTTATTGTGTTTGTTGGGTTTTTTTTTTTAACTTGATAGATGGTAATTTTGTAGTGTTTCTTGTGTTTTTCACGGACTGTCCTTTTATTTTCTTGAATTCCGTTTGTTTTATTGAAGGTATCAACGATGTGAATTTAAGGTTGGAATTCACAGGGATTCCAAAGGTAACATGAATGCTTTCTAAGCTGGTATTTAATATTTGACATGTAAAATTTGGTGAAAACCACTGCAACTCTGCTCGCACGCTAAATCATTCGCCCATTACAGTGTCGTCAGAAGAATCTTGTTAATAACTCGTCAAAACCATAATATTTGCATCAAGTGCCAATAAGTATCTTCAGTGGAAGTCTTCGTTAAAAATAAATGTAAGATGAAAAAGCGTTTTGATGCTGTTTCAGAAGAAGAGATAGACTTGGTTTTCTTTTTAACAAAGATGTACCAGTGAACGCTCAGTCTACGGGTATCCTACATAAAAAACTCTTCTTTTTACGGTAAGAGGTTAGCAACTGTCTTATTCCGCGCCTTGCTAGAAATCATTGGAGAGATGATAAACACTATAACTCCTGTCTTGAACATGAGACGTCCCGCGAAGCTTATAGTCAGCCGCTGGTAACAAAGATTGTTCCTATTTGTTGCGATGTAGCTTGTGCTTACTCTGTTGTTATGTCTTGTTTAATATGGTGCTCTAATTTGCAGATTCTGATCTCGATGATGGAACCCCTTTTGTATTAACTCCGTGTACGAAGGTAAATATTGCTGCATTTATTAAAATGTCGTATCTTCTCTCGAAAAATAGAGAAGCCGGAGGAAAGGAAAGCCGGCCATTTTGCTCCATGGTTCATTGAGGGGGACATTGGTATTTTTGGTTTTGGCTATTTTTTAGATCGGTTTTTTCGGTTTTTGTGCCCAAAAACTTCGGTTTTTCGGTTTTGGTATTCATTGCGGTTTGCGAATTTTCCACCTCTTTGGTTTTCGGTTTTCGCGAAAAATACTAACGGGTTTTCGGATTTGACATCCGATACGGTTTTTGGTTTTTCCTATTTGACCTATTTGGGTTCCGGTTTCTCTTCGATCTGGGCGGCAATTACGCGCCTCCAATGATCTAGAATAGCCGCTAAACGCAAATTTAGGTTTAGGAATTAACGAAACTCTTGACTTCTCGTCTGTAAAAGCTTACATAATGCTGACCGTTGGGACTTTTTTATCTTGACTGGTTAAGGAAAGGCGTCCGGTCTTGCAAATTTCTGTTTCTAGCCAGTTGTTTCTTCCCGCCGTATATTTTTGGATGGTAGTATAAAAGTGGACTCATGCAAGGCGAGTAATGAAGGGAAAATGTTTAAGTTTTCATTGTTGTCTTTCCTTTTCATCCAGTGGGACAGTGTACAGGATTACCTGGGCAAACCAGTTGAGGCCCCTGTGGTACTCAATCGGTAGGTTCAAAGTTCAATTCGATTGTATTTGTAACTTTGTCACACGCCACATTGCTTGTCATGATGTCGGTATTGATGTTATTATCATCTTGTTTCTTTCGAAGATCTTCTTCCACCAACACCACCAACCCGTTTGGTTCAACTTTCTGCTACAACCTGCAACACATGATTTTCGAGGTTTGTTAGCAATAGTCTGACAAGGCGTTTAATTCTTTATAATATTCAGTACTAAGTCAACTGATCCTTTCAATCTAAGTGGCCCTCGGCGATACGAATTATTCATCAATCGCACTGAATTTTGTTCAAAATCGCATCTTTCCTTGTTAAGGAGAATGGAGCATTAACATCAAAACAACCAAAAAGAGATCACGCATATGACTTCAGACCAATTTGCGCTCCACTCAGTTTCAAAATCCCCTTTGTTTATTATAACCATAGTTGACAGCTAAAAGGAATCAGTGTTAAGAGTTAACTTATAATGCACGAATTTTAAACTTCTTTTCACTTCTACACTACACGTGAAATGAAAACTCGTTGGAGCACTGAATATTTTTGCTAATGAAAGGATAGGCCATTCCATTTTTAAAATAAAAATACATTTGTATGAATACAGCATTATAGCTCCGGTGATTTGGTTTTAATGATTTATCGACATGTGAAGATCAATTTTTAATAAAAATCTTTTTGGCAACGTAATTGCATTTCAAGTGAATTTCGTTCCAGAAGCTCGCCTGGCAGCGACGACGAGGGCTCGGTATATCATGAAAATCTGTTCGCACTAATTGATCACATATAATTTCGTTAACTAATTTAGATTGTAAGACTTGTTCATTTGTTTTTATTTTCTTTTGTTTTGTCTTTCAGGTGATGGCCAACAACCATTTAGCATCAGTTACACTGTATCCCCATTGCAACAAGACAGACAATCATCTTATAACATAAACGTCCATTGAATTGGAGTGGTTAGGTGTGTGATTACGTGACTCAGGCTGGCTGGAGAAACGTTGGACTAGAATGTTCTTAGCGGAGACACAAATGTCTCCTACCTTTGTTTGGGAAAGGGTTTTTGATATATTGTTAGAGAGAGAAGCCGCGTTCATTTTTTTCTTTTTTTTTTCTAAGAAAACCATAATTGGTTTCGAAGAAAATTTTTGACGCTGGGATAAACTTTGAGAAGTAAAAAGAGGGAAGTTTGAAACTTTCGTGTTACTGTATTCGATTGGTTACATTACTTGTTTTGCAGTAGCTAATTATATTATGACTGTTATTGCTTAACATTTTCAAAAATTAAAACTAATTTATAGCCTTCCATTTTGTAAATAATGATGTAAATAAAACGAAATGGGTTTAACTTGTGAAGTAACAATGTAATTTTATCTAACGAGATTATTGCATTTACAAATAAATGAATTTCATGAGTATGAAATTGGGTTTTGACAGTTGAAATGAATGTGCGCGACTTTTGTTGAAAAGAACTTGACAACATTTCAATTCACATTTCATAGCCCCCAACACCCCCCCCCCGAAAAAATACACACATATGTATATATATTATTATTGGGGCCAAAATCACTAGTACATGTCCAACGTACGAACAAAATTACCTGAAGTATTAAAGCGAAATGAACATTTGAAGCGGTTGCTAAAATAGGATAATAGATCACAAGATTACTACAATTATACGTAAAGAAATCGAAAAGGAGAACACAAAATAAAGGAAAATAAAAGAAACAAACGTTGTACGAGATCCTGGCTGGTTAAAGACGATTTAAATGATGCAGAAAACGATGGCACAGTACAAGTTAAATGATAAAGCCGAATGAATAAAATTTACGGTAAAGAACTTACATATATACACGAACAAACAAAAATTATGCGCAAAAAAGGTAACAATATCGATGAAAGAAATGTCCGTGAAAACAAATGAAGCGACAAAGGCAAAAATAAATGAAAAGAAACGCGAAATAGTTTTGGCGGCAACATGTCAAACATTATCAGGTCTTGTTTGAGCAATGGATGATAGGTGAATAATTGATAATTATAAGTGAAGTTTCTAGTGTAGGAAACCACAATCGTTTCAGACTTCGATGTAGATTTAAAACAATCCCTCATTCCCAACCCCTCTTTCTTTATGTGTTGATTCATTTATTGATGAAGGTAAGACAAAATCCCCAATATCTACGAAAGCTTTATCGTGACCGTAGGCAGAGATATAAGAATGCAGACGGCGCTAAGAACAACTCAGAAGGCAGGATTCTGTACCCTTTTGCAAAAGATATAGTGCAGTATTCGCTTACTACTGATGGTTTTACAGTATCATAGATTACATCATCACACGTTATCAGGTCAAAACCTTAAAAAGAGTCAATTGACGTATTGACAACAGAGGTCCTCTGAAATTTTACTGAGGGTAGAAGCTTTTAACTCCGATCTGATAATTCGCTATAGGATGACTCAAATTGAGACATCTTATTGATAATATTTAACGATGTCAGAAGTTCTTAATGAAAAAGAAAAGTAAACCAAAATTTATCTTAAATTTATCGTCGTCATGCTAAAATCGACAAGAGGCCCAGCAGGCGATAAGGCGAAAACACAGGTCTTCTCCATTTAAACAAGCTGCAAAAATTATCAACAAAAGTTTATTTTTTGTGTGAGAAACGGAAAGCGAAGTAAAAAATTTATCATCACTTTGTCGACGGGTCTTCTCTTATTTAAACAAGCAGCGAATTTTATCAACAACAGAAGATTAATTCTTGTTGATTCGCTGTCGAATGATTCAACGGTGGTCAAATCAGATATCCTATTGGTTGTATTTCAAGAAATTAGTTTTCTTGTGTAAACAGGAAGGCGAAGTGTTAGAGGGAAACCCCCAGCAGGTGCGTTAGAGGACTTGACTCTGTGTTGAATTTTTGATGTAAGGACATCAAACAGTATAAATGGTTGAGAATATGAGAACAAAATTACGGGTGAAGAGTCGTCCTGACTTAGTTGGCAAGGAAGAAATATTTATGTCTTTCACATTTATGGTCTTGGTTTTTAGCATTGTTTAATAAAGAGAAAGTAAAAATAGAAAACAGTTGACATAGAGCATTCTGTCTTAATTCCGTTTGCTTCAGTCAATCAAAGCATCTTTCACTTGTCAGTCAGTTTTCAATATATTAATCTGGACATCCATCACATTTACTAAAATAAAGTAACTTAAGATCTCTGCGAGAGCTTTTTAGAGTTTTCCATGCAGATCCCCTCATTATTACAATTATCTTTAAAGTCACCATTTCACATTATGTTACCTACTATGGCCTTAAATTCTGTCAAACAATTATTACATGATTGTCTTCATAAATCCTTATGCAGGATCAGCCGTTTATTGTTATTGTTATCGCTAAATTTCTTTGAATTTACCTCCTAATACAGCACTGGCTTTGGTTAGAAAAATTATTTTCATTTCCGATCAGTTATACGAGACCATAATCTTGAAGGCCAGACGACATTTAAAATCAATCATTTGAAATGTTCACCGTTACTATGCGTCAAATAAAACTCATTCGTTATCGAGCTGTCTTTTCACTTTCATTTAGTCTGGCTAATTAAACAAACGAACCAAATTTTTATTTAACCAAACGTCAGGCCTCGATACCTCTCACAGTGTTTGTAAAATTACTTTGAACCAGCCGTGATATGAGCTCGCTTGTATTTGTTAAGGGATTCCTCTTTTGCCATGTCTTCATGCCCGCAGTTTTTAGCTTTTCGAAATCCGCCATTGGGAGTATTGATCATGGATTTGGAAAACATGACGGAGGGACCCTTTTTATTGAACATGTTCACTATGTTTTGGATGTAGAACCCGAAATATCTGTTTCAACGTACGATAAGATAATGTGTGCGTTTAAATGTCTGCATCAAAGCTTTTGCCTTTCGTTCAACTATGATGCTCGCTCGCCGGGAAACAACAGCTGTGAGTTACTCAGTAAAAACAAGTACACACTTTCTGAAAGATTTCAACCAAGTCAGTTTTTTAATCATTACAGCTTGATGGTAAGGATAAACGGTAGTTAGATTAAAGTAAGATGTGAAGGAAAGCATTTTATGAACTAGATTCGAATTGGCTTTTACATGAAATATTTCAGCTTCATAGTACCATCTGTAAGACCAAAACATTGATAGAACAGGCTAAAAAAATAGTTCTCATTTCAGTTCACTCCAAAATATCAAAGATATAAACATTTTTCAAAGACGAGTCGTTTGCAAATGGTTTCATTTATTTACTTTTGTTGCATGACCTGTTATAGTACTCTTTCATATCCTTCCAGTAGCAGTCTGTCATTCACCTTCTCTGAGTGCTACCTTAATTGTTTCAGAGCCCATGTGAAAACGGTCCATGTAAAAAAGGAGCAAAGTGCAACCCACTATACGGATCTAACGGTTACTATTGCGAACGAAGTCCAGGGAGTATTGAGCAAGGTAAAATTAAAGTTTGTGTCTGGTACTGTTATTTTCATTTTTGCCGAGGCTGCATATTATTGCGAGATTCATTAGTCTCGCAAGTGTAGGTCAGCGCCTCCAAGTCGAAATGATTTAAAACCCCCCGGCTATGGAGCTAAAATCGGGATATGCCTCTTAAGAGAAACATTAGTTTGCACTTAATTCTCACGGTTCCTATTTAGTATGAAGACTTGAAATATGTGTACGATAAAGAAAACTTACAAACACTTTCAAATTTTGCTTTAAGTTAAATCTTTCGTTCGTAAGCATTTGCTATCTTACTCCATTACGGACGAAAATGGATTGGAACTCTCAAAATTTAAATACAATACCATAACAGAAGTGGTCGTCTCAATTAGAATTTTTGCCCATGAAAGCTCATGATTTTGCAGATTTTATGTTTAAAAATTTGAAAATACAATGGAAAGACTGACTCGTCGGCGGTACTGCTAGCTGGCTTGTGGGCAGTTTAATTTAGAAAGCTGAGATTTCCATCCAAACTCAGAACTTGCAAAAAGCCAATAACTTAACAGGTTACTCAGATCCACAGCTTTTTTTAATTGGTTTCCGAATTTCCATGGGGTCAGCGAACGAAACTGAGGCTGAGTTGAAGTTCGCCCATTCCTAAGATTGGCCCCAGTCTCCGTTGCATTCAAGGATTCCTAAAATTGAGCGACTTTCCATAAGAAACAGTCTTTCTTACGACTTTTCCAAAGTGAAAGTACTCTATGGTTCTTCCATCATTCCTTTCAGGGTCCCCATGGATTAAACTTAACAAAAATGTGGTCTGCTTTGGCGCCAAAAATGACGCATTCGGGAACTTCACTGTGACGTCTCACGGAACTATTCTAACAATGAGGCTGGTCTACATTTCGGGGTTTGTGACGTGTAATAACAGAACCGTCCCTTATGGAAGTCATTGGGCGTGCAAAAAGGGATCACGTATTGCAACAATTGTCACCAGTGCAGCCAAGAATGTTATATTCCCAGAAGATTACAAAAACAAATCTTACTCATTAGTTGGTTACCATGCCAACTCGTCAGAGCTGGTATTTCCACCCCGGTCTAAACCCCTGAAGGTAACTAATGGCGAGGAATACCAAATATGGTATAACGAGGATTTCGTTAATGGAGAAGAATTTAACAACGGCGGACAAACCTGCGTGAATGTTTACGCCCTGTATGAGTCATAACAGGCCAACTGCTTACTTCCTCTCACTGGATTAGAAAATAGCGGAATTAATAAAGTTGTCGTCTGTGTGATGGAAGTTCTGAATATAACCGTTGTCGGTCGAAGCGACTGACTTCATGGTCTGATGATGAATTCCAACCAGGTTTTCAAAGCGTAAATTGTTGTCATTTGTACGATTATGGTTATGATCGACCGTTTACTGTTACCGCTCACTTTAAAATAAGTAATATTATTTCAAAATCATTGATTGTTTGAAATTTTCGCGTTTCTAAAATGACCCTTCCACGTTGCGCTACATGCAGTATTACATTAGTGTTTTGAGGTTTTCTCGTGTATAGATTCACATGGAGGTACTTTTAATTATTATATCTGTGAAACTTTTTAATGGTAATTTACTATAATTATTTTCTTTTTTGTGCAAATCACACAATGGTATGGTCAGGATATCATGCCCTAGAAATCAATAAAAGTGTTGCGAACTTGTAGCTGTTTCTTCTGCACTGCTTTCGCCATCTATTAGATATCGCAATATGCACTAACTATAATTTCCAGACTATGAACAGTCCCTCCTTTCCGGCGAGGACCATCGCCGGGCAACACGGTCATTTGCATGGCTCAAACTGTGATAAGAACGACAATGATTGACGTGAGGAAAGCGGTCTTCTTACTAAGAAAGAGCAGTGTTCCAGTTAAACAGCTGCGGCCTGGAGATGTTAGACGTAGCTGGAATAGAGACTATTCATAGGTAGCCCAAGCTCCCGTTGTGAGATGGTAATCTTGCGAAATAAGATTCATGGCGAAATTGTAAGAATTTGTATGGGAATATTTACGAGCGCTCCTAGGAATAAAAAAAGACAGTCAAACTCTTAATAAAAGTACCTCACCTTACTTCCACAGTGTATCGCTTGTTATCAAACCGCTTACTATGTTGAAAAGAACCCATTTTAGCGAGTTATCCATTTCCAGGTTTATTACAAAGGAGGAGTTGTAATTTCGCAAGATGATCATCTCACACTTAGACTGATTATTGCTAAGTAAATTGTATGCCTTTTGCTTACCTGCCTCTGTTGTGTTTTCATTTGCTGCGAGGTCCAACGTGCATAGCTGACAGTTGTTGTTGGTGATGGCTTCAGCCAAGTTCTGTGCTCCATTGTCTGCGATATTATTATTCCAAAGATTTAATGTGTGTAGCTGACAGTTGTTGTTCTTGATGGCTTCAGCTAAGTGCTGTGCTCCAGTGTCTGAGGTGTCATTGTATAAGAGGTTTAATGTGTGTAGCTGACTGACATTGTTGTTGAAGACTTTAGTCAAGTGCTGTGCTCTTATGTCTGAGATGTTATTTAATGAGAGGTTTAACATGCGTAGCTGACGGTTGTTTTTGTTGATGGCTTTAGCCAAGTGCTGTGCTCCAATGACTAAGATGTTATTTCCCTAGAGGTTTAATGTGTGTAGATGACAGTTGTTGTTGTTGATGGCTTCAGCCAAGTGCTGTGCCCCAATGTTTGAGATTTTATTGTATGAGAGGTATAAGGCGCGTAGTTGACAGTTGTTGTTGTTGATGGCTTTAGCCAAGTGCTGTGCTCCAATGTCTGATATGTCATTTTCTCTGAGGTTTAACGTGCGTAGCTGACAGTTGTTGCTGTTGATGGCTTCAGCTAAATACTCTGCTGCTTCATCTGTCAATTGATTGTTTGTGAGGTCTAACCAGCTCAGTTGAGAATTCCCACATTTTAACAATTTACAAATCTCAAAACAACCTAATAGACCAATGTTTTTGTATCTCAAATTTAAATGTGAAATTTGTTGAACGTTAATTACATTTACTAACGAAGAGCACTCAACAGCTGTGAGGTGACAATAAATAAAATTTACATAATTAGAGTTTATTTGTGGAAGTTTTCTCTGTGCTTCTATCTTCATTCTACTATTTTCGTTTAAACATTTAATTAATGTCACTGCTAAATCTTGTTCGTCTTTAGTCGGGCAGAGAGTCACTTTCCTTTTTTCTTCATTCTCTGTCCACTGTTCGTTGTAGTCTGCGCTTTGTTTTTCTTCAGTTTTCACAGCAAGAAGGTTAGAGATAATTTCGCTTGGTAGGTCATTTTTATCCACCATAAGTCCTGCTAGAAACGGAAAAACCAGCAGCCATTTGCTTTCTTTGATGTTCTCGGTAATAAAGTTCCTTAATTCTGTTGCACTCCAGTTTGTTAGGTGCCTCGCAGCGAAAAACTCCTGCATTGTAAGATGAATGAAACAGAACTGTTCTTCTCTACTAACGGGTCAGGTTCACGGTCGGGTAAGCGGTGAAATAGAGCGCTGTCTTCCATTCCGCGTACTTCGTTTCCTACAAAGATTAGCGTTCTTTCTTTAATTCCTTCAATTGCCATTTTTTCCAGTTTCTTCAATTTCTTTTCTTCTTTAGGGGGCAAATCATTTGATTCAAAGTCTTCGCGAGTGGAATGTTTATATCGAAATTCTTCGTTGTGTCTTAATAGAAAATTTTCACGGCTCTCTTGTAAATGTTTGTTAAACTTGTTGGTAGGTCGAGACTTTTAGAACCATAGAACTTCACCATTTTAAAGAGACTTGAGCAAATGATGAAGCAACTCGCAGGAATGTAGCAGAGAGATAAGATGTTAATGTTGCTGGAGATGTGACGTCTTTCTTTTGAGGCAAATACCATGCATTATCAGCGTCACCACACGAAAGAAATTGTAAATTGTCACTGAACACTCTCCTTCACCTTTCCCTTACACCTTGGCTAGGGTGATTTTGTAACTGAGTGCCTTACGACCAGTTTTCCAAATCCTTGGCCTATTCGACTGACTTGTACGACTGCCAACCGTGATACAAAAGTGAAGACATGAGAGACACTCCCATATGAAAATAAAACTACTGATTTTCAGTTTTTTCACCATCATATGTTCTCTATTGTGCTCAGGCCGCTTTTTAGAGATTTGCATTTACCCGTTACACCTTACTGTCATTAAGCATATTCTCCATACTGTTCTTTATACATTTCCTAAAGTGCTGACAATGAGATTTTGCTCACTGATCAAAAGCGTCTTTTGTTGGTAGTCATTTCCTTCGTTCTCATGACCTTAATGTGTGATTCAGGGGTAGTATTGTAGGGAGAAATTAGTTGCTGGTCACTCTTGGGGTTTAAAGGATTAATGCAGAGTAACCCGTCACTAGTTTTTCCCAAAAGATAAGGGATAATAGTGTCGGAAAGGTGGATACAACACTAACTTCTTGTTAATGCTAACAGTTTTGCGTTTCGCCAAACAGCAAAGTAAACATAGAGACAAAATACACTGCGATAAATATAAATCTAGTTCGTTTCAGCTCGTTTTTATAATTTTCAAAACTTGTTACAAGCGAAAAGACATCACGTCTCGTTAAAATTATTCATTTGTTATAGCTTATGATCACTCGGATCGCACAAGCGTTGACTGAATTTGTACCGTATAATACACTCTCTCGATGTTGGCAGCACTTGGTATAACCCACAGGAACATCTATCCATAGTTTCTAGTCGATTGCCCATTTCACTATCTGATTCACTTTTCTTCCAGATTTGGAGTACATTCTGGCTTGAAACGACCCGAAAAGAGCCGCCGTGACCACGATCGACGGAATAGTAAACAATGGAAACAAATAATGAAGCAGATCGGACCATTGGTTAGTTATGCTGGTTAAAGGAAGCGATCAACTTATAAATAGCACCATCTGAAACAGAATCATGCGGACAAGGTCGTGTTTTACACAACACTCATGAAAGATCACTGTTTATTTCTAAAAGAAAACAGCTTACAATAGCTGATAATTGATAACCCAAATCCATTCCTAACAAATGAGCGAGCTTTTGACCACACAGTTCCAGAGGACTGCCAGTTCCCGCGTCAACTTTCGATTGGCAAATGAAACTTAGAAACTAATCAACTGATTTTAAGTTTCTCGACCTATTCTCCGACTAAGGTCTCCTCTGAGACATTAACAACTCTTTCTCAATCTCGTTCATTGCTAACTCTGGTGCTCTTTCTCGGCTAGAAAAGGATACCGTGCTTTCACGCTATCTAGCAAACCGTAAAATGACTGGAAAAGGAAATTTAACAAAGTTATCAGTATATTCAGTCATCGGCGTTCTGTAAAAGCGATTCACTGAGAGCCAAATCCCAATAGTGTTCTACTCCGTATTTCTTAAGATGTTCTCTCGCCATGGACTGCATCGGACATAACTTAAATTTCCAGTCACTGAAGCTTCTCTCCTGATTTGTGCCCTACACAACGGAAAAAAGTAATCATCAGCTGTCACCTATGAGGGTTGATTACTGCCAAAAGTAAGTTTGGGATTTTGTTTATGCTGTTTGCCAATGCTGTTTGAACGTTTTCACTGATGTTTTAGTGTTTGACGTGTTCTCAATTATGTTCGCCAAAACGTCACTGTTGTTTTGTTGCTCCTGTATTCGATTCTTCGTATTCCACATTATGTTTGTCCAACAGGTGCATAAACTATGCACTTATATGCTTTTTTAGCCCGATTTACGCCGGCATTTTGATAATTATTTCCTACAAATTGGCGAATTTTTCATATGAAAATCAAGGTCGAAGAGAAGGGTCTCCTCTGATCACACTGGTATGAAAAATATTTCTGGTAAAGTTTTCCATATTTTGTTTGTGAAGTGACTGACGACATTTTCCAACTTGTAGCAAGGGAGAATTCCGTGAGATGTCACAGCAGTGCCAGCGCGCTCGACAAAATCTGTGAAATTTACACTTTCGATTGCTGTCCACGCAGGCGGTCTAGCCAAAAATCAATTTTGTCGTGTAACGACGGAAAAGAAGAGAATTGGAGAACCAAACTATTCTTTTTCCATGGGAAGTCGAGAGGATGCTCTTAGCGAAACGAAATATCACTCGCGAAACTATAGCGGTCGAGCTCTCTCGAGGAACATAACTCGAAACACGAATAATAGACTCGCACTTTATTATAACAGAATACGTAATATTCACATAAACATAAACATAATGCGGAATACAAAGAATCGAATACAGGAGCAACAAAACGACAGCGATGAAATCTCAAACTTAATTTTGGCGGTAATCACAAATTATGGTTACACAATTCTGTTTGTTAGGGTATACAAGACACTTTCAGACCTTGCGTGACCGAAATACAAAGAGAACATGATACAGAACAATCGTTCTTCCTAGAGAGAAGTTTCTTTCATGTTTACTTTTTCCAAGTTAGGTGAGCAGTCTTGACAAAGGATCGCGACAAAAGTTTGACCAATGATTTATAACAAATTTGTTCCATAACTACTACACAAATCATGTCATCCTCATCACAAACCGCTATCTGAAATGGGGTGTGTACAGATGTACTCTTACCTCCCACACGAGTACACAAGGAGCGGTCTTTTTGTTTGCTACTTCTTCAGCGTGATCATCATCATCAGAATCTTTCTCGTCTTCCCACTTGATTCGACTCAACATTAGACGTTTGAATTTTTTCACAGCTTTTGGCCCTCCTTCCACAATGACTATATTGATATCTTTGTACAGGAGAGCGCACCCTGTTGATAGAGCAAAACTTCGGTAAAAAAAAAACAATAAAAATAACAATAACAACAAAAACAAAAAAAGAAGAGAATCAGACATTACCCAGCCGCCTTAAACGCAGGCTTTCCCACTGAATATCTTTGAGTAACGATTTAAAACCAAACCACTGGGTTAATCTAGACCATCATCGGAAAATTTTTGAGATAAATATGTGTTTGAGTGTGTCAAGGTATCTTTAAGAACCATTTTCGCCCATGTGACGGCTGTGCTTCCATGCAAGAAATTTAAGGAGAAAGGTTGCACAAATCATTACACTAGGTCAGACAAAATGTATCTCTTCTTCAAAAGAAACCCTAAAAAAAAAATTATAGCTGTCCTTAAAGCACCACTAATCAATGTACTGGTCTGTCCTTATGAAAGTGGAAAGCCTCAGGTAGGCGCTGAAGTACACCATAAACCATAATCGCCCTTCGTGCATTCACCGGTTATTTGGTGTAAGTGGGGTATCCCGCCTTGGCGTATTTGCATGTCATTGTCAGCCGAAGTCACATCTTCGAGTTTAAACGTTTCAAGGAGAGGAAACCGGCTTTGCCGAGTCAGCTTCACGTTAAATCTGAGAGTATGTCACATTCAAACAACAGCAATACGGCTACTCTCTGGCAGGGCTACGAGCCCTCGAACAAAACGAAGTGAGAATAAAGCGTAATGCGTAGGTGTAAGCAAGTCTCATTACTTCACTAGGAGAAAAGATTCCGCTCTCTTTCCGGAGATTGTGGAAAAAAATCGTTGGTTTTATCATCTATTTTTTTCCTCAGAACGCGAAGAAGTTTAATGTTCCCTTTTACCATAATCACTTCAAAACAGAAAATAACTTGCTAATGCAGGTAAAAGTATAAAATGCCTACTATTGTGAATCTCCTTTTCCTCGTTTTGGGTCTTTGTTTTACGACTTTTTAAGGCCTCTTTATCTAGTTCATGGGTTCTTCGTCTACTTGGTTGGGGGAATCTTGGAGTTTCATCTTAGGTGCTTCGTTTTTGTGTTTTGAGGGGTTTTTCTTTCCATGTTGTGGAGGAATCTCCGTTTTTCGTTTGTTGGGTCGTTCGTGCTATGGGGTTTTTCGTTTTCTTTTGTGTCCCACACAGACTGTTGCACACTAATTAATAGATTTACTGCGTCTCCAATTAACCTCCTTTATTTGATCATAAAAGGGTGAGCATTGTAGCTGTGCATAAATAGAATGGCCCAACGTGCACTAAGTACGTGACGACCTATTACTTACAAAGTGCAGATACATACCAGTTAAGTACAGCTGCTGAGCATTAATATCCACTTTGTACTTTCTCTGAGGATTTTTAAGTTCTGTTACTCTGAACAACGCCACATGAACACCAAGGGATGTGTCTTCCTTCAATTTACGGATTGTTTTCTCACGTCGTGCCTGGGGAGTCAGTTTTCTCGCAGCGTTGGCAGCTTCGTGAGCCCTGTTAATAAAGAAACAAGGCAGATGATTACTGTTTTGGAACCAGTGAACTGGTGCAATAATTTAAAGGTCTAACATCCAACAAAGTGAACTTCATAGAAGTTTAAGGAATCGCTCAATGACATTTCAGATGACATCAAAATCCAAACCACTTGGTAAGAAAATCAGGCATTGTATCTCCATTTCAGAACAACAAAGCACACTCCTGAAAAAAGTTTGCTAAGTCAAAATTTGTTAGAGAGCGGCATTTATAAAGCACGTCTACACATGGTTACATAATTTGAATATATAAGATGCAGTGAAAGGCATATCCTGGTAAACTGTGGCGACACACCTGAATTGTTCACTGAAGTGTTCAATGCTCTCTAACATGAAGAGAAACAATTGTGTAATTTTATGTGTGTTTTACAGTGCATTTACTTGTACTGTAGATCTCACTAGAACACTTTTTAAGTAGATGGGAATAGCATTTAGATGGTTAAGTTACACAGAGCATTAAACCAGCACAGGCAAATGAAGCTTACTTCTGTCTTTGGGCCATCTGTGCTCGAACATGAGCTTCAACTTTAGTGGGGTCCTGTACTGCTTCATTCCCCAAAACTCTCATCAGGTTGGAAATTTTAACTAAAAGCAGAGGAAAAAGTACTCAGTAATGGACATCTGTTAAGCAGTATATGGAAGTTATGGCACACATTCACCTGAGATGACATGACAAATTAAGTCTTAAGATTTCACTTTATGATCCTGAGGTGTTTCTTCCTTAAAATTCAGTGTTTGTTAAGTAAATAAATAAATGGACAGGAATACCCCATAGGGTAGGACATCCCATAGGGTAAGACACCCCATAGGGTAGGACACCCCATAGGGTAGGACACCCCATAGGGTAGGACACCCCATAGGGTAGGAAATCCCATTGGGTAGGAAACCCCATAGGGTAGGACACCCCATTGGGTAGGACACCCCATAGGACAGGACACCCCACAGGGTAGGACACCCCATAGGACAGGAAATCCCATGGGGTAGGACAACCCATAGGGTTGGACACCCCATATTGTCATTGCTTTTTCCAATATCAAGTGTGCCCCAATTGAAAACAAAAAACCAGAATGTTTTCTTAATCAATAGAACATCCTTTCCAAAGGAATTATATAAAAACACACTTGTCAATTTAATTCTGTTAGGAGCCAAAGTTTGTTTCCATAACAAACTGAGTAAGTGACAGATCTAACCTTTGGGAGGTGGTGGTGGTTCAAGGCCAAGCCTGATTTTTTCCTGTTTTTCTTTTTCAATCTCCCGTCTTCTCTGAGTACGAATCTTCTTTCTTTCCTTCTTTGTTAACATGATGGGTACAGATGGAGCTTCTTTGGGTTCAGCTTGAAAGAAGAAATGAAGAATTTATGTCAAAACAATTACCTGGTCTTTGAACTAATTATTTCTTATGTACTTTATATGGAGATTATTCCATGGAAAGTGCACATGAATAATTTCTATTCACAAATTGCAATACATAAAAAAAAACATGTGAGCACAGTGAACAAATAAGTTTTTTGATGCATTGCAACTAGTAAATAAAAATTGTTTAAACACTTTCCATAGTATAAATATATTTTTTTAAATACATACCAAGATTTTTTCACATTTCAATTCAAAGATTGGAAGTGAATGAATGTGAAAATACATTGTTCATCCAGTCAGAGAACCAAACAATATTACTTCAAAATGAACAATCACATTCCTCATAAAGATACGAGGCAAACAAACAATCTTCAGCTTTGTAATATTGTTGGAGGAAAAATAATTTTTTAATGTTATCTGCAGCCACTTTATATCATCCTGGTTTTGCAGCTCTTTGGATTCAACTGATTTTGTTCAATGCAAGATAGAATCAGTGAACGTATTGAGGTGGATATGTTTTTCAACCCATTACAAGCTTTGATTAATAACCAACATTTGGCCTACCAGGAGGGTGTTTTTGTATTGGATGTTCAACCAGTGTTGTTATTCCAGCAATGTCATCTTCTACATTGACAGCATCTAAACTGATGTACTTTCCACCTGGTAAGATATTGGAATCCCACCATTCAACATCTGGAACAGTATCCTCATGAGCTTCTCTTGGTGTGATCAGTGCTAGTTTTGTTGCTGATGAAATCCCTGTCTTCTTAGCTGCTGCTGCAATCTCCTTTTGAAGTTTATCAAGCTGTGCCTATGAGCATAAAAATGTAACATTTTTAAGCATTTTGTTTCAACAACTACATGCATATCTGGCTGTTGGTAATTTAGTGTTAATGACTGAATATTGGTCACCATAAAAAGTTTAAAGGCTGACATTTTGAGTGTTAGCCCTTCATAAGAGCAATTAACAAAGGGCTAATGCTCGAAACGTCAGCCTTTAAACTCTTTATGGTGGCCAATTTACCTTTTCAACTTAGTTGTTAACACTAAATTACCTCTCCCAATGACGCAGCACCATAGTTTCTTTCGAAACCTACCCTCTTTATTCATTTATCTGGCTATTGGTTTACTTTATAAATACAAGAAAGGAAATATTAAACAACTTCTGACACAGACACAAATGTTGAAGTGGTACAAATAATAGCCCCAAAGACATGGATATACATTTACAAATACATTCAATGAACTAGTATTGCAGAATATTGTAATAAAAAAGAATATTCATATTTTCATACAAAAGTGGTAATTATTGATCATGATTTTGTCAAGTTATTGTTTTCTAAGACTGACAAAGTGACAAATATAGAGCATGTTGCTATGCAGGAAGATAATGAATATTCACTGTACCTTAGCTCTTATTCTCTGAGCTAGTTGTTGAAACTTTCCTTTGTCATGAAACTTAAATCCCCTTTTGTTCCGCTGTGCTGCCTTGATCCTGGTTCAAGATTAAAGAATCTTATCATTAGCCTGATCCACATTCACTAATATTAACAACTGATGAACAGATATCACTCAATCAATCAACGATTTCAGTTTACTGTGACAAACACAATTAATTTCCCTATTACTTAATTGCTTTTAACTGCCATGCGGTACTTTTGCTACTGAGAACTGAACTACCACTGCTACTATTACTTCTTTATTACGAGACAGATTTAACAACTAAGACAACCCATGTATAGCATAGGCTAATCTTGGTGAGTATTAGTAATAAATACATACTGAGTTATGCTGAGCAAAAAGATATAATTACCATACAATTGCTACTTCATGGTTCAATTAACTAATACATAAGTCAACACAGCAAGCACAACCAGCACAGCAAAAAAATAACTAGATTTAGCCTTGAAATGGAAGGTAGGAGGGGAGGTTATTAAGTAAATATAGGCATTTCCTTACCCAACCCGTGGATCAAAATACTTGCTTTCATTCAAATCTTCAGGAGGTTTTTCAATCTTAAATTGTTCTGCTTTCTTAGCACGAATGTTAGCCTTTAGTGTTGGCATTCTGCTGGTCAGCTGAATGGCCCTTCCAGATGCATCAACCGTTCGACCTGATTCATCCAAGATCAAGGACCTAGGATGGGTGCTTTCATCCTTCAGAGCACTCACTGAAATTAAACCTGACTTTATCAAGTTTGCCCCAGCACTTGTTAAACCTGAAGTGGAGAACTAAAGGATTGTACAGAAATTAAAATCGCTGGCAAGAAAACAATAACAAAGATCTGAAACTCAACACAGTATGCTGACATGTACTATTGCATAGTGCAGAAAATAACATATTGCCTAGAAAAATATTGTATATGTGGATAATGAAATAATTGTGCGTGCTATTAAACAAGAATAAGCAATTCAATTTTTTTAAGACTACAAAAATGCACAAGCCAAAAGCATAAGTGAAATTTGCAGTATGTTAAATTCAGAATGCATGTTATTCCTGAATGCATTTGGTTCTGTGTGAAAAATCATGCATTTTGTTTTTTTTTTACTCAGTTTCAACTATCTCTATTGTTCAAAAGTTAACTGAAATAATCTTAACCTATGAGCAAGATGAAAGTTTGGAAAGTACTTGTAAGTTTGTTTATCTTGGGTTTAATTTTTTGGCAGTACCAATAACAAATAAATCTATGCAGCTTACTTATTAACTTACCAAGTTGGGTTTGTTTGACAGCTGTGCCTGAATCTTAGCCTGGAGTTCTGCAGCTCTTTTAGCTTTTTCTATTGCTTCACTCATCAATTCTTGTTGTTGTTGCATGCTAGGAATATTCTGTTCAATCAAGGAGAAATAGTGAGTTTGATGTTTCCTTACAATTAATATAGAAGTAATTTCACATGTTCAGAAATATACCTAGGTATCCTAGGTATGTAGGAGGCACGGTGGCCTCATGGTTAGTGCGCTCAACTCCAGATCAGGCGGTCCAGGTTCAAGCCCTGGCTGGGGTCATCGTGTTGTGTTCTTAGGCAAGACACTTTACTCTCACAGTGCTTCTCTTCACCCAGGTGTACAAACAGGCACCAGCAAATGTGCTGGGGGTAACCCTGCAATGGACTAGCATCCTATCCAGGGGGGAGTAGCAATACTCCTAGCCACTTCATGCGAAGAAAACCAGAGTTAAGCACCGGCCCCATGGGCCACTCGGGCCCATATAAAGGCTTTACTTTTACTATGCTGTACTCTAGAACTGATCCATTGACAAATTATACATTTGTGTTATCAGTTAAATTGCTAATTTTAATGTTTCGAGTATATTTACCTGTCCAGGGACTGGAGGTGGGAAGGAAGCTGGAACTGTAGAAATAGCAGCTGGCTGGACTGGTCTCATAACCGTCAGCTGCTTCTTTCGCTCTTCAATTTGTTTTTTCATACTTGCCACCATTTCACTAATTTGGCTGCTACTAAGCGGAGTAGGCCTCTCTACTGTTTCAGGAATGGCTGGGGGTAGAGGTACGTTATCTTCTTTTAAAGCGTCGAACCGACTTTGTTTTCGCTTACTCTTAAGATCGGCAGATTCATTACGATCATCTCCTGGGTCATCTCCAAACACATCTTCTAGCGTCCTCTTTTTTGCTTGAGAACTTTTTCCAGAGGTAGAATTCTTGCTGTTTTTAAGCTGATATACTTTATCAAATAAGTCTGTGACAAACTGAGGAGCTAAATCGTCTAAAAGCGACGAGAGCTTCTCTTGCGATGAAACTCTATCCAAGTTATTCTTCACGCAGTACAAGGCAGCGTTAACAACACTTTTCTCATTAAACCCAAGCCGTCGCTCCACAGTTTCTTCCACCCAAGGCTTCAGTTCCTCTAACTCTCTTCTACTTACAGCCATTCCTTCTCTTCCGAGCTTAAAAATACTTTAGATTTGGATCACAAATTGATTACTACCTTCCGTTCTCCAAACGTTTGCGAGAGAAGAATAAATACACCTCAATGAGGTCAGCGGTAAAACAACTTTAATACTTCATATAGAGATGTAATGTAAACACAGGAACCTTTATATACCGGGTAATTCCCATCCTGTGAAAAAGGTGGGTTGGACATTTCAGTTACATTTTTGGGAAAAATGTAGGGGTAAGTTGCTAATTTCATGATGAGACTGTGTTCCCACTTTAATTATTTGTTGGGACAAATGTGGGAGAATATTTCCATTTTAATTACAAGTTGGGGTAACATGATAATTACCGGAATCCAGCTCATAATTCCCATTTTGATCACAATGCGGGAAATTAATGTCCAGGTATTTCTCCAGTAATGGGAAAGTTTCCCATGTAATTCTCAAATGGGAATTGTCAAAAGTTTCCTGTGAAAGCGGAAATGTCACCAAGTTATACTTTGCTAGCTAATTAAAAAGTTATTTTCCAAAACTTTGACTGTTACAATATTTTTACTGCTACATTAACCAACAGAGGTATCAGGAAAGGCATTGCTGACACCGGGAAAGGTACCAAGCAGAATGATATTTACGTTTTGTAACTTATTGTGTGACGAAAAAAAGTATGTTGACTTCCAGTTGTTTAAGGCGTTATATTAACAGTTGACTTGCTTTTCACTTGCAGTCTCAACTGTCTTTTCCGGAAATATCAAAAGCTAAGCTACTCTGCAAAAATGTTGTTCTCGATCTATATTTTTTGAGTCTTTGATAAGTTTGTATCCACAGCCTACGATAAGAAATTAAAAATTTCCCTCAGCTGAAGTTCTATTATTGTATGTTATATATTTATATATACAATCACCTCCATTTCACGTGAAAAAAGGGAAGTAGGAAAACTGTGAGCTTCGAGAAAAAACTAAGTTATGGCTAATGTGTTTACCTTTCCTCAAATATTTATAATCAAGGCCACTCGTTTGGGATACCTTTTCCCAAAAGAATCAGACGTTAAAATAATTCTGTTTTCCGTTCGAAATGTCCTCTTTCCTATTTAGTTTAACAAACGCTCTCAGGATGCCACCGATGCCTTTCCCGATGCCTCCAGTAATAGGTATATGTATAATCAAAATTGCTTAACTTTTTGTTTAGCGAAGTATACTGCTCACAAATAGTGTCACGAATAGTTACTGAAACTACAACTGATTTGTTTCTACATGCGGTATCAAAGCTTTTTTACCGCTGACCACTCGTATTTCGGACTTTTTCGCTCCTAAACTGGCTCCCAACGTATCGCATTTCACGGAAGTCCCAATCCGCTGATTGGCTGATAAGGTACATACGGACTACAATGGTATCCAGGCTCTTTCAATTCTTCGTTCAATTTCGCGCGCTTTTTCTCTTTATAGAATCAAAAGTTCGATCAGCACTGTTTTTTTTCTCTCAGAATGGGAATTCACGGTCTTTCCAAGGTGATCGGAGACCATGCTCCCTCTGGATCAAAAGAGAACGAGATTAAGAACTATTTCGGTGAGTCAGTCAATTTCATGGTCGAAATGTTTCAGAGGGTATGCCACTTCATGTTTGGACATATGTGAAAGCAAAGTATGTTTGCATGTATGGAGGATATTACTCGGTGGCGAGAAGATATGAATTTAATGCTCGAGTGGTAAGAACAATTTCTCCCGAGTGAGCGCAGTGACTTGCCTTGAAGGCATAGAGTTCATTTTTTCGAGCTAACGCGTAATTTTCTTTTTGTTACAAGGACAAGACATATGTATGGTAGAGATTAGCAAGCTGGCTTTGATACAAATACTGGGTATTAATACAAACAAAATACCCGATGCCCAAATTGCATTACAGTTTGCCATTTTTTTTTATACTTTTGTTACTTTCAATGCCCTTAAAGTCTGAACAATTTCACTCGACTTTTATATTTCTCCGACATATTTTATTTACAAACATGACTTGTAAACAACAAAGATTTTATACAAACTTGTTTTAATTACTAAGTAGTCTTTTTAATTAATTACTGATATTATTTTTTTGTTTTGTTTTAATCATATGGTTCAATTTTTAGTGCAAAGCACTTATGCATTAACTATTCATCTTTATCTTTTATCTACATATAACACCAGTAGCTGGGCCAAATTACATGTGAACTGGTTTTCAATAAGCTGGGAAAAAAAAACTATTATTTGTTATGGCATGACTCATCAGATACCATTATTTCCAGGTTCTTTTACTATGAACTTTTAAGGGCGGTTCAGTAATATCTTCTATTTCTCTCTTTTGTTGCAACTTTTGGGAATTCCTTAAAAATCTTAAGATAATTCAACATTTTCTTTTTGTTATTGTCATCTTTATGTTGTTTAGAAAATGTATTTACATATTCATTGCTTACCACAACAAATCTGGGGGTGACTTTTATTCCAAACAATGAACAAACCAATTTCATTCAGCAAAGTTTGATGCTACAAGTGTTTTAGTTCCCATTAAAAATGCCCCTGTCCAAATATTAAATATATTTATATACACCTCTTTTCTGGCAAAAACGTTGCAATTTGAGAATATATGTTAAACATTTATACCTTTTTTTTTTCATAAAAAATGGAGATGGACGATGTAAGTACAATTCACATCTAGGGAACAAAACCTTTTTTTTATTGTGCAAAAGTGAAACAAAGACTTTGGGAACTTTTACAGCTGCTATTGTATTTTCCTTTGAGAGATTTTCCCTATAATTTATTCTGTCCACACCTTTTTAATGGAAAAAGAAGAGGTATACATATTTTGAAATAGCAATGTTTGTGAAAATGAGAGTGTATATATACATATATTTTAAAGTCATACCCCTCAAATGAATTGTATTTCTTTGCATAAAAAACTACTATTCTTATTTTTTATGTTTGCTCCTTTACTTAATAAGACTGTAATAATTTTGAGCACTGTGAGTTAGCTGTTTAAGTGATCCTTGAAACCATTTTAGGAAGGAAGATTGCAATTGATGCATCCATGAGCATTTATCAGTTTCTCATAGCAGTAAGATCTGATGGAAGTCAACTGACAAATGAAGCAGGAGAAATAACCAGGTAAATGCTTTTGGATAATGTGTACTTACAGCATCTGTTGTTCAAGTATCTGTTGACACTTATTGGTCAACTGGGTGTTGGCTGATATATCAGCTGATTCTCACCCAACATTTCAAACAAGTATTGGCTGAAATGTCAACTAACAGTGGTTGCCTCTCCACCTACTCATGTCATGCCAATACTTTACAGACACTCTGCCAATACCTTTACACTTTCATTTTAGATTTGACCCTACAGTGAAAGTGAAAGGAAAAGAACATGTCCATGTATATTCTTGTTCAGTATTTCCAGCAACATAATGGAATCCTGGGTGATAGGAAATATTACTTAGCTTGTGGGTAAGGGGTTGTACTTACTGAGCTGGCAAGTAGGTGTACAAGATGGGAACATTTACTGAACCAAATGAGCTTAATGCCCTTATCTCAAAGTGAACTTTCATGGGCAATATCTTGTAACAATCTTCAAAACATTTATTTGGATGCGAATCTTTGTACTCTATTTGTACATTATTTGTACTCTACTTTGTGCAGTTGGATGATAATGGTCAATGCTCAGTGGTCAGATACCTGTAGTGCTCGTGATCTAGAATTTTTAGAGATCCTCAATAAACTAACCAACTTTGTAGCATGAAACTTATGCAGGGCCGATTTTTATTTGAGAGTTATCAATATTTTTTATTTCTTTCTCATGTGGAACTGTTAGGTTTTTGTAGAAATCCTATGAAAATAACTCAATTTAAACAACAATTATGACAGAAATGACAGAACTGGCCAAGAAACTTTTGTAGGGAACTTTCATAAGAAACACAATATTATCTTTACTGACGTGATCAACATTAATACTATTTATCATTGGTTTTTAGTCATTTGATGGGCATGTTTTATCGAACTATCAGGATGATAGAGAATGGTATCAAACCTGTGTAAGTATACTTAAGTTGATTGTTATCAATAGTTTTAAGTTAATATTTCGGTGTGGACGTTTATGTTGGATATCATATTTAAACGCCACTAAGGCTTTGCTAGTTGTAAGCTTTTAGATATGTATGGTAATTGTTAGTAGCTTATGACAGGTGCTTTTCAAAGAAAACTTTGGCATGGCATGTCAGGGAGGGGCTGTCATGACCCCAAGTGTTGTGTTATTTTACTGTTTGTACCGAGTTCCAAGGAATCTGCCTCTGCTTATGTTGACGGTCCAGTGATCTTTACTGGTCTTCAATACTCCAAGACAGACTGTTATAAAGTAAGTTATTCAAGTAACCAGAGATAATCATGATATTATGAAATAAGGTTATATATTTCTCATCAAAGTGTGTGTTTCTTACCTGAACATTTCTTGTAGATATGTTTTTGATGGCAAGCCCCCTCTTATGAAATCTGGGGAGGTAAGTATTGTAACATATTAACCTGAAGTAAGGGTGATCAGCATTCCAATTGAATTCTGAATGTTTTACTGAATTAGCTGTCAGTGAAGTCTGTACTCAAGCCTATTGGCCCACCCAGCAGAAGCTTATCCCAGTTTCCTTAGCATGAAGCGATTAGTCCCCCTTGGATAGGATGCCAGTCAATCACAAGGTTTACCCCCAGCATTTTATCAGGCTTTCCTGACAATCAGCTGGTACCCATTAATCCTCTTGGGTGAAGAGAGGCACTGTGAGAGTGAAGTTTTTTGCCCAAGAACACAACATATTGACACGGCTAGGTCTTGAACCCAGACCTCTTGATCGGGAGTCCAGTGCATTGACCATTAGGTCACTGTGTCTCTCAAACTTCAACCTTAATAAGTGTCAATAAGTTGTGATTAACAACTGAGTGATTTGATTGACTTCACACCTGTTGTGATACACCTGATAGCCATTATAGATTTACTTCTGCTAAACCACAATTGTCATCTCTTTATGATACAGATTTTGTTGAGTAAATTTACCAATGCATACAATTTTTAAAAACCTTCACTACCACAAAGTTTTCATGATTTTGTTTTAGCCATGCATGTCAAAATTATTTCTCATGGTTTGATATATAATATTCATCAGTATCAGAGGAGTAATTTGTAATGAAACAATTATGTTGCAAACATGTAATAGAAGGTAAAGTGGTTGTGATTTCCATCATTCACACAGTTGGCAAAGAGAAAAGAAAAGAGAGAGGAGGCACAAAAAGGACTCGCCCAAGCAGAGGAAACTGGTTTGTTTTGTCTTTGTTACAAATGAATTGGACTGAAACAAATATTATTTCATGTAAAATGTATGTTTGGATGTTTTTGGTTGAAACTAATTGTACGTAGCCCAACACAGTTCAAATGTTGAGCTGTCAGGTATTATGCATTCAGTTCTTTGATTCGCAGACATAACTAGTATGTATTTTGTAACTACTGGACTAAGAAAGATATTACAAAGGACATAACAATCAACTGGCTTATGTGACTTTTTATATAGTTTGATAGTTTCTTGGTTGCTATGTTTGTTTATCTCTTTTTAAATGAAAAAAATTGTTTGAAATTACAGGTTTGTTTTTATAGCCGTATACTGTGTCCTGTTTTCTGTTTATTAACAGGTGATGCTGAAAGCATGGAAAAATTTTCTCGAAGACTTGTAAGCAGTTTTTTTGCTCCAGTTTATAATATTGAGAGAAGTTTAAAGTTGTAATTTTAAGGTGCCTGATGAGGTCAGTTTGCCTTGCTGAATTTTAAACCCTAACTTCATTTTGAAAAAGGTCTACTTGTTTGCTGTTAGTGGATTTTAGACAGAACTTTTAAGAATTGATTGATTTCCACATGTCAAAGGTACATTTTTAGTGAAAAATTGCCATCGTGAAAGGAATCAGGTCAAGATAAAAGTGCATACTGAAATTCCCTAAATATCCAAAAACAAAGACAATATATATATAATTTATGTAGGACTTGTATCGAAAAAAATCTTTACCATTTTCATTTCCCAGAATCCTTTAAGCATGATTCTTTATTAATCTCGTGGTCTGTGTGAGTTTTCAAAATTTCAGAGAAACTTGGCAAGAAAGCTATGATGATTTATAATACTTAAACCTGATTCACAATTTATAGAATAATTTTAGCTTGTTTTAGGAAGTAATTTAATCACTCTTCCATTAGGTAAAAGTGACCCCAGAACATAATAACGAGTGTAAGAAATTACTTAAGCTGATGGGAATTCCATACATTGAGGCAAGTTTGTAAAAGCAAGACTATAATATGATATCCTTGATAAGCACTTTCAAATAATTATCAAGGTGTAATGGTTGGTGAATTAACAGGGTTTTGAAATTGCACTTTTATGCAGGTATTTGAAAGAAAATCCTCTGAAAACATTTGCTAGGAGAGCTGGATAATAAAACACAATATAAAAAGGAAGGCTGTTTGATGAAGCTGTTTCTTGTCCCAATATATGTTGCCTCAAGCATGAGTTACTAGAGCAGTGCTGTTAAAATGGAAAATGTTCTCTCACTTTCACCTGAAATGTTGTTGCAAATTTTGACAATCTGTGGCTTTGTTTTTTCTCCACACCCTTCTGCATTTTAATGTTTTCAGTGCAAATGCTTTGTGTTCAAAAGAAAAGGGAAGTAACTTTCAAATGGAAGTAAAAGTAAAAATATTAACAGCTCAGAAGGGGATGAGGAATTAGAGCACATTCCTGGCAATTTTCTTTCAACTTTGCGGCCAGATAAACAAACTGAAATGGTTACCCATCTCAGTAAGTTTACATGTTACCAGTTTATAGAATGTGTCATTTTGTTCATGAGTGCTCAAGTTTTCCTGAATTATCAACAATTGAACAAATTGCAAACTTTATTAAACCACAATATCATTTGTTTGAATTTAAACATGTTCAAGTCAGTGATGATATATTTTTCTGTTAGGCTCCTTGTGAAGCAGAAGCGCAGTGTGCTGCATTGGTGAAATCAGGCAAAGTATGTTATTTCATTAAGTGCGGATATGGTTGTGGGGTTTTTGTTTTCATTCCTAGACAAAGTGATAACAATCATTGTGTTTATAGGTTTATGCTACAGGAACAGAAGACATGGATGCTCTCACATTTGGGTCAAATGTCCTCCTGAGACATCTTACCTTCAGCGAAGCAAGGTTTGTAAAGTTTCAAGTTATGATCTATTTTCCATTGAAGATAATGCAAGCACACCAGGAGATGTTAGTGAATTTAATAGCACAAAATGTTCTTTATTTTTGCCTTGCACCTTCCCTTTAGCTGTGGAGATTATCAAGATGATGGCATGTTACATGTGTATGTCATGCTAAAATCCAGACATAAACAAACCTTTGATGTTTTGAAGTAACAATTCACTTGTGGCTGGGAATATTCAATTGCCTGAAAGGTGTGAATATGTCAACCCAATGCCCCAGATGGAGAAATTAACAACTTTCTTTTAGCAGCAGTGGAAACATTGGAAGGGACAAAAGTAACTTAATTTGATGACCAATGTCTTGAACAGTCATGCATAGTTGTAGGGCGTGGTACCTTATCACATTTCTGTGATTTCATTTGTACAGAATATCCAGTTTTTGTTTTGACATGATTAATTATTTCAATATCATGATCAAATTACTTAATATGTATATAGATGTTTGAACAGGTGCAAATTTTTAGTGGGCTTTTGATTTTTGATCAAGAATAAAGAGCCAATTGAATGTTTTATGCAAATTTCTTGCAACTTTAAAGTTAGAGAAAGATGTTCTTTGTCTTGTCATGAGCATGGGACAAAGAAAAAATTCAAGTCCCCATGAGGAATTGAACCTCTGACCTTTGGATTCAATGTAATGCTCTACTACTGAGCCACAGAGACTCCACGGTGAGCGAGGTCTATTACACAGTTCATATGACACGTGTCCTGCATACTGCTAGGATCAGTAGTTGATGTCCCTCACCGTGGATTCTCTGTAGCTCAGTGGTAAAGCATCAGAGCACGGAATCTGAAGGTCTGAGGTTCAATAACTCATGGGGACTCACAATTTTTTCTTTGTTCCACACTCATGACAAGACAAAGAACTTTTTTCCTTATTTCTTTACCAAGTTCAAAACTTACTATCTCTCTTATTTCTATCTACAAAGTTAACTTAGAATTTGTTGTTGAGAGATAATAACTCAAAACAAAACTTCAAAAATTGCCATGCATTTTGTAAGTTCTTTGTGAAGCAGATTCAAGATAGTGTCAATAACTGTGCTATGTAAGTTAAATTGTGCCCTAAATATGTCACCACAGAATAGTCTCAAATTAGAAGAACTGCAATATGATACACTACAATGTTTATAATGCTTGTCTCCTTACACAGGAAAATGCCAATAAGAGAATTTTATTTGGATCGCGTACTCACAGAGCTTGAACTTTCACATGATGAGGTAAGCAGTTCATGTACATAACTTGGTGAAGCCTGCCCCTTTTGTTTGGAATTAAGCCTGGACGTTGTCTCATTTTTCTACGTCACAAAAAAATAAAATACTGGTGACACTTGTTTTGTGTTGTTTATGTAGTGCATAAATTTTTTAGGGGTTTTAATTTCTCTGTTTACTCTTAATTTACATTTCCCTTTGTCATGTATTCAATATTATGATCAACAAAAATCTATCTGGTTTTAAAATGTTTCTACCAACTGAAGTAAAGTTTTAAATGAGATGTCCAAATCACAGTGTTACAACATGAACCACATGGTCCTTAAGAGCCTTTTTTAGTCAATTTTCAAGAATCAGAATCACAGACTAACTTTTTCTCGTATACTTCTTTAAAGTTTGTGAAACTCCCTGAATTTTCAGATATTAATTTACAAGTTTTGTTGATCTTGACAAAAATTAAGAATGATGTGATAATGCAGTACTGATGTAATTGGAAGCAGTTAGTAAAAATTATTTTTTGTTTCAGTCCCACATACTTTATCCAACCTCTGGCATAGTAGTACCACACTGTATGGCTGACTATGTAGCATGTCAGAGTTATAAATGAAGCTATAGTTCTTATATCTCACTATTTAGTGTGCTTATGTTGTATGATCTTTTTGTTTGTGACAGTTTATTGATCTTTGTATTCTATTGGGATGTGACTACTGTGACTCCATCAAAGGTATTTTTTTCTTTTTTGTAAAAGAAGATCTGGGTGGCATGTTGATTTTTATATTACCATGTGAGTAGGTGTTTATCAATGTCCCATTTTGAGAAATTATTTCATTGGCCTTTTAGTGATAAAAAATAGAAAGAAATGTAAATAGAATCAGAAAAATTAAAAGCCAGTTTCTTCAGAATATTTCAGAGATTCATCAATGTCAGTGTAGTTAACTCTTTAACTCTTTAACTCTTCAGGTATTGGGCCTAAAAGAGCAGTCGATTTAATCAAGCAATATAAGTCCATTGAGGAAATCATCAAACACATTGATACAAATGTAAGTATGTGTTTGCTTATTTTTGTGTTAGTCTTTAGAATTGATGCACTTCACCAGTTTGGCAAAAATGTCATATATTAAAGAGTTAAGAAAATTTATTTTTGAAAGTAGTTGATGGTTTAAACTTTTTTAGAATTTAATAAATGTGATCCTTTTTTTTCTTGATTGAATCTGAAAACTTTAAAAAATTATAGCTTTTAATTAATGTAATTAATTAATATGCGATTGTAATGTTTTAGTATCTCTTTACAGATGAACTCAAAACTCTCATTTTCATTTTAAATGTATTTTATTGATTGTTGTTTGAAATTTTTCAGGTTAAAATAATTTCAAGTCATTTCAATTTTATTTTTCTCTATTTAAAGACTATTGATAGTCTTGTATGAAAGAAAAACAAATTTAACTAATTTGAAATTATTTAAATTGATATTCATGTTTAACTACAACATGTTTTCTTCAAAAACAACAATGACATTTGACTACAAGATAATGTATCTCTAAATTTATGAAGTCCACTTAACACAATACCTTTATTGATAGATGTTTAATTGTATGAATCACCATCTCTCCAGCCTTTAAGTTTTCCTTCGATATGTTTTTATGATTTCTCTTTTCAGAAATACATCTTACCTGAAGAATGGCCATATCAGGTAATTACACTTTGATCAAAGTTTTCAAGCTTTGCATCATCATGAGCTCTACATGACTTTCCCATCCAAGGACCCTTTTTTCAAAACTGTAATTCCAGAGATTTCTTTGGCCATCAATGTTTTGACATGCTCCAGAATTTCAAGGATGTAGGGTTGGTTGTGACATCTGACTCCTAGCTTGTCATAACAGATTTATCTTGGTCCAAAAGTCTTGATGAAAGAAGTCTTACATTTTTTCTCTAAGTGAAGAGTTAGGGCCTTAAAAATTTATCCTGTTCTGAAATAGTTCCAGAAAAGTGTACAGTTTATCTAGTGGTTTTTAAGGTTTATTTTGTTTTATGATTTTGCCCATGACCATGTCAACACAACTGAAACATGATGTCAAAATCAACTTACAACTGTAAGGTCCTTTTCATAACATCTGGACAGCCTGTATAAATTGTGGTGAAGGGTGAATACTTGATGAAAGCTGATCTCTAAACTTAAAAAAAAAACTAAATCTTTTTCTTAATATTTCAATGAAAACTTTACTTATGAACTCTGATCTTCAGATCTTTTCTCCTTTTACTTTTTACGTGTAAATCAGTAGAATTTTATAGCACACTGTGCCTATTTTATACTCAGGAAGCCAGAGAATTATTCAAGAACCCAGAGGTTTTGCAAGATGAAGACGTAAATGTGAGCTACTGGAAGTAGTGAGGCTAAGTTAATGTTATGTCTTGTTTTTATAAACATCCATTTTGTGACATGAAGAAGAAGTTTGTCTGCCAAGCTAAATGAATTTATCTCCACATACTAGTATACAACTCAGCAAAACATGCAAATCTGGGGCCTCAGCATTGTCTAATAGGTGTACTATGTTAGTAAATTTGGGTTTCTTCATTATTTTAGTGGTCTAAGTTTTGTGCTGTGAAATCTATTGGCCACTGTTCAATTTGGAAAAACTGAAGTATTTTAGAAAGATACAACAATATGAATTGCAGTGTCTTACTGCTCTTTTAATTTCCCATCTGATTTTTTTTTCAGCTTAAGTGGGAGGCTCCAAATGAAGAGGAACTTGTGAAATTCCTAGTTGAAGAAAAAGGATTTAAGTGAGTAGAACGGGAACCAACAACTCTGTTTTAGAGGTGACCGATTTGGCTGTCTTATACTGAGAGATGTTTCAGGTTATTTGGAGTTTAGGTAACTGGGAAAAAGTCTGATTAATTATTCTATTAGTTGAAAAGTATAAAAAAGGTATGACCTATTTTTGCACTTTGGTTTTCCAAAGATACGTAAAGTAGTTGTTGAGTTACAATATGATGATTATCTTCATTGGTCTCTCTTTTTTATTCAGAGAGTAAATACAAACAATCTGAATAAATACAAGGACATTAAACGACCCAAACTGGCAGGAAGCAATTAACTATGAACAAGGCACTGACAAGAAATTAAATTCTAGGCAACTGATAACAAATCCACTGGGTAACAGAATGATAGCAGGGTCAGCACTGTAATCATTTGGTCAGGCTACCGCTGCCTCAAGATGAGAGTAAAATTAATTGTCAGTTTATCGACATGTAATTAGTTGTTTCACATCAAGTCGCTTCACCACAAAGTTGTTTCGCTTTAAGACAAGACACTTGTTCCGCAGAGTTTACCTAAATAATTATGCTGATAAATTTGCCAAAGTCTTTTTTACTTCAGAGTTACTTTTAACTTGCTGTCGGGCCTTTTGAGGCAGAGGCAAGCCCTCTACAATTTTGAGTGCTGCATTTCCTAGCTGATGCTTGTTCAAATTTTTGCCAGTTTCCCCCGTTAAGAGAAAAAAATTAACTAATGAAAGTTTTAGTGAGTTTCAGATATTGTGGAAGATTTGTTTAATATCTTTCCATGTTTGTTGTTGAGTTTAAAGGAGAATATAAGTCTTACGAAAAAGACTTTAGAATTGTAGTGAAAAGACTTAAAGTGAAACGATCAGACACACAACTTCTTACTCTACCACTATTTTTGTTTTTGATGTACATTTCTTGTTAGTGAAGAGAGAATTCGTTCTGGAGTAAAAAAGGTCTTAAAGGCACGTAAAGGTTCTACTCAAGGAAGGCTGGATTCCTTTTTCAAGGTTTTCCCTTCACCAAGTCCTCCAATTAAAAGGAAGGTGAGTCAATGACCACGTTTGAAATAATCATTCCTATTTAGATAAATGATAAAATTTGGAGTGAGAATATTGACAAAATATGTTTTATTTTTTAAAAAAAAAAGGTAAAATTTAAATTCAAATGGGATTGTTGGTTAAATTTTGTAAGTAGTAGTTATGATAAAGTACTAAATTTTTATACCATTTTCTGTTCTTATCTATTTTATAGAACTTATGAAATGTTAGTTTTTGAGGAGGTAATAGTTTGCTATCATCTACAAGGTCATATTGAACACCTCCTCAAACGAATGCTAGAGTAGAATTTCTTTACTTCAGTGACTACGTCAAGTTCAAAGCAAATGTTTTTGACAAAAAGTTAGCTTTGAGCATCATTGAAATGACCAGTAAATGTCATGACCAACAGGCAGAAAAAGCCTTTCATGAACTTTTCTTCTTGATCTCCTTTTAGAACGAAGACAGCAAAGGACCAAAGACGAAGAAATCCAAACCTAACGCAAGAGCAATAGGAAAGAAGCCCAAATAAAGGACAGTTTTGGATCAGATATCATTGACAGAAGTGATTGTTTTTTCTGTTCATCCATACTCGAACTTCTGGTTAAACTTTATTGATAAAGAGAAAAGACAAGCAAACACGTTAGAGCACAAATTTTACATCTCCCTGTTGATTGACCAAGAAATGAAACAAAATAGAAAATTGGACAGAAAAGTGAATAATCAAAAGGAACGAACTGAAAAACTTGGACTGAATTCATTTACATCACTGTTTTACATAACTGTGCCTAGCAGAGAAGAAATTGCTTCATATTTCTTTCTGACACTAGATATTCTATTAGTGACAGAAATACAAACAGAGTTCAGTGTCTTCATATTAGGACGAACAGTCTTTCAACATCTACCGCCTTGAAAGGAATTGAATTATTTCATTAGTTAAAAAGATTTCGTTTGGGCTGTATTTCTTTTGTTGTACTGGTGCATCAGTCACCAGCATATTTGTCAAAGTCAAATTGAGAAAGATGGGTTTGCTTTACTTGGATCTTTTAATGCCTTGTAGACACTGTTCTAGGAAACTATTGCGCAGGGAATAAAGAAGGATATCAATTTGTTGTGGTTGCTTCATATTTTTTTAAGTGGGCTGAATTTTATCATACCAAAGTAAAGGAGATGAATAAAATGCCATAATTCTAAGGGAAAGATTTGTCAAAATTAACATGTACAGTATCCTTCGTATTTCATCATTACAGCCCCAGGGAAAGGGTTATCATTAGGAGTTCCTATTTCCATTGGTCTAAATCACCATTATTGTGATTCCTCAGATAAAAAAAGCTACTGAAAATTCTTTTTTAAACTTTCCATAAAGGTTCCCTACCAATGTTTGTTTCGAAAAATACAATTAAAACAATAGATCACCGTACTTGGTTAAAAGATATGGTGAGGAGTTTTCCAAAGACCAGATGATGAACTCAAACGCGACACAAGGCTGGAGAAAAGTTTTGTCCCCGGATTTTTCTTTAAAATGCAGCAAATTAGAAACTTTAAAAAATACTTACAACCACTCAAATAGATCCAATTGTGATTATACACTGTAAATTTATTTTCTTTTTTACAATTATATACTTACAATGATAACAATGAGTGGAGTGATCAGTGTTGGAGTAAACAGTACAGCCAAAAATATCCAATTTTCAGACAACTCGACTGATTGTTAGAGTTATTTACTCTTAGTAACAAAAGATTCTCTTCAAGTCTATTGAATCATAAGCCTAAAACAAAGCTCCAGAATACTCTTAGAAACTGATTTGTCAAGAATATGTCCCTTTTTAAAGGCAAATGAAAGCTTAATTGAAGAATAATAGCAATTACAGGCTGTTTCAGCAACAAATCCAAAAATTTTTCCTCCCCAAAACCCCCAAATCCATCAGTCAGGTTTAAGCCTGCAAGAATAAAAGTCATATGTCAAATAAGTAAAAACTGTGGTTGATGAAAATAATTTGTTAGTTGTGGCTACACAATGGTCACTGAGGGTTCATAACTGACTCAACAGCATAGACAGCCTGTACTTAAGGAATACATTTTTAATTAATAATTTCCTGTTAACTCTTAACTTAAAAACATGTTTAATTCAGCACAGACTTTTAGGTTTGGTATGACTCCACCAATTAATTAATTCAATTTCCTCAACATTGGCCTTGAATTCCAGCCAAATTATAATTATAATACATATCACAAAAAAGAGAACCACAGTTTTCCTATTTGGGGATTGATAGTAAAGTTTACAACACTAGCAGCCCTTTGTCAATGACAAAAGGTGTCACTTTGATTTAATGTGTGTGCACCATTTGTGTGGAAACCATGCACAGTCACCCAACACACAATTCAATAATAAGAAATCATCTTACTTAAGCTTTAGACTAAAAATCTATACAAAGTCATATACCTAGATTTACCTTGGTTTTATTTTTTTTGCACTGGTAAGTAAAGCTTGAATTCTGCTGGTAGTTCATCTTCTGAGTACAAGCGGTCGGAAAAGTAAACTCGTCTTATCCTGCAGTTGGCGTGGATCTGCAGTTATGCATTCACATAGAAAACATAAAAAAGTGAAATGAGCTTGACATTATCTAAAAAAACTAGAAAAGGCTGAGGAACTGATGACACTGGAGGAAAAAAAATGCCCTGCCAACGTTCATCAAGAGGAAGTACGTACCTTAACTCTTTAAATATTGTACTCAATGTAAAAACAGTATTGTCTATAGTAAGTGATGAGTGTATTGCCAGGCATGAAAGAAAATTTAATTAAATGTCAGATGTGTAAATTGAATGTTAGGTTCACAGTGTCCATATTGTGAAAATAATAACAATTATAGAAGTAAAATACAGAAAATATACACCTAATGATTGTCAGTTCAGGGTTTTTTTTGCAAATTGGACACCATGAGAGTGATTAAAAAATTGAACTGGCTGGTACATTGGTGACACAGAAGGTTGGCTATATATTTATTTTATATTGCAAGGAGTTAAACACTTTATTTGAGGTCTCTAAACATAAAGAAGCCAAATAAGTAAATATACAATAGCAAACCATTGAACTACATTCCCTTTTCTCAATGTTTTTCTACCAAGATAGATTCCACTGGGTTTAAAGGATAAAATTAACATGACAGGAAATGCATTTGTCTCTTATCTATCTAAGGCTAATACCTGAACTCGAAGTGTTTCAATGTAATTTGTACCATAAGCCCGTCTTGTAAAATCTGAAAGATTAAACTGTGGACAAAATACTCTAAGCAATGTTATTAGACATTATAAAATAACACAAAATAACACACTCAATTACATACAATCATTCCTCCAATTGAGGACTGGAGTGCTTCTTCAAAAGTTAAAATGAGACACGAGAAACACTTATTTTATTTTTTATTAAATAAAGACCAGATGTGAGGTTGTAATCAGTAAATTTTCTAGATGCATGATCTAAACTGAGTGGGCAGCTGAATTGAAAAATGCTTGCATAGCAAGCCTGGCATGTTACAAAGCCACAATCACTTCCAGGGGGTCTGGGTCCACATGCTCTCCCAAAAAATTTGAAATTTGAGACTCTCTGAGATGTAATTTCTTGCATTCTGGGACATGTTTGAGTAACATGTTAAAGCCAGACATTGATGTTGGCATTGATTCAAAAGTACTTATTTTCCATCTTTGTCTTCCACTTTATCAACCATCACATGTTCAGTAGAACAGCAAAGAATGATGCCCCTTTGAATATGCTGAACTAAACTCAGTGCCCTTAGTGTACATCTATGAACTTACTGAGACAAATATTATTTCCTAGTTTAAAAATTTCAACCCTACCCACACACATTGTGCACATTAACAAATACTTCCTTATGAGGTAGCAACCAGAGGAGGTCAATATTATGGCTGCCAATGCATATTTATTAATTGAAAGCAAGAGCAAATAAATTTCAGAAACAGACCCTCAGCTCATGCGTAATCCTTGTACCAGCCAAATTTGTGGGTCATCCTCATTCTAGGCAGCAAAATCTTTGTCAAGTGCACTTTTTCAAGATTTTAACGTGAAACTTCAAAGATATGTAACATTAAATAGTGTTGCATGACACTTTGTGGCTTTTATCATTATTCCCCAAATGGCACTGACTAGTATTACTTCTATTTCTTTTTTTTTTTAATTTTTTTTTTTTAACTAATTATGCTTTGTAACACTTGAGGGATTAATTTCCATAAAAGGTGAAACATTATATGGGCTGGTAACTAAGAATGAGGAAACCTATCAGAACATCAGCAATGCAAAATCTGAGACTAATAACTTGACAAATAAAATATATATATATATATATAATTGGTTACATTCACATAATGTTGGATATCCTCTCCCAGTACATAAGAGCCACAAATGTATCTTTTAAATCTTACACCAATGCGCAAAGAATAACAAACAAGAAACTAGAGTTGATGTGAGTTTGCAACCTCATAGAGGAAACAACTGAGGCGTAGCAACAACATATTGCGATCACTACTTTAGCAACATTCTACCTGGATTTGATTCCATCCGTCATCAAGCCTCATGGGCATCGTACAAATGAATGGTTTCACTCGCGTGGTTGATTGGTAGTTAGAAGCGCGGAATCGTCTTTTAACATTCTTGTCGTCCAGGACCTACAGGAAGTGTCAACAAATGAATTGAATTTGCGAAATGAGATTGTTTAAAACTATCAAATGTTTCAATTCTGTCAAACTTAAAAATACAGAGTTGAAAACTATCACATTTACCTGAACTTCAAACGTGAAGTACTTTTTCAAATTTTTAATGATCATCACAAGGAATGGTAGCTTGATTCCAAGAGTCTTCTTTGGGTCAGCGGGACATGTGATATAAGTTGTACTGGAGTGGGAGAAAAAACGAGTTCATTTTAGAACGGAGTAAGACGAAGATTTACCGAAGTAGCACCATGTAATTATTTCCAAAATATAAATAAGAATGAACATATAACAATGTTCTTCTTTACGGATTGGCTTACTATAAAATTACCCCCTAATTCACTGCTGATCTTTACGATCGATGAAAGGGTTTCAACAACTTTTGAATCATTTTGAAGATAAAACTCATACCTGACGTTTGTTCCGACGACCTCCAAAACAAGTGACTGAATGTCGTTATCGGTTATTCTCTTTATATGTCCATTTCTAACCTGAAAGGTCGAAATTACAGAAATTAAGCTAAGTACATTGGAAAACTCTCTCACAGAGCATTAGTACGCTTACTCAATGCCACAAGTCTGCTTACTTTCTTGTCCCAGATTTGCAAAGGCTTGCTGCCAATGCTATATAATATGGATAGGAATCCTGACTGAAACGTATTCTTAAACATGCCTTCTTATGGTAACAATTTTTTATAAATCAAAGCCTCTGCTTTCTTCGGCACGACCGTAACTAGCGTGTTGTGGCTCAAGTGAACAGTGGTTGTCGTTAAGCACAAGGTCTGTTTGTTTGTTCATGCGCGGCAGTTCAGTTACTATGGAGACTGAGCGACGCGCGAGGGATGTTTACCTCGCTTCCAAGTAACAAAAGAAGACTCACGCTACCCTAGAGAACCATGTTGTTACGAAGCTTTAAAGGTTGATCTGTATAGTTGAGTGTGAAGGTGTTTCTGCTGGAATAACTATCAAATCGAAAAATGAGAAGCCTTAGACCAAAAAGAAGATACAAATTCAGATCTAGAAAATATGTTAGCGAAGCAAGTCATTGGCGTTTGGGTATCCCCACTTGGGATGCTAACATGAAGTCCAATGTCGACCCTTCTTGGACTTACAAAATTGCTTGCTGAAGGCAGAAAAATCGCTGCTGAAAGTCAAAGTAATCCCCAAAACGTCTACCAGGATTGTGTTTAGGGAGGGAAAGCTTTAGAAAGTCGTAAAGTGTTTTACAAAAGAGATATTGAGAAGGGAAGTCATGTTCACGGTCAACTAACCGTGAGTAATAAGAGCCTTTCATGTAAATTATCAAGTGACCAAAAATTATTTGTAAATTAATTTTATGCTAGCGACCTTTATCATCATCATCATCATCATCAATAGCAGACATTCTAACCCTCCCGATGTGGTCGAGAGTCTCCCGATTTGACGTGTTGCCTCACGCTCCCCTATTTTTATCAGGTTCTCCAGATTAATCATAAAATTCCGATAACAAAGAAAAAATTGCTTATCTTAGAAGTATTTTTGCGATCCGTTTTTTGTGGCTCCCCACTGAATGCATTTATGCCTTGTGGACAGTAAGTTTACAGTTATTCACGATCTTTCAAAGTGGCCATTTAAAAGTAGTAAAAGAAATCTCCCTTTTTGATTCTGAAAAGATGGATTGACAACAGCAAAGAAAGCTCAAAGATATCTGTGATAAGGACAATGACCTTATATAATACCAAAAATATGATGCCAAAATGCAGGAAATGCCACTTGAGAGAAACTAAATTTGAAAAATTTCCTGGGGGGAGGGGCATGCCCCTAGACCCCCCAAGAGGCTCACACCTTTGGCACAAAATCCTATTTCCACTCTTAAGGTGTAGAATGTCTGCTCTTTGCCACTAGTGTCAAGGACTCAATCCCAGTGCCACTGCCACATGTGTGGGGTCATTGGGCTTTTCATAGCCCATTGCCTGAATAGACAACCCTTAACAGCATCCATGATACTGTTCATATATATATATGTATATAATTAAAAAATATTCAGCTTAATTGCATATTATGTTATAATTGCATATTACTTGTGGCATTCACTTTGTGCCTGTAGGTTATGTTGGTGACAGCATTGTCAACTATCCAGGCACAATTTTTGTCAGCAGAATTACCTTGCAAAATTATACATTTCCATCTCAGAAAGCTAGAAAATGCATTTCTGAGAGTCTAATTTCAAAACATTTTTAAGAGAGCATGCCCCTGCAACCCCTTAGAGGCTTGGCCTTTGCCACTCTGTTATAGATTGACTCCTCTGGGAAATATGATTTTTATCCCCCCTCCCCCTCAGAAATCCCAGGCCTTCAATAGTGGAAGGAAGGGGTACAGATTGATAATGGATAACAATTTTTGAGGACTTTGCACAATGAGAATCTCAAACATGCAGTATGGAAAACCAAATTTATAGTAGTCTGGGTAACCGTACTATGTAAAGAAGAAATAAGCCTCTTAATTCAGTTCCCATGACTGTGAGGTACAAAAGGAATTTGGAGACAAAAGACACAAAAAAAAGCACCCTCCCTTCTCAACCTTCTAGGCATTCTATTGCGGTATTTTTTGTAAATGAATGCTATTTAAGCAGTAGCAAAAGTGAAGCCTGACATAAAACTCTAGTCTGGACAGGAGTTTAACCCATGAGCTTTGTTTATTAACACAATGCTTTCAGATTGTAGAGTAATTCCTAGACCACCAGCTCCAAATCCCACTTGAGTAACCTGCAACTCTGATAACTTCTATTATATCTTATGCCCCAGTTCACCACTGAACCATTGTGCAGAGTTTTTCGGCAGGGGGGGGGGAGGGGGGGGTGAGAAAGTCTGTCTGAGGGTGCAGGATGCATTTCTTTTGAATGAGATAATAACAATCTTAAAACCACTATTCATTGCAGTGGAGGTGACTAGTGTGTTGCTTGGTAAGAAATAAGAGAGAATAAGAGAAACTATGGTGGTAAAGCATAAAAGAAAAACAGAAAACCAATAATAACTGCTGAGGCCAAATGCCTGGCAGCCCGGCCTGGTCTCAAATAGTCTAAATGCCTGGCAGTCAAATTTTCACAACACTTCCACTAGAAGGTTCTTTCTCACTTCTTAATGACATCTGATTATTGTTTTTGCAAATATTATGAAAGTAAGTGCATCAGCACAATAAGGAAAATTGATCATTTTCCTCTTTTGTATTTTTTCTAATTAATATTCTTTTATCTCTTTTACACTTTAGAAAGGCTTATGACTCAAATGTTCTTTTTTTGTCTCTCTGGACCACATGTATTGTTGCAAAGACCTAAACTAGAGAAACGTTGGAGTCTGCATTTCATAACAATCTAAGATGGCTTACTAACCAGCCACTCTCAAGCCAGAAAGTTGTCTATCTTTCCTACAAAAAAAAACACTGTGAGTTGCTGCTTTAGACTCTTCCTATTGTCAACAGCAGAGTTTTCTTTGTGATCTTGATCCCTGGTCCTGACTTGTTCTAATCACGTGCCATCCAATGGAAAAACAAAATGTTTATTTCCTATGTTACAGTGTACTTCTTTTACTTCCAATACCAATGACCTGGCAACTTCTTTTTCGCAAATGCAAGTATCCAAGATATCCTACAGAGGGAACAGTGAATGGAAGCAGTGTAACATGTGAAAACAGGACTTCACCACAACTGGGATCTAATAACTGCTGTATAAAACACTGGGTGTTGCAAACAGCAAGCTACATCAAAGTTTTCCTGTTTCTCAATTATCTTTCTATAAAGATTTTTTCCTTATTGTGATCTACAATATATTACAATAATAAAAGTGCATGACTGAAAAGTATACCAGTGCTTGAACAAAGTTAATTCAGCAGTTGTTTAACAAAACCCTGTACTAGACAATCCTCAATTTAGCTGAACCTTTTTTCTGAATGTTTATTTTTGTGAACACTGTAAAGAGGGCCAAAAGCGAACAGTGGAAAGACATTTATTTCATTAAATCAACCCTCTTACAGAGAAAGCCTGAAACCCACTAATTGCGTCAAACCATGGTTTGGGTTAGACCTTGTGTAAATAACTGACCATAAGTGTTACCATTTGTTAGGAATCTTTAGTTTTCATTGTCACAAAAAATAATTGGTGTTGCAACTGTTGTGCAAGTAATCAGCGGCTTATTTTTACCTGGAGTTTAGTTTGAATTTCTTCTGTCCTTTCAGAGCTGATGTCTCCAAGCAGCCATGCAATACTTAGATGAAATGATGGATCCTAAAAATGAATTCATTTGATAAGCCTAGTATTCAACTGATGAAACAGAACCAAAAATATGTGTTGTCAGGTGAAGTGTATCACAAACAAGAGCACCCAAAAGAAGACCAAAACTAAACCAAAAACTGAACCTACACAAAGAAATCCTGTTGAAAAACTCTCAGTAAAATAATGTTGATTCCACATTCAATATTACACTTATTTGAAAAATGTCAAGAGAAAGCCAATTTCAATAAATAAGCCTTCAAAATCACCGAAACATATCACATCAATCTCTACCAAGTTAACTAAATGAAATACCTTGTAGAATGCTGGAAGAGAAAATTCTTCCAAGATATCATCTACTATGGCAACAATCTCTTTCAGCTGAAAATTAGAAGTTGTTCAGCATTAATGTTTCCTTTCCTTTACAAGGCAATGGCTTATTAAAAGCTATAGAATTATAACAAAGATGGTACATTTCCTGGTAAGTTAAAAATCAATTCTAAGTAAATAACAAATTTGTTCTATTGCAGTCCTTCAAACACATATACAAATATATATTAAGCAATTCAATCATCTGTGTGAACCCCTTTGAGACAATAATAGACCATTTGCAGCATTTCACTCTTTTTACCTTCAAGGCGTGTTTTAATCTCAGTCTGTCTATATATTAATTATATATATGCATTAGATTTGTAAAGTCAACACCATAAAAAGTAAAAGGACTTTATTTTGATATATTATGAAAATAGAGCTTTTCTTTTGGCCAGTCAACAATTGTTCCCAGGTTGAGTTGTCTTGTCCCCTGCCAGGCAAGCCAAAGTGTTAATACGAGAACCTGACAGTGTTACCCTACCTGTCTAACTTGCTATCACCTCCACCCCCCTGCCGAGATGACTTTGCCATTTTCATGTTAAAGGTTGGTTGAATTTTTCAAACAGTTTGATTACTCTGGGTTTCTTTATGTCTGTCTCCATTCAAATGACTTATGAATAAAGTACTTCATTACCTTTTTATGTCCTGCAACTACTTTCAATGCTAAAAATGATCTGAAATTAACCACAGAATGTGAGGTTGTTAACTCATCACTGAGCTACAGCTGTCAAGACTGCAAGAAAATCATTTTAATGCTAAGAATTAACTAAGCCATTGAATTGCATGTTCTCTTCAAGGGTGCAGTTGATATGCTGGGGAATACTTGTCACAAGCAGTGTTAAGTACATCAATTAGTTAACTACATGAGTTCATCTTCAGGTAAAACATTTTTGACTAGAGATGACATTATGTATATTACCTTGTTTTTTCATCATTTGTATAGAATTCAGGGCACTGCAAGGTAGACCTGAAACTAAAACATAACACAAAATGGAATTTTCATATGCTATAGTTGATCGAATAGGGTTCATTATACCATGGGTAACTCCGGATCCCTAAGGCATGTACATTACAGTGGTTTCATGCATAACATTTTCTTTACCAATACAAGCACATGAACTAATTCTTGTATGAGCAAGTGCAAATTTACAATACTGCACTCTAAAAGATTGCTGTGCCTGGGCTGTATTTCTTTTTATTTCTCCAAGCAAATCATGGTCAAAGAGATGGCCTCATAATGAGCACACTTGGCAGAATGGCAGATGACAATGATTACTTTTATTAAAAACTGGCACATGTTCCAATCTGTGTATGGTTCTATTGATATCAAAATTAGCACTATCTTCAGTACAATTGCTAAAACATTATGAATTTTAAAATGTATTTCATACTATGGTAGAAAGTGTTTGGAAAAATAAAATCTTCTTTTTAAATGGGGAGTATAAACATGTAAAAAGTACATCAAGATATGAGAGGGTAATCATCTTGACTGAGCTTTCTAGTTTATACCATACCTTTGCACTGTACTGAGGCCATTTTTTAGCTGTTGTACAATTGGCTCAATCCAGTAGTGTCTGACTGGCACTGTTCTGGACACACTAACATGTAACTCATTACATGGTGTCAGGTGAACTTCACCTGATATAATAGCTGCCAAACTTTCGACCACAGATACCACAAGGCTCTCAAAATAACTGTTGGTTGTGACTTTGCAGGTGGAACACAATCAATTATTAGTAAAAATTAGTTCACAAAATGTTTTACCGTTCATAATTGTGTATATTAAAAAGTCTTGCAAAAAGCTACAATGCAAAAAGTAAACAAATTACCACTTTGTTGACATGTTTCACAAGGAAATTATTAGAATATAAACCTTTCTATGTTTCTCTGCCTTACCCATTCAACTACATTTAAGTTAAAAGGATTCGCTGCCTGTTACCAGTTGTACAAAAGTACACAAACACAGCCAATCATGTTGCCCCTTTCAAATTAAAGACACAGCATATATTACCCTGCAGAAGACATATGAAAATAAAAACTGTAAAATAAAGTATTGATTCAGAGGGACTTACAAGGAATAAACACATGCATAGCCCAGTTACCAGGAAAATGAGAAAATGTCCTTATCCTTCCATGGTGTTTAGCTGATTCATCTTCTGAGATGGGATCTGAAGTAACACGATTAATGGCAAAAATGAAACATTGCCCAAGTGTAAGTGAAAACAAGGAAATACTTTGAATTTGACCACCCACAAGCATTGAAAATTTGGTTAAAAAAATTTAATGGGTTTAAAAAAGGGGTTATGGCGAAGTGAAGTTCCAGGTTTGAGGGTGTGTCTATACTCCATCTGATCATTTAAAATTTCCACCTCACACCAATCTCTTGTGAATTACTACGTTATTTATGTCAACCATAACTGACACATTCCTGCAAAAAATGAATGAGGCAACACGAACTTGAGCCACTACCACAGGAGAAAAGTCCTTCCATGAAAATGAAGGACAGAAGAGGTAGAAAACAACTTATTATGCCTTCAGACATGTTTAGCTCTGGTGTGTTTGGAAATAGTCAGAAGTCTTTGTCTTAATAAGGTCAACATATCCTGTGATTTACCACAATTGGCAGTAATGTTGCAATCTGAAGGCAAATTTGCTGTATTACTGTTGTTGATAAGAGTACAGATGATGCTGCTGACATATCAATGTGTCATGATGGTGGTCAGGCTCTGAAAGAGTCATTTTATTTGATGTCGATATAATTGTGGTAAAAAAACAAATTAACAGTGGTTTGGAATGGCCTGCTGGGCCTCCTAAGTCCACAACTCTTTGACCACTGTGGTTACCAACATTGTTGTTGATGAGAGTGCAGACCACACTTAAAACCACTATCAATTAGTTAAATGGTTCAGATATTCTGCTTCATCAACTAAATTCTACCTAAGACATCCTGGGTATGAAATCTCAAAGAAGCAGCATGGTTTGTACTTGCCTGATAAAAATTATATCAAATGGTAAGCTAAAATCAACTAACAGTATGTTTGTGGGGTGCTTTGCAATTGTTGTGAGAATAATGATTGCTTTGGCCAATTTGATAGAGTGCATTGTATGCTTGCAAATTCTGTGGCATTGTCGCCAAACATTGATGTCACGAAACATGTTTGTGGATATGAAAATTTCCTACCTTCTCTGAACATATTCAATACTTCTTTTGGTAATGGCAAAACCTTTCTGTTATAAATAAACATTGTTTAGGTGTGAGTTTATATTTCAAATGCTTTATACTGAACATTACCTGACTAGTGAAAATATCAAAATTCAATTACAATTCCTACGTGGGATATCAAAAGAAAGGAGCAAAGGTAACTCTGAGCAATTTCACAACCTTCCCTTTCCCATGGAGTCATAAGAACACAGCTGATAAACTGCTAAACTGCAGGTCTTTCATGATAAGAGTAGCAGCATTTTTTATAGCCTGGCAACACTGATTCTAGGTTTTCTCAGGCAAAGGTAATAACAACAACACTTGTCTCATGGGTTTAATGTGCAATAGTTGAGGATCCCTTTTTTACTCTACTTCACTGAGAAAGAAATTGCTGCATACTTTCATGTATCATCAGGCACATGGGAAAAGGGTATAAATATGCATACATAATTAAGTTTCAGATTATATACCAAAATAATTTGTAAACCCGACCAATATATACTCCCATCTTAATCAATCACTTTATCATTTTATTTACCATTTTCTCATGAAGCTTTCATCATTTGAGTTCACAATTATATATTACTAATTTACTAACAGGATGATGTCAGTAATAATCAATTTGAAGCTTCAACATTCACCCCCCCCCCGGCAACTGACCATCATCCATGCTCAAGGGGGGGGGGTGTTTGGGGAATTTGAACCTTACCTGGCTTGGCTGACATAAGCACTAAGAGTTGCAACAGAATTAATTTGTCACCACCATTCTATAAGTATAGTAAAGCTGAGGTTGACTAAAAATTATTCATCATTTCTATGTAGGACCCCTTCTTACTTTCAAAAATTTGTAGGACTGAAAAAATTAAATTAAGCTTGCCTTTCTTCTTGAGTAATGCCACAATTCTCGCACCCGCCTTTTTCAGTTTTGGCCAGTTTAAGTTTCATGCTTTGAGATTCCGTTTTCTTTTTAACAGCAGTCAATTCCTCCGCATCGTCGCTCGAGTTTTCCGATTCATCTGATCCATACGATGACAGTAGCTGAGACAAGCCATCCTTTGACATGTTTCCGGGACCGCTGAAGTTCGGACACTTTAGTGTGTAGTATTCGCTTGGTAGTACTCATCGTGTAGAGTACATAAAGTGATGCACCGAGAAACGAAACATGGCGGACGGCGAAATGGTTACCGATGTATCTACAAGTAAGAACTTTTACTCTTCCAGAAGTTTCTGAGAACTTTATCGTGCATGTTTCAAAACATAAGTTTCTTCCATAGAAACAGCTGTGAGCTGTGTATTTGTTTGTTCTCGAGATTCGGAAAAATCAAAACGTACCACGAAATCTGCGAAGCTTATTCGTGGTATAACCTCATTATTCGTAAAGAATCTACCTTTAAGATGAATATTTCACAAAGCTTACAACTTAGAAGACTGATATTATCCAAGCTGAAGGATTCAAAAACTTCTATACTGAAAGATTTTACACCTTTAACCAGCGGCGTAATTTATTTCAGTCGGTGATATACATACGTCGTAAGATTTAAAGTCGTTAACTAATGGCGTAAAATCTCTTAATATGAATGCATACCGAGTAGGTTAGTGGCTTAAAATCCCACATTCTATAGACTGACTTGTGTTAGTCACATAATACGGCGTTATCTAATTACCGCTTTTCACCGCTTTATAGAAACTAATGATATGACAAATGAAAAAATTTAAAGCTTGCCTGCATCTAAACTTGCCATCCTTTGCAAATTTTCTCTCTTTTTTTAATTTTTCTTCATTCTGGCAAAACAAAACTCTTAAAAGAACTTGGTTTCCCATTTTATTACCCAAATTTTCTAAGTATGCTTAGGCATCAAAAAACTGTTTCTGTTTCATTTTGCATACCACTATTTCTTTTCAGTTTTCTTCATAATATCTGCTTGGATTCTTGGTACCATTTTATTTGTTCATTAGCTTGTTGTTCTTCTTGCTGGTTGTTAATTTTTGGTGGAACCCTTTGACTGGATTTACTCAGAATTGTACTTGATCACAAAACAAGTCATAAGTAAATTGTTTGACTAAAGATGGGTGACTTACAAACTATTGTCATGTTCTCTCAACACATGCCACAGGTTTATCATTTTGTTAAACCTGGGAAATGTGTGCCATTACCTAGTGGTAATTATTTCTCAGATATTTGAATACAATTTGCTCGCACAAATCAGCAGCTATGGCACATGGGTATGTTTCCTTTGTTACTTTTTGTTCACAGTTATTTGTTTTGTTTTAGAAGCACTTTATTCTGGCCTCCCAGAACATGTTCAACACAACTTGGAAGAACTTAGACTTCAGGTAAGAGTGACGTGTCACTCATGTTTCCTTCAGGAGGAGGGCTTGGAGTCATCAATCTTGTAGAACTTGATAAGTGGGGTGAGAACTGGTGATTTCTGGTCAACACATTTGGTGAAACTGACTTTTTTATTCCTAATTCTAAACATTCTCTCTAAATATACTCTGACTGTAATCTACATCATTCTGTTATGATTGTATTCAACACAGTAGTGAGATGAAACAATGTGGCTCTTAAACAAGGTCAGGGTTATTAAGCCTTTTGAGAACACCTCCACTAAAGCTTCCCTTGAGTGCCTGTTCTCAGTGAGGAGTTTCTCAACTGAAGAAAGAGGAGTATTCCCTTTTTTTTCAAATTGAATTATGATCAAAAAGGACAAAAATTAAACCACTTAAAAAAAGTTTGAAAACAGGCTTCATGAATGTCATTTTTGGTTATATTATTACTTAATTTTATTGAGAAAGTGAACATGCTTTAAGAGTAATTTATTGATCCTCTGACACAGAGGAGGTAGAGGAGAAAGTGTCTGTATACTTCCTCTATAGCATTGCATGGATTGAAATGAGTTCTCCTTCCCACTTTTAAATACAGCCGTTGAATTGTTCTGCTAGAAGCGCAGTAAAATCATTTATGGGAAGAGTGGTACAAAAAAATAAAGAGGATCTGGAAAGGAAACTGCGATATGATCCTGTGACTTTGGACAGGCTAAATAAACACAAGTCAAACAAGAAACCAAAGAGAAAAGAAATGTCCCTAAGAGAGAAAAAGAGTCGAGGCATTTACAAGATTTCTCCCAAAAATCAAAGGTGAACTGCATCTTTTATTGATTTCACAAGAGAATAGGGTTAACTGTTAACATGAAGATCTTGATGTATTAATTATTATAGCACAACTAGTTCTACTAAATCACCAACAGAAATGAGAAATGAATTTGTGGTAAATTCAACTGAGCCAGACAGCACTTGACTAGTATATTTATGACAGAATTTAGAAAGTTTTTGCAAACTTTAAGTTGAAATGAGAGGATTAGTAAGACTCACTTGTGATTTTTTAACTTAATTTAATTAACACAATTAATTGTTATATAAGTAAACAAAATAATGTGAAGCATATCTACCAAAGTTATGTCCAGTTTCTCTTCTAGTTTTGGCATGATATTTAGAGTGTGGAAGTGACATAGAACGTCCCAAAATTTGATTGGTTTTCTTCATATCACTTCTTGTGTGTCAGCTGCTAGGACATGCTGGAAATTGGTGACACCCAGTATTACTTCAATTCACTTGTGAATATTAATATTGTTCTGGAATAATTTACTTGTTAGGTATGAAATGTATCTTCCTCTTCATGATTTATGGACAGGCTACATGCAAGAAATGTTAAACTTGACATCTGAAAGGTACCTTTTTAGCAAACAATTTTAAGTGCTCAGTACCAATACCAGTTTCTTTTGGTGACATGCAACATATTTTTTTTTCCTCTTCTTTGGTTAGAACATGAAAAAAAAATATAAAAGGTAGATACTACATGTATCTTATTGGTGATGGGGCCTGCATAACTAATATTAAAGGAATTGCAAGGGAAACAGAAGCTGTAAGTGCTGTAGGCTTGTATGCTTTAGCAACAGGTGTTTTAGGTGTCAACATAGCCCTTTGGTGTGATTATCTGGGAGGGGGCTGCTCTGACAACAAGCTTTTTAATCTTTATCAAAGCATTGTAACATGGGAAAGTGAATGCATTTTTGCTGGCATTTCTCCTTCAACACAAATAAAAGACCTTAATCAGTCAAGCTTACTTGTCAATTTTGTCAGTGTTTGTCATCCAGATTGCAGTAATCGTGAAGAAAAGCTCCCTCAAAGACCCTTTCAGCCAACAGATAACCAATAGGCAACTGTATGTTGGCTGATTGTCAGCTGACAGGTTTTTTTCAGGGAGTTTTTCTACACAATTACCCAGGTTGCTATACTTATAACACATGCTTATTTAACTGCCTTTTTCTATATTTTAGTAATTTGAAAGTTATATATCCTAAACTACTGCGTGCTGACTACCATGGGTGTATTCTCAAGGGTGAGTAAATTATTGTGTAAAGCTGGCTTGTCAGGGCTTGATAATGGATGTTCCAGTCAGTACAAGGAGGTATTTAGACTTCACCTCCTGTTTCTATATATTGGTTAACTGAAATATGTGTATAACAATATATTTATTTGGGTGTCTCAACTTGTGCCTTTTACTCTATTGTTTTAACAAAGCTAAATTAGCTGTAGTAGAATATTGTGTGACTTTTCCCCATATGATGCATGTATCTCTGAAATTTTTTAACCCTTAACACCACAACATCAGTATGCATATTCTCCCTAATGTTCTCTATTTATTTCCTAAGGTGCTGACAAGGAGAATTTGTTTAACAATCAAGAGCTTTAGTTGATGATCATTTCTTATATTCTCATGACCTTTAAGTGTGATTCCGAATCACAGGGGGTGGCAGGGGTGATCTTGTAAAGAGAAATTAGATGCCAGTCACTCTTGGGGGTTAAAGGGTTGAAACACTGAACTAAGAATAATCTTGAAATTCTGGGATAGTTATTATTGGCCTTTGATCAAAGGCTTATGAACTTGCAAAAATTATAATGCCTCGTGTACCTCCCTAATGGTAAGAAATGAAATATTTTAGTCTTTAGGATAATTGTGTCTTATGAAAGGCACATTCCTCTGGTTGGGGTGAGAATTACTTGTGGACTGGAGTTAACCTTTTTCTCCCTTAATAGACTTAGATGTAACTTCTTGGGACTGAAATAAATAGTGTTAAACAGCTTTTGTATTTCTTTTTTTAACAGTGAGCAGATCCAAGTGTCCATCATATGTAGGAACATGTGGTATCTTACTTCAAGAGACAAAAAATTCCTTCAAGATTATCACAAAACAAGACAAACTCAAAAGTAAGTCTCATTAATGACACTGACCATAAGATACAACCGACACTCGTTTGGTTCTTGGTAGAACACGCATTTTATGTAAGATAATATTTTAATTTTCAACCCTGTCTTGGCTGAGCAACACACACTTACAATGTCTTTCTCTTTGATGAAGCTTACAAATGGCTTTTTACTTTGTATCACATGGAAATTTGATTTAGGAATTCTTTAAGAAATTCAGTTTCAAGAATCTTCCTTTGCTCCTTCCTCTGTCTACTACACATTAACGTCAGTTGTAGTAAAGATAGCTATATTCCAGTAAACAACATACTCGGTGATATGTTTTACGTTTTTTCATTTTTTTGCAAGTCTACAAAGTTTGATACCCAAGGCGCTCTGTAGTAACCTTGTGTAGAAATTCTGTAGAGGCGGGAGAGTTATTAAATTCTCTGGTATCCAAGTCCATTTAATTCAAATGCGTCCTTAAAGGAACTTTTTTCATACGATGCTCTAATCCTACTAGCTTAATCACGGATCTGTTGCTAAGAGATAGAACTTAAGCAGCTCTTTATTTTAATGATTTCGATTTGTCGGTGACGTCAGCCACATGTTTAAGAGTTTTTTTTTTTTTTACATTTTGAATTGAAAATCTAATTTTTCTGCCTGCCATACGAATGGTACATCCATTTACGAGGAATTTATTACTATCAACTAAGTTCATAACGTAAATTGACCACCGTAAAGAGTTTCAACGCTGACGTTTCGAGCGTTAGCCCTTCGTCAAAGCGATGACGAAGGGCTTAAGTTCGAAACGTCAGCTTTGAAACTCTTACGTTGGCCAGTTTGCGTCATCAACTCAGTTGATAATACTTATTACCCTGTTATACTCTCCCACCGACGCAGCACCACAGTTTCTTTAGAAATTTACCCCTTTTGTACATCTATTTAGTTTCGTACTGTTTAATGCCAACTTTCAAAACCGGAAGTCCTTGTTTTAAATGTGTTCCACCGATTGAACCCCTTGTCTTGTTCAAATCAGAATTAAGTGCGATTTAGAACTCTTACATACATACGCCCATTTGTAACCGAGGAAAAAAAAAGAGAAATTTATAAACATGACAAGTCTATTCCTTGGTTAAGAACTTGAAGCCCTCATTGGCTTCTCTTGATTCTGTAGTGCTGAGGTGGCGTTTGTGCTCCTTAAAAAGAACCAGTTATTTGCTGTCAGATCTACATTTGCACTAGGAATTGACACTGTTAAAAAGCCTCTTCACTTTCGTAGAAAATTTAGTTTGTATGTCGGTAATCTCGGCAAAGTGTCTTTCACAAGTCATATAACCGCAGTCTGAGCTGCGTGTTTTTAAAAAAACGAATTTGACGATAAATTTTACAAGAAACTGCTTGTATGTTTTAGTAATAAAACTTCACAGGAGTCTTGAGGAAAAAACTTTTATCTGAGCTACACAGCTCGACAATGATTCAGCCGTTTACTTTTTTAACTTAAAGGTGCTTCACTCGCTTTATTAACAAAATGTGTTATTTTTTCCCCGAATTATGATATACAGAATGACAAAACAAAATGTCTTCACACTGGAACTTATAAAATGCTTTGTTACCCAGTTAGAGTTGTGTCAGTTTCCGGAAGTGATAGTAAATTTTACTTAACTATCTTACTTAGCTGCAAAACCATGCTAAGTACTTTTTGCTTTTAATTTTCAAGGTAAATAATACACTCTGCGCTGAATGTTCGCGAACCAAGCGCCGAGTTTATTCTAGGAACTAAATGTGAGAGACGAAAGTTTTACTTTTTCCGGAACACGCTTCTTAAAGCATTTCTTACGCGTGCGTTTTGCAATTGTTTCCATGAATGTGCAATATTTCCGGCTCTAGTGACGCTAAACATAGATTCTTTCCCACGGCTGGAAATTTTTTGTAAGGTCATACATGTTTTTCGTTATGCTTGTTCAGAAAACACTGTTATTTTTCATCTTATCGGAATCTTGAAAAAAGTAAAGAGAGATGGTCAAATGTTATTTACATCTGTTGTCAAGGGAAATATCCGATTGTTCACGTCTTCGTTTTTAATGTTTGTAAAATAATATTGAGCCCGAAATGGTTGAAGTTTTTTGGTTACAAAGTTTGATAAGGTATTTCTATTTCTGACTGAAATGAAACTCAGCGAACAGTAACTACTTGTCAAGCGGTAACGTAGGTTTGAAACCTTGCGTCATTTTGAAAGGCCGAGTGCAATGTGCTAGTAACTAAGATAACCATGTAGTTTAGTGTTGTAAGATTAAAAGTCAAAACTCAAAACAAGCATACAAAAAATGAGAGCTAAGCTAATTATAGAACTTCATGCAGGATCAGAGTGAGAAATATTGGAACTCCTCGCTGAATGATGTACTTGAATGCCCCAGGGTGTTCCTGCTCCGTTTATGCCTGTGGGATATCAACGTGTCATGCCCATGGAGAGAACTCCTGCCTTGCATATGAATAAAAGGGGTAATTTCTAAAGAAACTGTGGTGCTGCGTCGGTGGAAGAGTATAAAAGGGTAATTTAGTTTTATCAACTGAGTTGGTAACGTAAATTGGTCACCGTTAAGAGTTTCAAAGCTGACGTTTTGCCGGAGTGTAAGCCTTTCGTCAGACGTCGCTCTGACGCAGAGCTAACGCTCGAAACATCAGCTTTAAAACTCTTTACGGTGGCCAATTTACGTTATGAACTCAGTTGATAATACTTAATTATCCTATCTAGCAAGCCAACGACGTCCCTGCGCTACCTCTGGCCCCCCTAGTAAAACGTTTGCGTTGCACGTAGTTACGAGTTTATAGGATGGAAGCAAATTGGATCTACCTTACTTCACTGAATGCAATATATCATAAGCCCTTGACATTTTAGTGTCGTTTTCCTGTTTTAGTTTTACAGTTTATATTCTTATTTCTATGTTAGCCTTTCCCGGGCTCTTAGTCAGTGGAAATGAGCGATTACGATTGTTAGGGAAACGGATGCCTGAGCACCGCTGCCGCCGCCATTGACTGAGAGACTGGCAGAGGCTATGTGTGGTTGTGATTCTATATGTTTTGATGATACATAGCCAAACAACGAGTTTCTTTTTTGTTTATGTTCAGTGATTCCTAAAGCAAACAGTGTGTTTACATTTGAACTGGGAGGATTTGAGTTCACGATTCATGGAAGTCATTTCTGCTTCCGATCTAGTGAGCGCTCGGCAAGGAGATTCAAACCAAAAGCGACAACAGACTTATAAACATACCACGTGCTCCATCCATCATTTAAACTTAGACAGATTTTCCGGTCAACATTGTTCCCACAGCTGTGGTGCCGTGACCACAGAAAGTCCTACAAAGAAGGAGTATCTGAGTAATCACAAACATGCCTATGAAGGGAATTTATAATTTTGCCTAGAGAACGTTTTTAGTGTGCATGCTAAACATCCTCAGACTTTGTAAAAAATTTGAATAAACATTACATTTTTCATTACATTTTGGTGTTGGTAATGATGCTAAATGAATTTCGGTGCGCCCACAGTTTTCAATGCAGAATAGCCCTTGGCATGTTTCACCCTCAGTTCATGCACTACTTTTGACATCGTGGGACTATTTTCATGGAAAAATTTTTTGTGTAAGAGGAAATTATTTACCCTTCGAATAGCCTGTTCCAGGCCGTTAGTATGTGAGCCGGCGAGCGATTGAAGAAAATGAGGGGAAACTGAAAACTGCCCGCTCAGTCCTCCTCCTGCTTTGACCAATACCCTGCCATATAATATACCCATACCTCCCTACATTGGCCATTTTCCTCAGTTTCTAAGGGGGCCTTTGTGGATTGGCTAACATTCTGTTTTTCTTCCTTGACAACTGGAGACGCAAAGACAAACTGGAGAAAATGATCGAAAATAATTATAACAATGATAATGATTATAACGATAGTAATAATAGTAACAATAAAATAATAATAACGTTAAAATGCTTTTGTGCACTTGCAACTAAACGAACTCTATTTGGACTTCATGTTATTTCTATTTCGTTCATCTATGATAGTTCTACGAAGAATTAATACTCCGCCGAAGCAATGAAATATTAGAGGTGGTCATGATCATTGCCAAAGACCACACAAGCTCCTAGCAGGCAAATCTTGGGTTGTTTAACAATACAGAAGTTCTGTGTTATGAATTCTTAATTGCCAGGAGCGTGAGGAATTTGTAACATTAGAAATTAAGTTAAGGTGGCAATGGAACATTCTGGTTAAACACTAATTTGAATGATAATCATTCTCCTGTACATTTTAAACCATATTTTCCTCATTTTTTAGCCGCTAACAATACCGGAGTGATTAACCTAACCTAATTTTCGATTTCTAGCATACTTTTCGTGCTAAGACACTCGGAGGTTAAGTGTTTCCACAAAAAATCTTTCCTGAAATGTGAAAAACTCGCAATAAATGGATGTAAATAGTTGTTGTCTTGAATACAGATACCGCCAAAAATATCTTCAAGAGGTCCGTTAGACAAACGTTATTCTATGTTTTGTTCAACAGGGAGGGGGGTTATGTTTTATATGTCATGTTTTTTGTCACCAAACTCAACGAGCTCTAACCGTCCCCAGCTATTGACCAGTCAAGTTTTGAAAGGAGAGTTCAATCAGCTGATGGCTGTACTATAATTAGCAACCGGGTCTATAAAAAGAAGTATTTTAAAGGTCAATCTTGTGGCTGGCGCATCAACAGTAATATATTCCAGTTCCGTAAAGAATTTCGTTCTCCGATCTTCTAGAGTAGATTCGAAGGTTTACAGTATTAACTTCCATTGCAAATAATGTTGCATCATCTCGAAGCTTCGTTAGCCTCGGTTTAGTTAATAGTCTTCAAGTGTAAGAATCCATAGAGTGATTGTTTTCGATTTAGTCTTAATTTTCACCCACTCCAAGACTCACACTTGATCGCAATTTATTCCAAGAATTTTTGGACAAACACTGAAATGAAGCAATTTGGATTGTGACGGGCAGATCAGATCTAATAGCAAAAGGTGCAGTCTGCAGTAAATCCCCTTGACTGAACAAGGTTCAGAGGACTGCGAAGCGATTTACCTACCTACTAAGTTTATGAAGGTCATCGGATTTTGGTTTCGGAATTTTAACACAAAACACTTGGAATAAGTTTGTTGATCTATTTATCTCTACTTAAGGTGAAATTACTTAAGGTACCGAATTTGGATCGCAATGAATTTAGTTCACAACTCAGCCAAACATTCCAAACATTCCTGAAATTATTTGAATGATTAATACCCATTGTGTAGGTTGTTAATGTTGTTCTTTGATTAGGCTAATCAGCCAGACTTCTGGAACGAAAGCGCTCTTCGATTTTCACTTTCACGATTGAGTGAATCTGCTGGAATATCTTTTTAGGAGTTTAATGTGATTTGCAGGCATGTAATGTAACTAAAAATGGGTAATAAGGGGTCTTCTAAATTGTGGTATCTGAGACACAACGGAAATGAACAGGACGCCGGGTTATGATATCATTGACGTCACAAGTGTTTTGATTATTTTTGCAAGCCCCTTACAATTGCCTGCAGAAAAACTAATTGGCTAGCGTAATGATTTGACCTCAATTCGTGACAGTTAAGCCCCGGCGATACAACGTATCGGCTCAAGTTACAGTTGTGTTATCATTCACATTTGGCGCATTGTGGGAGAAGCTGTTGTTATCGACAATGGACAAATCTGATGGGCAAATCACGTGTTTGAACGTGATAATAGCGTTTTCACGCGAAAGAAATCGCTGTTAGTCAGTGTGGATTATGTATATACCCGCCGAAACCACAACATGGGGGATTTCAAGTATAATTCTCGCCCTCTCCCAAATCGTCGAAATTTATGGTCACGTGACAAGACTCCCCCGCAACGAGCTCGGGATGAAAGAGAGTTACTTAGTGCGCATGCGTCCAATAACTCCACAGAATCTTCCGTCAAAATGGCGTTAACTTGTAAAGTTCAGTATTTAGATGACACCGATCCTTTCGCCAGCACAAATTTTCCTGAACCCACAAGGCCTCCTACATACACATTCCATCTGAATATACCACTTTTTCAGCAAATCGGCGGACTCCATCGGCTGTTGTCTGCTCCGCATAGCGTACGCTAAAAGTTGTTTATATCTCTGTCCACTTTTCGTCTGAATTTTTGTTTTGTTGTAACCGGTGGCTGTGTACCTTTGTTTTAATTGACTGTGATGATTTGTTGCCATAGATCGACGATGTGGCGCTGCAGCTGTCGCACAATGGATGTTATTTGGATTTGGAAAGCTCCCTGGAAGAGCAAGCCGATTTATTGGAAGGATTTTTAGACAGGTATGAGATGATTGTCACCTTCAATGTTTACGAAGCCGTAATTACAACTTAACTCTATTTTTTATTTGTACCAATGAAGGTTCCCTTTTTTTTGTTATCCTCTAAGTAAAATGGGGCTTTTTATCTCTCGTAGCCGTAAAAACACAATTATTCTACGGACGGCTCTGTCGGTTCGAGTGCACAACTGTATAGGTGAGTGAAACTTCATCTCTAACATCTTAAGCCATCTACCATTTCACAGTTTGAGCTGTAGGAGCCCATGCTTGAGTGAAAATTGTGATTTATCAGGCACTCATGACCAAAGGGAAGGTGAAAGAGTAATTTATAATTTGAACAGCGTTCAGCTTAAAGCTGTCTGATCCGCACGGATTTTTCTCGCACACAGACAAATACCTTGCCAACTGTTCTGAAAGCCAGATATTTGTTGTGTGTTAAGCCATGTTTGGCTTATATGGGACACTTTGGCTGAGCATTTCAAGTGGGTTGTTTTGGCTTAAATACGATAACAATACGCTTGCTCTACAAGACGTAATGTTACTAATGGTTGCCTGCTTGCCGTTTGTATAACATGCTGGCATCTCAAGTAGTCAGGTTATGTTACTATTTGCCAGCTCATTTGGGTCAATAAGTCAACAGTCGAGTTGCTAAAATTTTGTGATTTCCGTTGTTTTCTCTTAGGTTTGAAATCAAACAAAGAAAGAAACCCAAAAATTATATCTCTGTTTGTCGAACAACACTCCTCGATCGTGCACGAATCAATTTTCGCTAAGCGCGTTACTGTTTTGTTGAACAATTTGCATAAAAATAGGTTTGTAATCTTGGTTTGGTTGAACGATCAGTTTACTCGCGGGCTATTTACTTTGCACAGTTTGTATTACTCTGTGCGTGAGATTTGACTGTTCGTGACTTCAGACCTGCCCTAATAAGCTTTAGTGGAACACTTAATCATTTCAAAATGAAACAGCAGCCAAAACTGTTCGATGTGCAACGCACATTTCGTACTGTTCATTTTAGGTTCATGCTGATTTCCGTCAGTAATAGCTCTGGATTAATTTCATTTTAACAAGTTAAGTTCTTGGAAAATCATTGAAAGTTTTACTCAGCGCTAATTTTTTTGAAGTGCTTCAATTTTACTTTTTTCGTTTTGCTTCCTTTTCTGGTAATCATGGTAAACGAGCCATTTTAGGGCTTTAGTTCAAACTTCCTTTGATGGTTAGTCACCCGAAACAAGGCTGATCATAAATAACTTCACTTCTTGTTGTTTTGAAGAAGACCATGTGCTTGTTTATCATTTGTGAGTGTGTAAAATTGACTGATTTTCGTGTGTCGCTAATTTTTTTTAAAATTCAATGAATAACCATGAGGGAACTTTCAACAGGCAGGAAACGTTTTATTTTCAAATCCTGTTACATACTTAGTATTTATTCCTTAATTTGCAATCTTCGCTATTCACAACTAGTAGGTGATTTTCCATCGTCTGTTGTTGATAGTACTCTTCCCAAAAATGGGCTATTTATCTCGCTAACAGACATTGTAGATTGACTTTTTTGTGTCAGTCAACTCCCCAATGTGGTATAGTTGGTTTGTTTATCAAGGTGGTTATGAAACATTGACAACTTTAGGCATTTATTAGTTCAATAATTAATGTTGCATTTAATTGCAAATCTTCAAGACAGAGCATTTTCAGTTTCCAACAATAAGCTTTTTGATAAAAGTAGTTCACTCAAACCCTTGCTCTCCTGGTTAACAGTTGAAAGTAGCTGGTGGGTTTTATTGGCCAGATATTCCCCTGATTGTTGTTGAAAATTTGAGTTTGATGAGAATAGATATTTTGTAGTTTATTTTCTTTAGGGAAAATAAAAACAAAACTTGCTGTTTTGCAAACCAAGACAATTATTTTATTCCTCCTCTATTTTCTTTGCCTTATTATTGAAGAATTGAATTTCATCAAGGCTGTTCAAGATAGAGGATTCTGGTATTTCAAAAACACACTCCTTGAGGATTATATTCTCAAAGTCACTAATAATATATTCATTTCCCAGCATTGAAAATTTTTGCAATGGTCATTCTCTTGCCTTACTCTTTTAGGGACTAGTTGTCCAAATTCCATTTGTCACTAACTCTTTGGGCCTATTTTTTGCTTGTGGTCTAACCCAAACCACAGTTTTAAGCTTTTAAGGGTTTTATACTAGGCCTCAGACTTTCTCTATAAGAGAGTTGATTTGATTGAAATAAATGCCCTTCCACTATTGGCTTTCAGCCTTCTAGACACTCTTCACAAAAAAGATGTTCAGATGAAAAGTTTGCCCAAATTGATTTGCTGTTTCTGTAAGACTTGCCTTTTTTTTTTTTTTTTTTGTTTGTTAAAATATTTTTCCAGTTGAATTGATATGTTAAATTCAGCATTATTATGGTGAAAAGGCTTCTAAAGAACACTGTATGACAAAGAATTGCCAGCTGATCTTCAAATGGCTAATAACATTTTAACTGTCACAATCATGTAATGTCTAAATTCTAAAAGATGTCACGGTTTTTTTGCTCTGTATTTTAGAGCTAATACAATTATTCCTGCTCTTCACATTGTCCAACCTACTATTTGCATAGAACTGGGGTTTCTTTGCATGAGGTCACTCTGGGATTTTAGCCTAGGATAACATGCTTTGCACAGTATGATGTAATGTACAAAAACACAGGGTGGTAGATCACTTTGAAAAGAATAATCCAATACCACAGTGTAATGCTTCTTAAGTCTTTTGATATATTCTTTTGAGAGCAATGCTTGCTGCCAGGATTAGTGTTTTATGGCTACTTGGTCATAAATACATTGATTGTGGAGCAAAGGTTTACTACTTTTGGAATCAACCACAAGAATAGAAATTTAAAAGAGTTACAGCTTGACTTCCTTTAAGTTCAGCTAATATTGCAAATTTTGTTCCTTAACAAATTGTTTTTGCTAATTATAGGTATTTTTCTTTGATGAGTGTGAATTCTTCTGTTCAGGTTTGCTTTTAAATTATTGGTTTTCTTTGTTTACAGCTAAACTACTTGCTGCATCAGGAAGAGAGCTCAGGAGAGCTTTGTTTTCATTGAAGCAAATTTTTCAGGTAATAAGAGAGGTGGAACATTGTAATAATTATCTTTTTTTTTTTTTTTGTAATAGATAAATAACCTTTGCTTGGCCACAACTAGTGTTTTGAGCTCTATTTTTCTATAGCCTATCAACAGCATTAGAAATAAGTTATATTCAATGTTAAGTTCTATGAATTGTGCATTAACATTGTGTTTACTTGACAGGATGATAAAGATTTAGTGCATGAGTTTGTCAACTCTGATGGATTAAGTGCACTGATATCAGTTGGACAAGATGCTGATCAAAACTATCAGAACTACATCCTTAGAGGTTTGAACAATTTTTAAGAAAATCAATTAAAAATTTATCTTGTAGCAATCCTCTGAGAATGTGCTGATGAGACTGTTACAACATGCAGACTAAAGAGAGCCTTCTTGAAAAATGCGCAATGATAACTGGCAATTTCAAATGTTGTCATTTAAATGCATACCTATTGGTCCTATTTAGTTTAGATTAGGGTTGTGTAGCACTTGTCACTTTTAAGGCTATAGGAGCTTAGAGATTTGAATACAGGGGATTTTCACACTGGTGTTGCGACTTAACATAGTGCAGGAAGTGAAGTTCAGGAAAATATTACATTCCTTATCAGTTTATGGTATGATAATTTGTAATGCCATATACATGTAGTTGATTTTATGGTCTATAATTCACTTTTCAAAGTAATATCATGAAATATTGCACAAATTTTTAATGGTAATTTTATACTGGTTTTGAGTCAGCCATACAGATGAATGATTTTTAGCATGAGTGTATTACTCATAATAGTTAGTTTTAGTGATGCAGTGTGAGATATTGCTTTGTTTCCTCTATGTTGTAAGTCAATGTGTATTGTCTTCTGGAAGCAGCTCCCTAGTACCCTTGGGAGTTCAAGATGGTTTTAATTAGTATTAACTTTGATTACCTTTTTGTTGATAGCAATTGGTCAGATAATGTTGTATGTGGATGGAATGAATGGTGTTATTAATCACAGTGACACTATACAATGGCTTTACTCTCTCACTGCCTCTAGGGTAAGCTGTATTATTGGGTGTTATTAAGATATTCAGAAAAAAGTGGGCAATTGTGGTCTTGGTTAACAGAGGAAATAAGTAACACTGCAAGGGAGATTTGTTTTGCCATGGCAATGTTGAGGGCTAACCCCACAAGGTGAAATGTATTAGTAGAACTTACTGTTGACTTTTGAAAAGTTTTCCATGATACAACTTTATTCAAAAGATTGAAATTGTATATTTAGCACAGTAATTTTGGTTTTATCAACTGAGTTGATATTGTAAATTGGCCACTTTAAAGAGTCTCTAAGCTCTGACAATTAAGGGCTAATGCTCAAAACATCAGCTTTGAAAGTTTTTATGATGGCCAATTTACATTATCAACTCAGATGATAAAACAAAAATTATCTCCAGGTATATCCTTATATTCCCACACAGATGTAGCACTATAGTTGCTTAATAAACTTACCCCCTTTACTCATTTATATATTTAGCATACTTGTGTCTTTTTTGTTGTAGTTCCGTCTTGTGGGAAAAACTGCACTTAAACTTCTTCTTGTGTTTGTGGAGTATACAGAATCTAACTCAAGAGTGTTGTATGAGGGGATCCAAGCTGTAGATAGCAATCAAGGTAAAGATTTGTGTAAACATTTAACCCTTTAACTCCCAGAAGTGATTAACATGAAAATTCTCCCCAAAATATCCATACATTATTCAGTAAACAGGTGATGAGAATAATCCAACTTATCAGGTAGAAGCTGCCATCTTGATCTAGCACCAAGTTCTTGTAACTAATTTACCAGGAAATGTGTAGCAGCTAGAGGGGAGAATTAACAATCAGATCATGGTAGTTAAAGGGTTGAAAGGTACTGGTATAATGGTGTTCTGGAAAAAAAGACCTCTACGGTTCCCAAAGGTTTTAAATTTGTCAGGATTGTGAGTACAGAGTTCTTGCAAGCTATCAGAAAAACTAGGGTACATGCATAAGTCTTCTGTAGACAAACTGTGGTTATGTAAGGGAGTAGAGACTTTGTTAGAGTTCAATGCTGCTTGCATGTTACTGTTCTGTGTGAACAATCTGTGAACTCCTGAAACTTTGTGTAGAAATATACAGTGATTAATTTACAAGACCACCGACAGCTGTTTATAGGTTTACTTTAAATTTGAAGTGAAATGGTATCTTTAATTTTGGCATTAAATTTCATTCTCTGATCTCAATATCAATATCTCTTGTATGTTTATTCTTAAAAATTTGCTGTTTTATTTGGTATAATTTTTTTCTCATTTCATCACTTGTTAGCTTGAAAACTTCCTAGAAAGAGATTCTTATATTATATATCAGACCATTATCCTGGAAGTGAATGGTTAATTCACTTGATTATGAGATTTTTGATAGAAGCACAGGATGTGCAGTGCAATGCTGAGGAACCACCTCAAACAAGCTTTGTTTCTGGTCAAATTGCCTCAGTTGCTTTCCCTCCCAGTGCATTATGGGAAATACACTGAGCCTACTCCTGTTCAAGGGGAAATGGTAACATGATTTGGCACTGTGTTATTTGCAGTTACTGTCTGGTGGCAAAATGTGGAATTTTGTATTCATTGTCAGGCATTTGAATTGCATGTTCCAGCAACTGATACACTGCAAAAGAAGTCATACCATTGTTAGTATTTTACATGATTATATTTTGCGCTCTGTGCAGTACCACCTAAATGAAATTTGTTAGTCTCAACTCAAAACTCAATCCTTAACTGTCACAAGTTGCAAGAACTGAGGAGAGAATTTCAATTTTTTTTTTTTTTCAAGAATCAAGAGTTAAGTTTTGAGGAATGCATCAGCACTCAAATAATATTTGGAGGAAACAATTCAATCCTCTTAAAAAGAATGATCATGCCAGTGAGAATGTTTGACACATTACTTCTTTTATGTACATAAGCCACTCAAAATGCAAATTACTGTTTTCAGTGATTTGACTTAAGCCAGATTTTCTCAAACATCTCAAGCCTCTTTACTCAAATTTTTGAAGCATCAAGGATTTGGAATCAATTTGTTAGGGGGACAGTCATCTTAAATTTGAGTCATACTGTATTAGCTCAGCTAATGCTTCTGTAGATATGCTGTATTTATATTTAGTCCACTAATACATAGTTGCCATGGAAACATTAAAGTTAAATCTGCAAACTATATTTTGACTAAGTCACTTACCTTGACCCAGTTTCTTAGGGGTATTTTACTGCGTGCACCAACATCAACTGATGTTCTGGTTATCTTGCTCAATCACCCTAATGTATATTAATCTGAGCAGCAGTTGTTTTCAAAGTGTTAACTCTATGTTTTTACTTTTCAAAGGTGTCAGAGAATGGGCTGAAATCTTAGGAATTATGACAGATAAAGAAACCCAAGGAGATGAAGAGGTTCTAATCTATGCTATGACACTCATTAATAAGGTATTTATTTAGATGTGTAGCTATACTTTTAAGTAGCTTTTGTATTGTTCTTATTATGGACTGAAAATCCCAAAACAGTTCACCTTGTATGCTCATGAAACTGCCAGCAGTCAGCTTCTTTTGCTATGAGTAAATGACTTGCATTGAGGACGTTGAAAGGAGATGCCCAGAGAAAAAAGACTTTGGGCTTTTATCAAGGACTTGGGCAAGTTAAAGCCCTCTGGTTCTGTCTGTCCTTGCTCATTACATGGTAAAATCAAACCTCAAATTCAGAGGTTTTCATTCTTGTTAAAAATAATTTTTAAATCTTTCAGCAAGTTTTGATTTGTATGTAGGATATTTTTACCACAAAAATTTCAGAATATGCCTCATAGTTTTAGATCTCACAACTAACATACCCAGAAAGTTTAGGGTTTCGGATTTCAGTCAATTTCCAGTTGTTAGTGAAGTTGATATTACTGTAAATGATAAGCTGAAATATGCAGCTATTTGATAAATAACATTTTGCTTCTTTAGTACAGAGATAGACTCTATATGTTACTGCCATCTGTTCAATAATAGATCACAAAAGATTTTAAAAATCTAGTACGATCATCAGCGCCTTGTGTACCACTTTACCATTCTCATTACATTTTGACATCATCTGTGATCTTTTATTAAACAAATGTAAGGTAACATGAAATCTGTTTGTTAAATACACTATACTGTAGATATTTCATAAGTTTTACTGAGTCTTATATGGAGATTTATCCAGTGAATGAACTACTTTGCAGCTCTTTCCTTATTTATCCAGTGAATGAACTACTTTGCAGCTCTCTCCTTCATTAGAATACTCTCCTGTTAGACTTAAATTGCCAAAAAGTATATGAGAAGCTGAATTATACATGCCTTTTGATTGAGTTTTGTGATGATCCATTGGTGGACAGACACATGGATGACATCACTATTAATAACATTTTGCTCTTTTATTAAATAAAACAAATACCTAGTGCACCACTTTTTTGTTCTAACCACATTTTGACATCCTCTGTGATCTGTTGCTAACCCATGGCAACATGAAGTGAACATTATGCATGAACTGTAGGGTTGCAGCTGTCTTATGTTTTTTGATCTGGTGATGTTTTTCAAGGTTTTGTATGCAACACCAACTCAAGATGGGTTTTATGATATAACTGATGCACTAGAAGAACAAGGAATGGAACAGATAATAAAGGTAAAACCCATTCATATACAAATGTTTATTTCAACTTTAAGCATATTGGGGATGCTTCTTGGAGCAGTGAGCAGGGGGGTGTATATTTTTTTCCAAATTATGACATCATGATGTTTTGGACCAAAGCATTTGATGTGTACATTAAAAATAAATTTAAAGATACTGATATGATCCCTAGATAGTGTAAAACTTTAAGCAAGAGAGTGGCAATTAGAGAACAATTGTAAGAACAGATTTGGCATGTGGAGAAACTATGAAAATACCCTAAACTGGAAACTGTAAGGTGCAAGGTAGGAAAAAAGGCATTCCTTTCTTTGTAATGTTGTATTATAAGCAAACACCAGTCTTTTGTTATCTCAGTACTTTTCCTTAACCTTAATTTTCTAAGGGCAGCTTTTCTCAGGGGTGTTTTTTTTTCCTCTTAACCTTTTAGCTCCTAAGAGTGCCTAGCATCTTATTTTCTCCTCACTATATCACCCCTGAATCATTCATGAAAGTCATGAGGATAGAGGAGATGATCACCTACCAAAGCAGCTCTTGATTGCTATACAAATTCTCCTTGTCAGCCTCTTTGGAAATGTAAGGAGAACAGTATGGAGAATATGCATACTGATGTTAGGATGTGAAGGGTGAACTCTCAGATTTAAGGTTCTTTGAGTATTTGGCCATCAGGATTAAATTCATGTTCCTATGATAATGTATGTAGCGGTTCTTTTACAAGAAAATTACTTTCATGCTGATGTGAATTCCTGTGTACTATTTTCTGTTAGATGCATCAAAAACGCAATGGAACAAATATTGACTTGATGGAACAGTTTAATATTTATGAGGTAAATAAGTTTCAATTGATTTTACTCCTGCAAAACATGTTTTAATCATTATTTCCTAACATTTACCTACTAACAAGACACATAATGTTTTTCTTGCTCTGTGGATATACACTTGTGCACTGACTGCGATTTTTTCTGTTTCTGTAATTGGAAATTTTATTCTAGCTTAGCAGCCATGTGTCCTGTGTAAGTAAAGCGATCTCAGAATCTTTTCCAATCAATTTTAGACGGCACTCAGAATTGAGGATGGTGATGAGGAATTCCCAGCGTTTGGAACTTCTCCATCAATAAGGTAGGACAGGTGTTTTAATCTTACTAATACCCCATTCACACCAGCAAAACATGTTTTGTTAAACTGGTTTTCATTGAATGAAAATTATAAACAGAGCACTGAAAAACTTGATTTTCCATTGGATTCAAGTACTTGCTAACTTGCATTTCCAATGTGCTACATTCAAGTAAAAAATATTCGGTTAAATAGTTTCTAAAAAGAAAAAAAAAATTAAACTGTGTTTAACAAAACAACTTTTAAACATGTTTAAGCTTTGGTGTGAATGCGGCATAAGTTTTCTTGGTTTGTAAAAGTTATTCTAAACTGAGTCGCTGATGCAGTTGAACTGTGTAATTTAGTATTATCAACTTAGTTGATAACGTAAATTGGCCACCGTGAAGAGTATCAAAGCTGACGTTTGAGCGTTTGCCCTTCGTCAAAATGCTGTAATGGGAAGCCCCTTCGCTCCGACGAAGGGCTAACGCTCGAAAAGTCAGCTTAGATACTCTTTACGGTGGCCAATTTACGTTTCAACTCAGTTGATAATACTAAATTACCCTGTCATACTCTCCCACCGACGCAGTACCACAGTTTCTTTAGAATTTTACCTTCTGAACTATGTAACTGTCTGCTTCATTGCACGAGGCGAGGGTTTTTTTGTATTCGTCCGTTTCATGCATGGAAATTTTCTCTCTGTAGACAAAGAAAAAGGACGACATCGTATGCTACAGGTATGGCGTAATATCGTCCATGTTTTAAGTGGAGCAAATTGTTCTTGTGATATTCATTTTGGTCAATGAGGGTTGAATGTACCAGTGAGTGTTGATTAAGTCGATGTTTTAAACTTTTTAGGTGACAGAAGACGGAGTCGACGACATAATTCAGTCAGCCAAATTGACGTATCATCCATCACAAAGGACAACCTCCTTGTCCCTCCAAGAGCCAAAATCAGGGAGGGCTCAATGCATAAGGTGGCCAGTGCTCCTAATGTGGGTACCGCTGTGAAAGTGGAGCCCCCTACTTTGCCTGTTAAGACTTCAGCAAGCACAACACCATCATCGTCAACAGAGTCAGAATTGGACGAGAAAACTAAAAATCGTTTAGAAAGAAAGTACGTTAAACACAAATCGTTGGCAATCAGCCTAAGAAATATAGGTTGTTCTTAATGCGACTAGCACCAGACTTTCAAAATTTCAGAATTCCAAAAATGCATCCCGTACTAAGTGAGAGTCGGTGATGGAGATGATGGAAAGAAATTTTGGAAGTAAAGATCCTAGTACCAGAATCAAATTAATGTGGGTATAGTTTAGAACTAGTTTTTACTCCTTTTCCTGTACTTCTGGTGGAGTAATATTGCTATGTTTTCCAACAAGAAAGGAAAATTTATGGCAAGCGCTCCATGCTGAATATCTGCGTGGCACAGATTAATTGTAACTCCCACTGAGGTTGCAATCAACCCGTTATTATGGTGTGATATTACCCCTGACCCTCTATACATAGGGTGAAATAAGAACTGAAGAAAAATTGAGTAATGGTCGTGGAATATACGTTCATAAACCGTTAAGATGATTTCTACAAAACTAGTTTTAACTCAAAGAAAATTATTTGTCCAAACGGACCTGTTAAGCGGCATTACTCTAGTATGCCATCCAATAATGGATTTTGTTGAACAAAGTAGAATGTGGTGAATTGAACAGCCCGTTATTCTTTTTCTCTTTATTTTGTTGGAAAAGACTTTGTTAATCTATTTAGAGTTTGCTTTACTTGATTGGTGTTGTCTTGTAGGCAGCGCCGCGCCGCTAGACGGGCTGCCTTGGGGATAGCTGAACCAGAACCAGAGACGTCCATATCTAGTAGGAATGACAGAGGCAGACAGCGATCTGACAGCAAGAACAGCGCAAATGACAGGAATCATTTGGAGGTGTCTTCACCACCTAGCGACAGACCACGGTCACCTCGTTCATCTCCTCGATCATCACCACGCCCTTCCCCCAGAAACTCCCCAACGCTTAGCCGGAGAAGATTCAAGTTTGAGGAGCCACAAATAGAAGGTAAATGTGTGTTTAATGGAGATCGTTGAATTTTTTAAAGTGTAAAGCACGAAAAAGTCACCTTTAGTTAACCTGTTGCAATTATGGTTGTTCTAAACGACTGTGAATATACGAAAGTCATATATTTAAACTGCGGATAAAGACGTGAATATGAAAGCGATCTTCGCAGTTATGAACACTACTTGAGCAGCAATGAAAATAAGGCCTAAAAAAAATTCAGGGCTGTACGGGATTTGACCCCTTAACCTTTGTGATACCGGTGCAGTGCTCTGCCAAGTCTATCAATTGCACCATCTCTATCCACGACTTTTTGTTGCAAAGAAAAAGAAGTAAGGAGAGCGAGAATTTTATTTTGAACAGTGTTGATATGGTAAGCTGATCTGTTAATAGTCAAGTGACTGTTGTCACTTGAAATGCTATGGGTGTTTTCATTCAAATCACATCGCATGTACTATTTTTACTTTTTTAATTGCCGTCGCAGTTGCCAGCGTTGCTTTAGGTTGAGCACGAAAGATTCCCCTCTTAAAAAATTAATCAAAATTTTGTGCGATCATTAGGAAAGAAAAATTTAAATCTTAAGGCTACTTTAACGATTTTTTAAATTTTATTCGTTTATTTTTGCTTCTTAGAGAAACCAAGTTATAAATCAATGGGGCATCGAGAAGAAACTCTGCGGGCGCATGAAGATCTCGGAAGGCAACCAAAGGCTGAGGCGTCAAGTCACAGGAAAGATTTCTCGGAGCACAAAGAGGAAAAATCTCCGTATAGAAAGGACTTAAACGTTTCGGTAGTGAGTAAGAAAAAGACTCCTGATGTAAAGAGAGACAGCAGTATGGAATCTTTGACGAACAACGTAGATAATAATGGATCTTCGGATCAAAGAACTAGTGATGAAAGTGAGGACACTGACGATAAACTTGGTTCTAGTACGGACGATTTGCTTAACAATAATGAACATACAGAAACTGTAACGTCTTCGGAAGATCATATCAACAGACGAACTAGCACAAGTAGTTCTACAAATGACGGTAGGCGGCCCAGTGTTGTAGATCCGGAGAAGCGATCGAGTGTTTGTGAAGGATTTCCAGGATTCCCCAACAAGAAGATGATGTTATCAATGTTATACGGACAAAAGTCCATTGATGATGCCGATAGGAAAAGCATGGATGGTACTTTATCTCCAGGAGGGGATTCAGTTCAGGAAAGGAAACAGCAGCTGATGTCGTCCGGAGGCAACGATGAAGCCGGGCAGAGGCCAACAGAGTTACTTGCAGTTGATAATTTAGTAAATGAGGCTGTGAAGAGATTGAGTGGTTGTATTGAGGTTGACGAGGAAAATGAGACACCCTCTAGTCCTCCGGAGGGCAACTTTGAAGGACTCGTGGAGAAAGCAAAGTCTGGGCTTACAAAACAGCCAACTGTTGACAAACCTGATCCGGCTGCGGAGGAAGAGGCTAGAAAACAGGAAGAACTACGGAAGAAACAAGAGGAAGAGCGAAAAAGACAGGAGGAAGAAGCTGCTAGGAAAGCCGCTGAAGAAGCCGCTATACAAAAGGAACTGGAATGGGAGAAAATGATCATACTAAAAAGGAAACTCATTGTAAACGAATTCAACTTCACTGAATTAGAGAATGATGAAGATGAACTTCTGGACAGTACGTCTTCCCAAGCAGATGAAACAGATGCCCATCCTCATCGAGGAGTTCCCATGTTTGGGATTCCTGTTCCCCCACCCCCTTTCCCTGGTGGCCCCCCGCCCCCTCCACCACCTCCCGGTGGTGCTGCTCCCCCTCCACCTCCCCCGGGACTACCCAAGGCACCCGTTGTGAATGATGCTAATCCGAAGAAAAAATTGGTTCGTTTATTTTGGCAAGAGGTTAAGAATTCACCCCTTATAAACGGTGTAAACAAGACAATTTGGGGAAGTATTGATTCTGTGGATGTTGATACCAAAAAACTGGAACACTTGTTTGAGAACAAAACGACTGCTAAAGTAAAGGTGAGGAACTGTCATAACTATTACAATATTCGAAAGTAAGTTTTGTTTACTTCGTTCTCCCACTAGCGTAGATTTCCTCTTAATAAATAATTACCCGCAAAAAAAAAGTCTGGTAGGACCCCTTTACTTTGACCACTAATTGGCCTGGAAAATTGGGTGGCTATTAAGGGTGGTCGAATAAACGAGCGTGTGAAACGAAGAGGTGATCGTATTTACAAATGGTATGACGAAAATGTAAGGAGTACAGAGCCTTCCTTTTTAAAGGCGCTGTGTATGTTGCTGTCATGTTGCGTAAAATTCAGCTTCAGAATTTAAATACTGTGATAGCTTTTCCTTTCATTTAGAGTTGAAGGAAGTTCTAGATCGGAAATGTGCTAAACCCCAAATACATCTGCCTTTTATCGAGGTTTCTTTTTTTCCTTGTAGAAAGGCGAGGGTGAAGATAAAGACAAAAAGAAGGAAATAGTTGTTCTGGAAATGAAGCGATCTCAAGCGATTAACATTGGTTTGACCAAGTTACCACCCATCAGAGCTTTGAAGCAAGCTATTCTGGCGATGGACAGCGCCGTAATCGATAGGGAGGGGATTGATGTAAGTATTATTACGATCATGCAACGCTATCTGTTAATTTACCTTGCATGAGAAGCTATCGTGAAGTACACCATTTTGTTGTAGGTGAAGTACTACGTCTGTGAAATTTCAAATTTATTCCTAGGCTGAATACTTTTCTATTCGCAATGAAAACAAGACGACCGTTTCAATTTCAGAGCAGCTGTTAAGGTATCAAGCAGTTCTGTCAGTGTAACCGCAAATTTTCACACTACGCTTACTGGATGTAATAAAAGATGATAAAGGGGCTCTTTCATACCCAGTCAATCAACCTGACAATGCTTGACAGATGCAAGAAAATTCGAATCGAACGAGCTTCTTCAAAATTACAGTTGAGTCTCTCTCTATGGACAGTTTCTTTGTTCTTTTCAAATTCTCCACTACGCATTTTTTTGAATAGGTAAGAACCCTCAAAACGATTAGTAAGTCGTTCTTATTTGTTTTTCTCAGTGTTTTATGATGTCCAAGGTCCAGTTGTATAACGGCCGGATAGAGCTATTCAACGGATAAATCGCTATCCCGCGGATAAGTGATAACAAAACGTATAGCGTTATCCACCGCATGGAGATTAATCCTTGGATAGCGTTATCTGACCTTCGAACAACCGGGGCTAGTTGGTTTCACTGATGAAGTGTTATTTTCTTTCTGTAGAAATTGCTCCAGTTACAACCAACGGCGGAAGAGAAAACCAAGATACAGGAGGCTCATATGTCAAACCCAGACGTGCCTTTGGGGACAGCTGAGCAGTTCCTGCTAACAATGTCCTCCATTAACGAACTGGCGCCACGTTTGCATCTGTGGGCCTTTAAACTTGACTATGATCAGCTAGAAAGGGTGAGAAATCGTTACGACCGAAACGAAGGAGATTTTTTTTCACCTCACTCAATGCTTGGTGATAATTCAAGTCAGACTGAAGTACGGTGTTTGATTGATTTTCAGGAGGTAGCGGAGCCTCTAATGGATTTAAAGGAGTCTGTACAAGAACTGCATAACAACGACACCTTCAAGCATATATTGGCCACTCTCCTTGCAATTGGAAACTTCTTGAATGGAAAAAAGGTACTGAACTTAAATTTTATGTGATCTTTAAAAAGAAAATTTAACAGAATTTAACCAAGAGTGAATTTGTCCTAAATTTTGTGCAACTTTAGTTTCGTTTGTCATTCAATTCTCAGTGCAATGTGATTCAGACTGTTGTTGATTTGATTACAGGTGAAGGGGTTCCAGTTGGACTATCTGGCAAAAGTACCAGAAGTGAAAGACACAGTGCACAAGCAGTCGTTGTTATATCACTTGTGCTGTATGGTGATGGACAAATTTCCAAACTCCACTGATTTTTATAGTGACTTAGGAGCCTTACATCGCAGCTCTAGGGTACGTGATCTGATATAGCTTTTTGTTTGAGTGACTGTCAGTCCGGTGGTTGATTGATCATCGAAGTTCGTACTGATTGAGCTAACGAGCGAGTGGTACTTTTGCAACTGAGTGCCTGACAAGACTGCTCGTCATTTCTGACTGAATGACAGACAGACAGACAGACAGACTGACAAATCAATAAAGAGGGCAAGTTTATTAAGAAATTGTGGAGCTGCTTCAGTAGGGAAGTGTAACATGATAATTCAGTTTTATCGTCTGAGTTGGTAATGTGAGTTGGCAACCCTAAAGAGTTGCTAAGCTGACGTTTCGAGCGTTAGCCCTTCGTTAGAGCGAAAGACCTCCCGTTTTACTGAGCTTCTATGTGTAGTTATGTTCTGTGAGTTACCTTATCTTATCATCGACGTTTCAATAATTGCTCGTATTGTTTTTGCGTTAAGGTGGACTTTGATGTGGTGATGGATAACTTAAAGAAACTGCGTGAAAACTGTAAAAAGTCTTGGGAATACTTGAGTATTGTTGCCAAACATGACAGCACCAAACAACTCAAAAGCAAGTAAGTCAAAGAGACCACGAGTTTTAAAAAAAAACCTTCGAGCCAGTGTGATGTGATAGTAAGCTAATGAGATAGCCAGCTTTACATTTTTATTGTCATTGCGCATCTTTTAAGAAAATAATAGAGCTGTTAAGTGTTGGTAACGCACTACCAATATTCACTTTAAATAGACACATCGACAGGTAATACAGGCGCGAAATACAGAGTTAAGTACGCATGCCGCGGCTTTCTTTCATTATGTTTTGCTTCTATTCAATGTTTTCTTTTTTCTCGTTACTGCGTAAGTAGTTTTCACACCAAATGTCGCACGACTTTAGTCAAAAATGTCAAATTTTGACTTAAGTTAGTTGTAAAAATAGGAAGAAAGTTTTTTGTATTGGCTATGACTTTTTAATTTATGGAAGAGAAAGTTTAGCTTGACTGGTTAAACTGCCGCTCTTTTTCTAGAATGAGTGAATTTTTAGCAGACGCTCAGGAGCGGAGCACAATCCTCAAAGTTGTCCACAGACGGGTCATCAACAGGTAAGACACATCTCTGATCATGTGCTCTCTAATTTTCACAAAAATTTAAAAAATCGATCAGAAAAATCGTGCAAAGCACTCGGAGGAAATAATCGACACAATTCTTCACGGCTGAAGATGAAAAGCTACGACTTTAAACCAGAATTACACACAGAAATACATATTTTGAAGGTGTGCAGGTAACGCACATATTTATTTCAATTCATACTTTGCCTGAGGGGATACTTCGAAACCAGTACAGTAATTCTCTTGGCATAAACTTGGGCGCCCGTTTATCAATTATTATTTTCATGATTGTTTTTTAAAGATTTCACAAGATGTTGTTGTACCTTGGACTACAGTCAAGCGTAGCGAACAAGACCAAGGTAACATGGCATGGGGAGTATGTGTTAGTTTGTTGAGCGTTATTTGAAGTCACACAGCTCGGAATTTAACCGCTAACGTTGATTTTGGTATGCTGGCAAATGAAGAGTTTACTTCAATTGTCAACGTCATTATGTTTTACCAGGTGAACGAGTTTTGCAAGATTATCAGTGAGTTTTCTTTGGAATACCGAACCACCAGGGAACGCGTGATTCAGATGAAGAAGAAGAAAGAGAACATGAGGGAACGTAGCAAGACGAGAGGAAAGCTTATTACAGAAACAGAGGTAACGACTTACATTTAGACCTAATACTTTAAGAACTACCATTAGTGTAAGAGAAGATAACTATATTTTAGTAGAAATATTTCTTGATTATATTGTCATAAATTCCCCGTTCGTTTTCGTTGTTCCCAGTCTTACTCAGTAGCCGCCAAGGTATCCGCTGAGGAAAACATAGAAGCGTTTCGTAAAGCTCTCATATCTAACGGCGATGAAACGGATAACGCAAGAGAGAAGTTGAAAAGCGCCACACTGCCGGGAACACGAAACAGGATCAAGAGCGCTGGTCCCTCTCGCACTAATTCTGGCATACAAACACTAGATGAATTTCAAGACGACACTACTGATGAAGTGATCAACACGCTGGCCAAGTCGGCGACAGTTCCGGATTCAAGAACAAGACAGGGAAGAAAGCGACCCAGGGCTTCCAATAGAAAATCAGGTTAGTAAGTTAGCTGATTAGGAGGGCAATAGAGGGAAAGCACATAGTTTTGGAGCCGAATGTTGCCGCCACGATTTAGTGTGTACGTAGAGTTATTTGGTCATAGGGCAATTAAAAAATGCAGTGCAGTGCGTTTGAAGGGAAGAAGTAGCTCGGCTTATCTTCTCGTACAATAATCGAACGTGGCTTGAAGATTATCTGGCCCGCGTCGCGAATCATTGTGACGTGTTTTTATACAGTGCCTCTCTTTTTCAGTGAGAGAAAATGCATGGGGACTTATTAACTACGAGCATTCCATTCTGAAAGAGTAGTAAAGCTCTATCGAAAACCAGGATTAATCTTTTCTCACATTTAACTGGTTTTTTTTTTTTTTCACAGCTCGAAGGACACTTAAGAGTGGTATTAGTCCTGAAGATATTGAAAAGCTAACTAAACAGTATATGAATAATATGGAAACCAAATGACCCTTGTTAACTTAATTTAAACAGAATTTATCAGTAATTATATTTTTTACAAAGAAATAGTCTTATTGGATACTTCGATGCAAGGCAGGCTGTTCAACACGTGGATTCATGAAGGGTTGTTTTGTAGCGACGGTGAACGAGTAGTGAAATCTGGATATTTGTATATAGAAATTGTGAGTTTTAGGGCATTGTAAAGTTTATTTCTCTTCCCATGTTGGTATCAACAACGAATTGTAGATTTTGACCAACTAACGGTGGTGTAGTTGATCCGTCTTCATACTACTGGTACGTTCCTCTTGTAATATATTTCCATCAACTAAAACTTCCAGCAGAATAGTTTGAGCTACCACGGATTTCCTTTTCTCTGTAAAGGTAAACAAGCAATGTTTTGATGTCAGTTTTTACTACTTTTATTCTCTTACAAAGTATATTTTAACAAATTTGTAATTATAAACAGTCCTAAGATTTTTTCTAAATAATGACTAATACGTTTCACTGTCGTTTGCGAATTCCGCGTAATTTCATGACTTGCACTGAACTTGAATTGCACATAAACTAACTGATCACCCAAACATTGTTTTGATCTTTTTCTCTCCTGATTTCCACGAATGATCAGTAGTAGATTCTCCTCACAAATATTGCTACGAGCTCTAAAGTATACCAAATAATCAGTGATTGTAGGGGGCGTATAGCTGAGTATCACCTGAGCTTCTAAGTTGACAATTAGGCAGCCGTCCTCTATAAGAAAGCATCACCTTCTGTCGCTGACGATTTATCGGAGATTGTTTGTGCTTTGTGATTCGTTTCCTTGGCGGTAATTTTGTATATTTTTTAGGGAATAATTTGTCCTTGTTAATAATGAACTATGTTAAATGTGCAGTATTTCCTTTCCGGTCACAAGCAGGTCTTGTTGTCCTGACTTCAAATGGATTCTATAATAATACTGCCACATAACATGAAAATTCTACAATTGTTGCTTCTTGTTTGAAGAATATTAATTACTTTGGTAGTAAAGAAACCAAGGAGTTAAAAGATACGGGGTACACCTATTTAGAACTGGGTTGTTTTGTAATGATACGTATGCTGTAGAATTTTATCTTTGTTTTATAGATGGCAATGTCAGTTATCACCATAATACAGCCAGTTGATTGGCTGAGTAAACAATCCGGTCTATTTTGAATCTCTGTGAGTTCTTTAATTAAAAAATCCAATGTTTGAACCAGTTGATGGGTGCTTTTTTTTGCCTACCCGCTAAAATATACCCTCAAATGTTTACATTCTCATTAACTTCTCTTTTTCTGCCACTTTTGAACGTTTTTGAAATTCTATCTTCAAGTTCAAATCAACGTACACCGAGTCTTTAAGATTCAGGCCGTAAGCGGATCGACCCAGCTTTTAGAACTCATTTTCACCCGCAATTAGTTCTGTAAGTAACAACACGTGAGACTCACGGATGAAAAATGTAACAAGAGCACCTACGCCTCTTATTGATACACGTTTGTTGAAAATGTAGACCTCTCCGCCTGAATCTTTTCGCCTGAGTTTTAATGGCTGATGGGTGAAAGTATTTAAGTCCAATAAAAAATGTTTGTAATCGAACAGTTTGGACATGAACAACCATTTAAGAATTTTTTTATTGACGCATTTAATTTACATTTAATTCCTGGGCTGTACGATGAACGCGATTTTAAAATCTCTCTAGTTCAATCATTCTTTACACCGATGACGATGGGATGACGCTATATTGTGGGTTTGCCTTTGGAGTTAAGAAGCCACAGTTACTTCAAAGGTCTGTGAGAAAAGTCTCTCTTAATCCTCTCGAGTAGTCGTTTATATAGGTTAAGGCAACCCATCTCCCCTCACAATGACTAAACTTAGCTCTGTTATATTACGAAACAAAAAGTTTAGGGATCAATATCAGTATCTGGGTAACTGCCCACCTACCCCTCCCCTAACCCAACATTAACCTTAAGTTGTTGTCAATTGACTGTTGTTGAGTTAGGGGAGGGGTAGGTGGGCAGTTACCCAGATACTGATATTGATCCAAGCTAAGCACACAAGACTGAACTAGTACAGCAACTCGAAAACTATGAGGTGCTTATTTAAGGCCACAAGTCATTTTAATGACAGCTATCAACAAGTAATCGTAAAAAATGCTGGAGTTTGCTGTTGTGGTGGTTAAGGTCTAATGTAAAATGTGCGTTGAAAATATCAGAGTTCACGACGGAGTCCGTAAGTGTCACACACAGTCACCTCTCAGCTAGGGGGCTGAAATTGAAGCGAGGTTTTCACATGGAAATAAACCGATCGTATTATCAGTAATGTGTATGCCAGATCAACATTACCGCGCAAAGTAATTTTTACTTTTCTGGTTTGTAATTGGTCTTCTCGATTAACCCAAAGAGTGATGGAAATGGAACGTTGTTCGGTTGGAGGCAGGAAACGTTGCGTGATAACCCACGGAACAACTGTGAATGAGAGTATGACCTGAATGAAACGCAGTCCTTCAGACCATCAGTCTCGCCTGAATACAGTCGGCACATTTTTCTTCGCACTCCTTCATAGTATGAAACTAGTTCAAACCCTCTGGAAAAGATAACTAAAATATCCAGTACTTAAAGTTCTTTTGGTGTCGAACGACTCAGTTACGGAAGTTGACCATATACTGTAATCGCTGTCATCCTTCGCTCAATAGAAAGCATTAGTTTACTCATTTACCCCTTTAACCCCTTAGGGTGACTAACATCTAATTTCTCCTTACAAAATCACCCCTGAATAAAGCATTCAGGTCATGAGAATAAGGGAAACAACTAAAGAAGCTCTTGATTGTTAAACAAATTCTCCTTGTCAACACCACAGAAAACGTATAGAAAACAGTATGGAGAATATGCATACTGATGTTAGGATGTAAAGGGTTCAAGCCGTTTTCAGTTTCTTAGCCATCCTTCTCGAAAGTTGTGAAGAGCACAAGAACCGTTCCTTTTCTAATTAACAATGTAGTAACTTAGGCAAACTCATCACCAAATAGGAGCCTCATATTTTCGTCTCAAAAAAATTCAAGTCTAAATGACGAAAACAAGCGGAACAAATCTTAGCGTTCTCTTTGTTGTGGAATGTACACGAACTACAAACTCTGCTGCCCGGCTTTGACAGCTCCACAGCACCAAGTCCACGTGTCGTGGAACATATGGCACAGATTTTGTTCTCAACAGGATTTACGTACGTGCAACGAAGACAGGACCATTCTTCTCCACTAATTCCGATGCCTTGTTCATCCTTTCCTTCAGAGGCCTCGAGGTTCACAAATTCCTGCTCTCCTTTAGTAACCGCGCAAATATCCACAGCAGAGATTGCCTTGCACTTTTCACGTGTCGTGGAACACATGGCACAGATTTTGTTCTCTGCAGGATTTACGTACGTGCAACGAAGACAGGACCATTTTTCTCCACTAATTCCATTGCCTTGTTCACCCTTTCCTTCAGAGGCCTTGAGGTTCGCAAATTCATGCTCTCCTTTAGTAACTGCGCAAATATCCACAGAATAGACTTTCTTACACTTTCCACAGACTAACTGATGACAAGAACGGCAAATGCATGACGCGGGTAGCAAGCAATGTTCACATAAGCCGTTTTCAACTTTTTTGGCTTGCTCAACTGCACGTGCCTCATGAGGCAATGTTGTTTGAGCGACTGATACAGCTCCAGTTTGAGGACCTTTCACTGAATCTTGAGTAGGATTTTGAACCTGGAAAGGAGAGGAATGACAAGCTGAACCATCCACTTTTCGAGTCGAATCCCCGTTCGTTCTGTTCTGTACGGTTGCACCAGAACTGACATTGAAGACACCTGTAGGCGCAACAGGACTTTCAATATTAACTTGCGATCTGTGTGCTTGTCGTGATTTGGCGGCTTCCTCCGCACTTGGAATATGCTCCTGCCTCCTGTGTCCACTGGACATGTTTTTCTGCTGCTGAGGAGCTTTTGCAGCTTTACTAACGTTAGATGGCTCGTCGTTACTTGAAAAATGATTCGAAGATCTCACATGCGTCTCACCCTCCAATCCAATCAAGCCCTTTGAGGAGCGAGAGATGTAAGTTTCCTGAATTATCGGTAATCTGTCTTCAAAGCGTCTCTCACCCTCTTTCGTAGACAAAGATTTATATGATCCACTGCATCCAATGTTTTGGCTGTCAGAACCAATGTTACATCCGAAGTTTGCATACCTGGTGTTTATGCCATGAACACTCGCGCCAGCTCTGGCTGAACTATTGAACGAATGGCCATTATTGAGTAAAGCCGGTTGCACTTCAGGATCTTTAACTTCTACGTTAGTGAGACGAGCACAGTGTACATGTGGTACACCAAGCTGATGGAAAGTGCAGTAACTTGAATCAGCGTCATGCTCCTGGCCTCCTTTTGTGTTAACAGAGTACTGAGGGCGACCTATTGGAGGTGTTGTAACATGTTGGCTATTACCAGTCACTTCAGGATCTTTAACTCTTACGTTAATGGGACAAGGACAGTGTGGTACACCAAGCTGATGGAAATTGCAGTAACTTGAATCAACGTCATGCTGCTGGCCTCCTTTTGTGTTTGCAAAGTACTGAGGGCGACCTTTTGGAGGCGTCGTAACATGTTGGCTATTACCAGTCACTTCAGGATCTTTAACTCCTACGTTTCTGAGACGAAGACAGTGTGGTACACCAAGCTGATGGAAAGTGCAGTAACTTGAATCAACGTCATGCTGCTGGCCTCCTTTTGTGTTTGCAGAGTACTGTGGGCGACCTTTTGGAGGCGTCGTAACATGTTGACTATTACCAGTCACTTCAGGATCTTTAACTCCTACGTTTGTGAGACGAGGACAGTGTGGTACACCAAGCTGATGGAAAGTGTAGTAACTTGAATCAGCGTCATGCTGCTGGCCTCCTTTTGTGTTAACAGAGTATTGAGGGCGACCTGTTGGAGGCGTTGTAACATGTTGGCTATTACCAGTCACTTCAGAATCTTTAACTCCTACATTTGTGAGACAAGGACAGCGTGGTACACCAAGCTGATGGAAAGTGTAGTAACTTGAATCAGCGTCATGCTGCTGGCCTTCTTTTGTGTTAGCAGAGTACTGTGGGCGACCTGTTGGAGGCGTTGTAACATGTTGGCTATTACCAGTCACTTCAGAATCTTTAACTCCTACATTTGTGAGACGAGGACAGCGTGGTACACCAAGCTGATGGAAAGTGTAGTAACTTGAATCAGCGTCATGCTGCTGGCCTTCTTTTGTGTTAGCAGAGTACTGTGGGCGACCTGTTGGAGGCGTTGTAACATGTTGGCTATTACCAGTCACTTCAGAATCTTTAACTCCTACATTTGTGAGACAAGGACAGCGTGGTACACCAAGCTGATGGAAAGTGTAGTAACTTGAATCAGCGTCATGCTGCTGGCCTTCTTTTGTGTTAGCAGAGTACTGTGGGCGACCTGTTGGAGGCGTTGTAACATGTTGGCTATTACCAGTCACTTCAGAATCTTTAACTCCTACATTTGTGAGACAAGGACAGCGTGGTACACCAAGCTGATGGAAAGTGTAGTAACTTGAATCAGCGTCATGCTGCTGGCCTTCTTTTGTGTTAGCAGAGTACTGTGGGCGACCTGTTGGAGGCGTTGTAACATGTTGGCTATTACCAGTCACTTCAGAATCTTTAACTCCTACGTTTGTGAGACGAGGACAGTGGGGTACACCAAGCTGATGGAAAGTGCAGTAACTTGAATCAACGTCATGCTGCTGGCCTCCTTTTGTGTTTGCAGAGTATTGAGGGCAACCTGTTGGAGGCGTTGTAACATGTTGGCTATTACCAGTCACTTCAGGATCTTTAACTCCTACGTTTGTGAGACGAGGACAGTGTGGTACACCAAGATGATGGAAAGTGTAGTAACTTGAATCAGCGTCATGCTGCTGGCCTCCTTTTGTGTTAACAGAGTACTGTGGGCGACCTGTTGGAGGCGTTGTAACATGTTGGCTATTACCAGTCACTTCAGAATCTTTAACTCCTACATTTGTGAGACAAGGACAGCGTGGTACACCAAGCTGATGGAAAGTGTAGTAACTTGAATCAGCGTCATGCTGCTGGCCTTCTTTTGTGCTAGCAGAGTACTGTGGGCGACCTGTTGGAGGCGTTGTAACATGTTGGCTATTACCAGTCACTTCAGGATCTTTAACTCCTACGTTAATGGGAAAAGGACAGTGTGGTACACCAAGCTGATGGAAAATGTAGTAACTTGAATCAACGTCATGCTGCTGGCCTCCTTTTGTGTTTGCAAAGTACTGAGGGCGACCTTTTGGAGGCGTCGTAACATGTTGGCTATTACCAGTCACTTCAGGATCTTTAACTCCTACGTTTCTGAGACGAGGACAGTGTGGTACACCAAGCTGATGGAAAGTGCAGTAACTTGAATCAACGTCATGCTGCTGGCCTCCTTTTGTGTTTGCAGAGTACTGAGGGCGACCTTTTGGAGGCGTCGTAACATGTTGGCTATTACCAGTCACTTCAGGATCTTTAACTCCTACGTTTGTGAGACGAGGACAGTGTGGTACACCAAGCTGATGGAAAGTGTAGTAACTTGAATCAGCGTCATGCTGCTGGCCTCCTTTTGTGTTAACAGAGTATTGAGGGCGACCTGTTGGAGGCGTTGTAACATGTTGGCTATTACCAGTCACTTCAGAATCTTTAACTCCTACATTTGTGAGACAAGGACAGCGTGGTACACCAAGCTGATGGAAAGTGTAGTAACTTGAATCAGCGTCATGCTGCTGGCCTTCTTTTGTGTTAGCAGAGTACTGTGGGCGACCTGTTGGAGGCGTTGTAACATGTTGGCTATTACCAGTCACTTCGGGATCTTTAACTCCTACATTTGTGAGACAAGGACAGCGTGGTACACCAAGCTGATGGAAAGTGTAGTAACTTGAATCAGCGTCATGCTGCTGGCCTTCTTTTGTGTTAACAGAGTATTGAGGGCGACCTGTTGGAGGCGTTGTAACATGTTGGCTACTACCAGTCTTTTCTCTTGTCGTGGCACTCCTTCTAAAATCATCACATCTGCAAGGATAGCGAGAACTAAGTGATGTCTGGTCGTGCACCTCCCAGTTGTATACACTAGCGCGCTCAGGTTGGCTTTCTTCAGGATTTACACCGTACAAAACGTTGTCTGTAATCTGTTCCCAGTCAACACCGCCTAGTGGTAATTTGTGATGTGGTAGTTGAGCAGTGGGAACGTACCCGTTACGGACTGTATGCTCATCTGAACGATTACTAGCACCTACAGCACCACTGTCTGATACTTTTAACGGAACAGAGAGACTTGCTGAAGATCTGCTATAGCTGCTGGTGGTGGTTTGGTCCCCTGACGATAATTCACCTGGAGGTGTGGCTCTGGCTTTGATGTTATCACTGGACGTCCCCCTGGTGAGCCCGTAAGATGATACATCATCTCCCTGTCGTTTGTCAAGTTCTGGCTGTTTACTGGAAAATTTTAGGTCTAGATAACGAATAGCTTCCTCCACGGTACGCCTTTTTGATCTTGCTCTAACAATTTCCTTCGATGGAATATTTCTGCTTGAGTTTTGACTTTGAATTTCCTCCATTATTTGCAACTCCACTTGAAGTAAAAAGAGGTTGAAGGACGCCCATATGGGATTTCTTCTTCCAGAATCTTTTATATACACTTTGTGTTCATCTCTTTCTGTGTAGCCGAGAAACTTCAACACAGAAAAAATGAATTCCTTGTCTTTCAGTTGTTTTTCAATATTCTTTAAAAATTCTGTGTAAAGCTGTTGAAGAAGAAATGAAAAATTTGCAAAGCTCACCGAAAAACCTCAACGCGCAGAGGCCGAGAGTGGCCATTGGGAGTTAACTCCGAAAGTGAAAGGTTAGTCAGGACATCAGCATAACTAGTAAATATAACACAGCCCCTTGACTCATTACCAACTGAACAAAATTGACCAATCACAACTGACTTAATTACTGGGTGAATCTGCAAAGTGAGGTGTCAGATAACGAAAATTTTGTATAATGATTTCTGAATCTGACTTTTCACCTATGATATTCATAAATGAACTTCGTAATTTGCCTTTTGATCCAATATTTGTTTCAACCTCTGTGAGCCACCTGAAATACACATCTCAAAAGGCAAACTCGTGTTACTGAAATGGTACACTATCAATGGGAAACAAAACAGACTTTCACAAATCTTCTGTTGTCTCTAACCCATTCACTGCCATGAGAGACTATTCAATCACAGATTAAACTCTAGAAGTGATACATTATTTTTAAAGAAAAAAGTTGACATTCATCATCACTGCCAAAGAGAAAAAAAACATGGAAAATCATCTATTTCCATACAAGGTACCTTAACAGTGTGGTACTCTTTACACCAGGGGAACCTCCACAAGTTCACTCCACATTTTTCAAGGCTGTTAATTCCAGCCTTCATCATTTTAAAGAAGTCTTCATCACTTTCAAATTTCTGAGCAATTCTCTCTACATCGTCATAAAATTTCACTTCCGGTGCAAATCTGTAGCCAGGTTCAGAAGTGCTCAAGAATTCTTTAGAATTCCTCACAAGCACCTTCTCCTTGGTTTCATTAGCATCATTTGAGTGATATTCTATGTACTGATTTGGCAAAGATCTCCAATCCATTCTTTTTTACTTCACACCACTTTTAAGCCTGCAAAGAAAATCAAATCTCATCTTAAAAAAAAATTAAAAGCATCAAAAACCCAAAATAAACTGATTTACATTTCAGCTTTTCAGATATTTTCTACAAAAATTTAACATAGACATCAACAGAATTTGATTTCAGGTCAAAAAAAAAAGGGAGAAAAAAAACCTGCAAAAGTAAAAAGGAATGGCAGATCTGAGTGGATGAGTGAACAAGTAACACTGTATCTACAGTAAGTTACTTAAATCAACAAGTTCAAATGATAGCTGGCATGTTTACCCACTTTTCTTTCCTTCCAAAATTCTTATGACCTTGCCAAGTATACTTGGAAGCTGCATTTTAAATTTTCAATTGAAAATGTGCACTAAACTGCCAGCCACCACACTTTCAGTCAAAAAAATCCAAGCTGACTTCAAATCCTCTTAGCTATCAAGAGTCACCTACAACTCTTGGTGGAAGCATCGACTTTCAATTTTTTTCCTCTAGAGTTGTATTGAATCATCTTAACTACAAAAATATATTCTTTCTCAGAAATGATATACATGTTCTCTGAATATTACTACAACAAATTTATGGTAAAAATTCAGCATTCAAAAGTTGCATGAGAGGATTTAACTCCAAATATGCCAGGCTCCTAAGACTCTTCATGTAAGAGATCTTCATAGGAAAAAGTACTTAGTGTCACATAAACAGTTTTAAATGAAGCATTAACAAGAAAGACTAGACAGTTTTGAAAATTGCAACATATGTTCTTAAATCACCTATACAGCATTTATCTATTGTTAGTACACGTTTTTTAGTCACTCTTTCTGCAATATATATATTTTTTATTATTCATATTTTATCATTGTCCACAATTATTTTGTCAATAGCTAAATACCCTGGCACTTACATCAAGTCTACCAACCTTCCTACTTGTTAAATGAATTGACACGATATGAAGAATTAGACCATTCTGATATAAGGTTTCCAGAAAATTCTGTACATATTAACTTCTAAAATGATGTCAAGGACTTTTTCGTGTTTTGTTTTCTACATTTCATCTTGCAAAGGACAGTTCGGTTAATTTTATCCAGTGGACCATTAACAAAAGATTAACTCTCCTTGATAGAGGAAATATTCCACTGTTCAAGTCTGTTCACCATTTCTTCCAGATCTACCATTCACGAGAAGGGAGAAGATCAAAAGTTGTACATTAATTTGCTAACGTGTTTTTAGACCCATTTTGACAGCTACGACAAAGCAAGAGTCGAAAGTGAAACCGGAAATGTATCATTCGGGTGATCACCGCTTCGCAATATTTTTAGAACATTAAAATTGACTTCCTTACGAACCTTCATTGTGTCCTAGATAGAATAGTAAGTTAGATATCGCAAGAAAAATTCAGACTGTACCCACAATAGAAAAAGATATTCTTGACAAAAAACTCTTAACGTTCAAAGAATCCTAAATCGTGTGAAAAACGAGCTTCTATGCCTACATGTCAGCTTGCACAATCTCGATCACAAGTAGAAAATCGGTAACGAAACGAAATATTTCGCGCGTTTTCGCATGAAGTCCTACGGATTTAGATTTCTAAGTGATCACAACAACCTGTCGTAGAACATTACGAAGTGACCACAAAACATGAGCAGAAAAACATTTGCTTCGCTGATCACTGTGCACGACATAACAAATCCTACTGGTCAACTACAATAAACACATACCGTAGTTCAATCAGTCGTCTTGAAATACCTTCAATAGACTGCTAAGATGTAAAGAATCGAAGTATCTCCAAATATCTAGTCATAAAAATATATTTCCTATTATGACTTCAACCATCTCGCCTTTTTGCCATAAGGAAGTAAGGAAAGTGAGATTGGTGGCCCAAATCTAGTGCACAGGCTTTCGTCAGTTGATCGGCCACTTCCAAAGGGTGTGGTGAGTATGTGCAAGTGAGCAAGATGGTGCTTCAAAATTGTTAGTCTTTGAAAAAATTTACTCGTGCTTATTTATTTCAAATTGCACTCGAAATCACGCGATTGCCTAAACAAATGTCCTGTTATGCCATCGTTTGATTCGTGTGGAAGTTGCTTCGTGGTTGTCTTTGTCGAGGTTGTATGTGGTCGGTTTTCGCAAGGTATAGTAATGGTAAAAGCAAGAAAGTGAAAAAAAAGAAGTCGCGATCAACAGTAAGGCGTTTTTTACATCTATTTTGGTTTGTTTCAAACATGCGCCGATTTCAAGTCTGTTCGAATCTTTTTTTTTTTTTTTTTTTTTTTTTTTTTTTTTTACGCTTTAGATACGATAAACATATTTCCCTCAGCACACGTCCCTGGTCACCTGAAAGATGGTCAACCAACAAGTTACTTCCAAACAGATTTTGAGATCGATTTGTGATACGATGATGATGATAATGAATAGTGAATAAGAAACTTCGAATAAACTTCTTCATGGCATGAGTACAAAATTTTTTTGTCTATTCATCCTTTTTCTTTCTCCCTATCCCAGGTCGCGATCACCGAAAAGACGCCGGAAGGATAAATCGAGGTACGGATTTCTATGCTGTATGCGTATTTTGACGAAATAATCAGAGAATTCCAGTAAGACATTTCCTCGCATCATGATCATAAAGTGACGCGCATCGCCATAGAGAAACTACTACGTCCAGATCAAGTTAACAATTATAAACGTTGCGAAGCAGTTGCCTTGTAGATCGATTACGATTAAGTAATAGTGGAAGAAATTTGGAAAAATTGATTTTGAAGGATGTTGTTTCTTAAATTAGCACCAAAAGCTGATAACTTATAGCTTATTTGGAGACGACTTTAATATTGTGTTGTCCTTTCCAAAATCTCGCACATCCCTGCTGGGAATAGACAGCCAACCAACTAGACCTTTCGCCTGTGCTTTATCATATTGATTCGACTTTCTGTTATTATTAACAGCTAAATCTCCACTTGTCGATCGCCGCCGGTGCGGTAGCGTACATCATTTATTCCAAATTTACTTCACGCTGTGAACATCTTCTACTCTTTCTGTTTTCTCAGGATTGGTGTGCGACGAAAGGTGAGCCACCTGAAAGCGCGAAAAAAGGCTGTTATGTTCGGCTCGTTTACGCTTTGCTAAAAGGAAGCGAAAATAACCGTTACTCAAGCTAAGGTTTTGGCAGAGCTGCGTGCGATAAAGATAGCCTGCTCATTCAGTTTACAGAAAATAATGTCCGCGCAAAAGTTGCCATCGTTATATTTGCATTGAAATGATTAACCTCGGCAACGGTAATGAAAATGTTTTAAACTATTAACAGGCTAAATCATCTTGGAAAAAAAAAAGGCAAAATCAAGTTTTTGGATCTAAAGTGGGGTCCGCTTAATGAAGTGAGGATAATGATAACATAATACAACTACTCAATTCTGAGAACCACTGTTTGTGTTCTTGTCTATGACGATTCTCGGCATCGATCAAGATCGTGATGACCATTTTATGTTTCAAAAAAAAGACCTGCTTGTTCTGTCAAGTCTAGTGATAAGAAAAGGTACGCAGTAGTTGAATGCGTTCACCATAACTCTACTCATATCTTTCCTTTTCATCGCGGCGTCTCTATCGTTGTGCAAGTTGGATAGTGGAAAATCTATAAAGTCCTCTTTTCTTCCCTAATTCTGGCCATGTAGGTTTCGAATACAGCTTATCATGTTTTTATTTCCTGTCATGAGTTATGGATAGCAGTGTATGTTTCTCTTCCTTTTACAATGTAGTGGAGAGTATGGTGTTGACTGCTTTTAATCCATTCTGTGTACCATTCTATGACTGTGTTCTTGTCTACAACTTCAGTAACTCCTCTTGGATCAGGTGTGTCTCACTGAAATGTATTGTAGCATCTGGATTAATTTGTTTGAAGTGTACGCTCACAAAAGGTAATAATGAACGTCTTTGCTTAAATGATTTGACGTATCTTACGATCATTCACACTGATTTTCATACGGTAGGCAAGACACCAAACATGAAGTTTCCATAGCCTGGCTTCCAAGCATTCTTTCTTGATACTGCAGACGAAATTGGAAACACACTTTTCCGACAACCTTTGTTGCCACCTCCTCATCCTCCAGGCAGTTATCCACCAAATCAAATACATCGATGGTGGGTAAGTAAAGAGATTATAACCAGCTACACCTTAGATGACGCCTTAAAAGAGATCAAAATTCTTTTTAACTCAAAGAACACTTACGTACTCCAGTACAATGATGGTTCATCTTATGGTAATAGTGAATGACAGAGACTTGAGGTCTTCCTTGCGCTACTTCTTGGAAAATTCAAATCGTCAAGATGGTTGTCGAATATTTTTAGAGGAGGAGCGGTCAAAAACAGAGGAGAGTTTCAAAGCTTGTATAGAGTTTACTGCATCACAAGCTTCCTCTACTAAAGACCAGGCCGAAAGGTTCGAAGCTAACTCTACTAAGAAAGGAAAACTAAAGACAATAAACGCTTTATCTGAATTTTTGTCGAAGACAACCATCAGATGTCTTTATGATCGATGAGGTAAATAAATTTATTGTAAGGAATTCAATCAACAAAATTTCGACACCCACGTTAAACTGTGCCATGCCTCAAACAAAAATCAGGGGTCAGACATCAGATTGCTTCTTACGCTGATTGACCAGAGCAGAATAGATAGTGCGGAAATGGAAGAGAATATAGCCTCCAGTCGAAGCCCAAACACTGATTCTGCAATTCACGATTGACTAGTACGCTACGATATAGATTTGCTTAAAGTGGACAAAACTGTGTTGAAGTTTTCGTATTTAGTCCAATCTGGACTTTTGCTAAGGACACACACAATTTATGAAGAAGTTAGCGCATTTTGCTTCAGAGCCCTGAGCTGTTATTCACCGATTTCACAAGGCTTTCCAGGAGAGTTTCCTGGTCTAACTTCTTGGCTTCGATCAATTCAATTTTTGTATGGAAAAGGAGCAACGCATTTTTTCAATAGTGTCGGCGGTCACTGGAAAGGAAACCTTGGTGACGTTGGCATGTCACCAACTGAATGGATCAAAAGTCATAATTTAGCTGGTCTTCCGCCCTGAGCCCTTTCAGCTATGAGCCCAATGGAGTGCCCCATGTTACTGACGGTGTGAGAATTGATGATGTTTGTCGAATGTTCTTTCAATTGAAAGAAACTGAAGCAGTCAGCTTGAAAAGACAGGGTGTGGTTGGGATCCTTATTGCTACAGCAAGGGATGCTATGGCTATCAAACCAGGTCTTCAGGTTTCACAGTACGCTGGTGGTATTATAGGGCTGAAAGATCCGCTTGCTATGTTGGTAGATGAGGTTAAAGATCTTTTGCACAGGTCAGACGAGGACATTGTAGCCCACCTTAAGTCATGCAAATTCAACTCTCAGACCCTGGAAGTACACCTCACATAAATGGACGATAAAGTGTCCCGACCAGTTGCTGTGTTTTGCGGAGTTTCGCAAGGTGGATGGCAAGTTGTACAAGATTTGCATAAAAAGCTAAGCATCATCGACGTTTGTGAAGCATGCCTCATAAGCCACTGAGAAGAAAGACCAGTGCTCTTATAGGTGAAAAGATTGCTGGACCAATATACGCGTTTGCGGTTTATGTCTTAACGCAGAATTCACTGCTTGATTGAAACAACCGCTTTGATGGAGGGTCAAAATGACGCACAACAGCAAGACCTAGAGCTGCCTTTTAATCCATCGTTACTGCAGTGTGAGGTCTATTTGAAGTCAGAGGAAGTGATCGCTGTAAAGCACAACCGTAGAAGAGAACAGGGGTGGTTTTTCCTTGCCCTGCTTTCAAAGGATCTCCTCGTCAAGGAGAGAAGGGGAAATTTAATAGTGTTTCCTCACAACGTCATGCACATTTTGTGGCTCGACAACAGTGACACTGGCGACAAGTTCGTTTTCTCTGAAGCTTACCGAGACGATAGGGACTCATCGTACACCATCATAGACCGTGTGCGTATTGAAGAGATCATTATTGATGCTTCCGGATTGAGATCTTACAAGCTCCCTCAAGAGGAAACAGATAGAATTGGACGACTTTTGAAAGGTGGCAATAACAGTGCATTGACTCTGACGACGAGCTCGTCGAAAATGAAGAAGTGTCCTATGAGGATTCGTCTGATGAACCTCCTAAACGTGTGTTTTCATCACTAGGTCGGGGTGTTGAGCAACACGCTTTCTATCCTCAATTATGCGTGCTTGGAGGTCTTTATTTCACAATTTCCATTTGTGTGGAGATGTGGTCTTCACGTTGAAAATTGTTCCAAGCGTCCCAACTGACGAATTGAGAAAACGGTGTTGAGTTAGCCCTTTATCGACATCGAAAGTGGTGTGAATATATCTCGTCAAGAACTAAAAAAATATTTATGCTAATTTCATTCTCAACTTGAAAACGAAAAAGCACTGAAAGAAAATGAAAGAGATCAGACTAATGAACAAGAAAGTTAAAACTGATTGGTCTTCTGTGTTTCATATCGAAGACACCTGTATTGATACGTTGTAGCGGACGATCATTTTGCTTTGCTCTCTCTCCTTCAACTCTGGATTTACGTTTGCAACCCGTGTTGTTTTTTAATGTTTAATTCCTACTTATTTGGTGTCGTCTCCTTCCCGTTTAAGAATATCCAAGTCCAACAAAGGAAAAAAAAATTTAAAATATTGTTCTATGCAGTTGTTTTCAATCGCACGGAAAAGACAAAATCCAAAGTTGATAGGGATTCCAAATCGACTGTATCGCGACAAAAACGAGGCATCCTTAAAAACGTGAAGAAAAAAGTCTGGAATGAGATGCCTAAAGAATACAAAAATTTGTCAAAGAAATCCATCAAAAAAGAAACAAAAAGAGCTCTTCTCAATATTCTAGAAACTGAAGATTCTTAAATGGAGCCTGATGAGATAATGCCACAATTCAAACACAGCAAAATTGAATCAAATTAAACCAGTTCTACAATATTTTCGTAAACTTAGAAACGCTGGGACTTTTTTTTCCTTTACAATGAACATCTGCCATTTTCCTTTTTTTCTTTTTTTCTTTTTTTTTTTTTTGCGTATCTTTTTGTCCTGTTATGTTATATTTCTCCATCCTCGTTTTATTGCCCGTGTAATTAAATGAAGTCAGTAAAAAATAAATAAATAAATAAACAAATTTGACCCGCCTCGATTAGCATTTGCTGTCCGCGGGTCAAAGGAATATCTTGTAATATGTAAGAAAATGAAAACTAAAAGTGTGTGAAAATAAAAGTGTGCTTGATAAAGGATATCATTACATGTGCGGCGCACTAATCTTACTTATGACGATGGGCCTCCCCTCCCTCCTTGTCGTTATGTTATCGTTTGAACTTCACAAAAGTTAAAAAAAATCGACCAGAAAAATCCTGAAAAGCACTCGGAGGAAATAATCGACACAATTCTCCACAGCTGAAGATGAAAAGCTACGACTTTAAACTAGTTTTTTACACTCTGAAAAACATATTTTGAAGGTGTGCAGGTAACGCACATATTTATTCCAATTCATATTTTGCCTGAGGGGATACTTAGAAACCAGTAAAGTAATTCTCGTAGCATAAACTACGGCGCCTGTTTATCGATTGTCATTTTCATGATAATTTTACAAAGATTTCACAAGATGTTGTTGTACCTTGGACTACAGTCAAGCGTAGCGAACAAGACCAAGGTAACACGGCATGGGGAGTATGTGTTAGTTTGTTGAGCGTTATTTGAAGTCACACAGCTCGGAATTTAACTGCTAACGTTGATTTGGTTATGCTGGCAAATGACGAGTTTACTTTAATTGTCAACGTCATTATGTCTTACCAGGTGAACGAGTTTTGCAAGATTATTGGTGAGTTTTCCTTGGAATACCGAACCACCAGGGAACGCGTGATTCAGATGAAGAAGAAGAAAGAGAACATGAGGGAACGTAGCAAGACGAGAGGAAAGCTTATTACAGAAACAGAGGTAAAGACTTACATTTGGACCTAATACTTTATGAACTACCATTAGTGTAAGGGAAGATCACCATATCTTAATGGAAATACTTCTTAATTATGTGGTCGTAAATTCCCCGTTCGTTTTCTTTGTTCCCAGTCTTACGCAGTAGCCGCCAAGGTATCCGCTGAGGAAAACATAGAAGCGTTTCGTAAAGCTCTCATATCTAATGGCGATGAAACGGATAACGCAAGAGAGAAGTTGAAAAGCGCCACACTGCCGGGAACACGGAACAGGATCAAGAATGCTGGTCTCTCTGGCACTAATTCTGGCATACAAATACTAGATGAATTTCCCGACGACGCTACTGATAAAGTGATCAACACGCTGGCCAAGTCGACGACAGTTCCGGATTCAAGAACACGACAAGGAAGAAAGCGACCCAGGGCTTCCAATAGAAAATCAGGTCTGTAAGTTAGCAGATTAGGAGGGCAATAGAGGGAAAGCACATAGTTTTGGAGTCGAATGTTCCCGCCACGATTAAGTGTGTACGTAGAGTAATTTGGCCATAGGGCAATAAAAAAATCCAGTGCAGTGCGTTTGAAGGGAAGAAGTAGCTCGGCTTATCTTTTCGTACAATAATCAAAGGTGGCTTGAAGATTATCTGGCCGCGTCACGAATCATTGTGACGTGTTTTTATACAGTGAGAGAAAATGCATGGGAACTTATTAACTACAAGCATTTCATTCTGAAAGAATAGTAAAGCTCTATCGTAAACTAGGATTAATTATACCTTTCTCACATTTCAACACGGGGATTCATGAAGGGTTGTTTTGTAGCTACGGCGAACGAGTATTGAAATCTAGATATTTGTATAGAAATTGTGAGTTTTAGGGAATTGTAAAGTTTATTTCTCTTCCCATGTTGATATCAACAACGAATTGTAGATTTTGACCAACTAACGGTGGTGTAGTTGATCTGTTTTCACTGATACTACTGGTACATTCCTCTTGTAATATATTTCCATCAACTAAAACTTCCAGCAGAATAGTTTGAGCAACCACGAATTTCCTTTTCTCTGTAAAGGTAAACAAGCAATGTTTTGATGTCAGTTTTTACTACTTTTATTCTCTTACAAAGTATATTTTAACAAATTTGTAATTTGTAACATTCTTAAGATTTATTCTAAAAAAACGACTAACGCGTTTCATTGTCGTTTGCAAATTCCGCGTGATTTCATGACTTGCAGTAAACTTAAATGGCACATTAACTAGCCGATCACCCAAACATTGTTTTGATCTTTTTCTCTCCTGATTTCCACGAATGATCAGTTGTAGATTCTTCTCACAAATAGTGCCATAAGAGGTACGAGCTCCAAAGTATACCAAATAATCAGTGATTGTAGGGGGCGTATAGCTGAGTGCTATCTGAGTTTCTAAGTTGATAATGAGACAGGTGTCCTCTATGAGAAAGCATCACCTTCCGTCGCCGAAGATTTATCGGAGATTGTTTGTGCTTTGTAATTCGTTCCCTTGGCGGTAATTTTGTATATTTGTTAGCGAATAATTTGTCCTTATTAATAATGAACTATGTTAAATGAGCAGTATTTCCTTTTCGGTCAAAAGCAGGTCTTGTTGTCCTGACTTCAAATGGATCCTATAATAATACTGCCACATAACATGAAAATTCTACAATTGTTGCTTCTTGCTGGTGGTAAAGAAACCAAGGAGTTAAAAGATACGGGGTACACCTATTTAGAACTGGGTTGTTTTGCAATGATACGTATGCTGTAGAGTTTTATCTTTGTTTCATAGATGGCAATGTCAGTTGGCACCATAATACAGCCTGTTGATTGGCTGAGTAAACAATCCGGTCTATTTTGAATCTCTGTGAGTTCTTTAATTAAAAAATCCAATGTTTGAACCAGTTGATGAGTGCTTTTCTTTGCCTACTCGCTAAAATATACCCTCAAATGTTTACATTCTCACCAACTTCTCTTTTTCTGCCACTTTTGAACGTTTTTGAAATTCTATCTTCAAGTTCAAATCAACGTACACCGAGTCTCTAAGACTCAGGCGGATCGACCCAGCTTTTAGAACTCATTTTCACCCGCAATTAGTTCTGTAAGTAACAACACGTGAGACTCGCGGATGAAAAATGTAACAAGAGCACGTACGCCTCTTATTGATACATGTTTGTTGAAAATGTGGACCTCTCCGCCTGAAGCATTTCGCCTGAGTTTTAATGGCTGATGGCGAAAAGTATTTAAGTCCAATAAAAAATGTTTGTAATCGGACAGTTTGGACATGAACAATCATTTAAGCATTTTGTTATTGACGTAATTATACATTTAATTCCTAGGCTGTACGATGAACGTGATTTAAAAATCTCTCTAGTTCAATCATTCTTTACACCGATCACGACGGGATGACTCTAGTTTGTGGGTTTGCCTTTGAAGTGAAGAAGCCACAGTTACTTCAAAGGTCTGTGCGAAAGAAAAAAGTCTCTCTTAATCCTCTCGAGTAGTCGTTTATACAGGTTAAGGCAACCCATCTCCCCTCACAATGACTAAACTTAGCTCTGTTATATTACGAAACAAAAAGTTAAGCACTGAACTAGTACAGCAACTCGAAACCTATGAGGTGCTTATTTAAGACCAAAAGTCATTTTAATGACAGCTATCAATAAGTAATCGTAAAAAATGCTGGAGTTTGCTGTTGTGAAAATTAAGGTCTAATGTAAAATGTGCGTTGAAAATATCAGAGTTCACGACGGAGTCCGTAAGTATCACACACAGTCACCTCTCAGCGAGGGGGCTGAAATCGAAGCGAGGTTTTCATATGGAAAATAAACCGATCGTATTATCAGTAATGTGTATGCCAGATCAACATTACCGCGCAAAGTAATTTTTACTTTTCTGGTTTGTAATTGGTCTTCTCGATTAACCCAAAGAGTGATGGAAATGGAACGTTGTTCGGTTGGAGGCAGGAAACGTTGCGTGATAACCCACGGAACAACTGTGAATGAAAGTATGACCTGAATGAAACTCAGTCCTTCAGACCATCGGTCTCGCCTGAATACAGTCTGCACATTTTTCTTCGCACTCCTTCATAGTATGAAACTAGTTCAAACCCTCTACAAAAGATAACTAAAATATCCAGTATTTTAAGTACTTTTGGTGTCGAACGACTCAGTTACGGAAGTTGACCATATACTGTAATCGCTGTCATCCTTCGCTCAATAGAAAGCATTAGAGTTTTTCACTCATTTACCCCTTTAACCCCTAAGAGTGACTAACATCTAATTTCTCCTTACAACATCAGCCCTGAATAAAGCATTCAGGTCATGAGAATAAGGGAAACAACTAAACTTAAGAAGCTCTTAATTGTTAGACAAATTCTCCTTGTCAGCACCTCAGAAAATGTATAGAAAACAGTACGGAGAATATGCATACTGATGTTAGGGTGTAAAGGGTTCAAGCAGTTTTCAGTTTCTTAGCCCTCCTACTCATTAACAGAGTAGTAACTTAAGCAAACTCATCACCAAAGAGGAGCCTCATATTACCGTCTCAAGGCAATTCAAGTCTAGAGAACGTGAACAAACGTAACAAATCTTAGCGTTCTCTTGGTTGTGTGATGTACACCAATTACAAACTCTAGTGCCCGGCTTTGACAGCTCCACAGCACTAAGTCCACGCGTCGTGGAACACATGGCACAGATTTTGTTCTCTGCAGGATTTACGTACGTGCAACGAAGACAGGACCATTCTTCTCCACTCATTCCAATGCCTTGTTCACCCTTTCCTTCAGAGGCCTTGAGGTTCGCAAATTCATGCTCTCCTTTAGTAACTGCGCAAACATCCACAGAATAGACTTCCTTACACTTTCCACAGACTAATTGATAACAAAAACGGCAAATGCATGATGCGGGTAGCAAGCAATGTTCACATACGTTGTTTCCAAAATGTTTGCCTTGCTCAACTACACGAGCCTCGTGAGACGATGTTGTTTGAGCAACTGATACAGCTCCAGTTTGAGAACCTTTCACGGAACCTTGAGTAAGATTTTGAACCTGGAAAAGAGGGGAATGATAAGCTGTACCATCCTCTTTTCGAGTCGAATCCCTGCTCGTTCTGCTCTTTACAGATGACGGGGGTTTCTCTGGTAAATGATTCCTCCCCTCAGTTGCACCAGAGCTGACATTGTAGACACCTGTAGACGCAACGGGATTTTCAATATCAACTTGCGATCTGTGTGCTTGTCGTGATTTACCGGCTTCCTCCGCACTAGGAATATGCTCCTGCCTCCTGTGTCCACTGGACATGTTTTTCTGCTGCTGAGGAGCTTTTGCAGCTTTACCAACGTTAGATGGCTCGTCGCTACTTGGCAAATGATTTGAAGATCTCACATGCGTGTCACCCTCCATCCCAACCAAACCCTGTGCGGAGCGAGAGATGAGAGTTTGCTGAATTATCGGTAACCTGTCTTCAAAGCGTCTCTCACCCTCTTTCGTGGGCAAAGATTTATCTGATCCACTGCATCCAATGTTTTGACAGTCAGAACCAGCGTTATATCTGAGGTTCACATACCTGCTGGTGTTTATGTCATGAACACTTGCGCCAGCTTCGGCTGAACTATTGAACGAATGGCCATTATTATGGCCGTTAGTGAGACGAGGAGAGTGTGGTGAACCAAGCTGATTGAAAGTGTAGTGACTTGAATGAGCGCCATGCTGCTGGCCTCCTTTTGTGTTAGCAGGGTACTGTGGGCGACCTGTTGAAGGCGTTGTAACATGTTGGCTATTACCAGTCTTTTCTCTGAACGTGGCACTCCTGCTGGCATCATCATATCGAGAACTATTCTGGTCGCGCACCTCCCTGTTGTATGCACTTGCGTGCTCAGGTAGGCTTTCTTCAGGATTTACACCGTACAAAGCGTTGTCTGTAATCCGTACCGAGTCAACACCGCCTAGTGATAATTTGTGATGTGGTAGTTGAGCAGTACGAACGTATCCGTTGCGGAATGTAGGCTCATTTGAACGATTACTAGCATTCGCAGCACCACTGTCTGTTGCTTTTGATAGAACAGAGAGGTTGGCTGAAGATCCGCTATAGCTGCTGGTGGTGGTTTGGTCCCCTGACGCTAATTCACCTGGAAGCCTGGCTCTGGCTTTGATGTTATCACTGGATGTCCCCCTGATGAACTTGTAAGATGATGCATCATCTCCCTGCCGTTCGTCAAGTTCTGGCTGTTTACTGGAAGATTTTCGGTCTACATAACGAATAGCTTCCTCTATGGTACGCTTTTTCGATCTTGCTTTAACAATTTCCTTCAATGGAATATTTCTGCTTGAGTTTTGACTTTGAATTTCCTCCATTATTTGCAACTCCACCTGAAGTAAAAAGAGGTTGAAGGACTTCCATATGGGATTTCTTCTCCCAGAATCTTTCATATACACTTTGTGTTCATCTCTTTCTGTGTAGCCAAGAAACTTCAACACAGAAAAAATGAATTCCTTGTCTTTCAGTTGTTTTTCAATATTCTTAAAAAATGCAGTGTAAAGCTGTTGGAGAAGAAATGAAAAATTTGTAAAGCTCACCGAAAACCTCAACGCACAGAGGCCGAGAGTGGCCATTGGAAGTTAATTCCAAAGTGAAAAGTTAGTCAGGACATCAGCATAACTAGTAAACATAACACAGCCCCTTGACTCATTACCAACTGAACAAAATTGACCAATCACAACTGACTTAATTACTGGGTGAATCTGCAAAGTGAGATGTCAGGTAATGAAAATTGTACATAATGATTTCTGAATCTGACTTTTCACCTTTGATATTCACTAATGAACTTTTTAATTTTCCTTTTGATCTGATATTTCCCACAACCTCTAAGAGCCGCCTGAAATACACATCTCAAAGGGCAAACTCGCGTTGCTCAAACGCTACTTTATCAATGGGAAACAAAACAGACTTTCACAAATCTTCTGTTGTCTCTAACCCATTTACTACCATGAGAGACTATTCAATCACAGACTGAACTCTAGAAGTGATATGCTATTTTTAAAGAAAAAAGTTAACACTCATCATCACTGCCAAAGAGGAAAAAATTCATTGAAAATCATTTATATCCATACAAGGTACCTTAACAGTGTGGTACTCTTTACGCCAGGGGAACCTCCACAAGTTCACTCCATATTTCTCAAGGCTGTTCATTCCAGCCTTCATCATTTTAAAGAAGTCTTCATCACTATCAAATTTCTGAGCAATTCTCTCTACATCATCATAAAATTCCACTTCCAGTGCAAATCTGTGGCCAGGTTTAGAAGTGCTCAAGAATTCTTTAGAATTCCTCACAAGCACCTCCTTGGTTTCATTGGCATTATTTGAGTGATATTCTATGTATTGACTTAACAAAGATTCCCAATCCATTCTTTTTTACTTCACATCACTTTTAAACCTGCAAAGAAAATCAAATCTCATCTTTAAAAAAAATCAAAACCATCAAAAACTCAAAATAAACTGATTTGCATTTCAGCTTTTCAGATATTTTCTACAAATATTTAACATAGAAATCAACATAATTTGATTTCAGGTAAAAAAAAAAAGAGGAAAAAAACCTCTACAAGTAAAAGGGAACAGTAGATATGAGTGAATGAAGTAACATCATATCTACAGTACATTATGTAAATCAACACGCTCAAATGATAGCTGGCATGTTTAACCACTTTTTTGGGGGATTGATGATACCAATTTTTCATTCCAAAGTTCTCACGACCTTGCCAAGCATACTTGGGAGCAGCATAGCTAAATTTTCAATTGAAAAGAATCCAAACTGACTTCAAATCCTCTTAGCTATCAAGAGTCACCGACAGCTCTTGGTTGAAGCATCCACTTTAAATTTCCCCCTAGTTTTGTTGAATCATCATGACTACAAAATCATATTCTTTCTCAGAAATTATATATAAGTTCTCTGAATCTCACTGCAACAAATTTATGGTAAAAATTCAGCATCTTCATGTAAGAGATCTTCAAAGGAAAAAGTACTTAGTGCCTACCTAAACAGTTTTAAATGAAGCATTTACAAGAAAGACTAGACAGTTTTAAGAATTGCAACATATGTTCTTAAATCAACTATACAGCATTTATCTATTGTTAGTACACATTGATCAATCGCTCTTTCTCTAAATTTTTTTTAAAATTTTCATACTTTATCATTGTCCACAATTATTTTGTCGATAGCTAATTACCCTTGCACTTAAATTAAGACTACCAACCTCTCTACTTGTTAAATGAATTGTGAGGATATGAAGAATTAGACCATTCTGATATAAAGTTTCCTGAAAATTCTGTACATATTAACTTGCAAAATTATGTCAAGGACTTTTTCATGTCTTGTGTTCTACATTTCATCTCGCAAAGGACAGTTCAGTTAATTTTATCTGGTGGAATTTTAACAAAACATTAATTCTCCTTGATATCATTTCTTCCAGATGTACCATTCATGGGAAGGGAGAAGATCAAAAGTTGTACATTTATTTATTAACGTGTTTTAACTCCACTTTGACAGCTACGACAAAGCAGGAGTCGAAAGTGAAACCGGAAATGTATCATTGGGGGGATCACCGCTTCGCAATATTTATAGAACATTAAAATTGACTTCCTTACGAACCTTCGTTGTGTCCCAGATACAATAGTAAGTTAAATATCGCAAGAAAAATTCAGACTGTTCCTACGATAGAAGAAGATATTCTGGAAAAAAACTCTAACATTCAAAGAATATTAAATCGTGTGAAAAACGACCTTTTTTTATGCCTACATGTCAGCTTGCACAATCTCGATCAAAAGTAGAAAATCGGTAACGAAACGAAATATTTCGAGCGTTTTTGCATGAAGTCCACCGAATTTCGATCGATCCTAAATTTCTAAGAGATCACGAGAACCTGTCGTAGAACATAACAAAGTTACCACGAAACATAAGCAGAAAAACATTTGCTTCGCTGATCACTGTGCATGACATAACAAACCCTAACGATCAATTACAATAAACACTTACCGTAGTTCAATCTGTCGCCTTGAAATAACTCCAACAGACTGCTAAGATGTCAAGAACCGAAGTATCTCCAAATATCTAGTCATAAAAATATATTGCCTAGTGTGACTTCAACCATCTCGCCATCTCGCCAACGAACTAAGGAAATAATGTGGGAATTGTGGGATCGGTGGTCCAACTGGTCCAACGCTAGTGCCCAGGTTTTAGTCAATTGATCGGCCACTTCCAGAGGGTGTGGTTGATATGTGCAAGTGAGCAAGATAGTGCTTCAAAATCTCCCAAGAGATGGCCAGTAGAAAAGTGACAGGTTCGGGGGAGGGAGGGGGGGGGGGCTAAAGGAACAAAAAGGTAAGAATTTGAGTTAATTATTCAGCCAAGCCAACGTAATATAGCTAGGAAAAACGTACTTGAGTTGATGAGTGCAGATACTTAGTAACTATTACCAAAAACCAACGAGCTCTTATTGCAACATAAATCGCCAAAGACGATTATTTAAAATTCATTGAAAAGATTACTTACAACCTCGAGGTCAATCCATGTCAATCATTTCTATTCCTAAGTATTCAGTACCAATTATGCATGCTCGTAGGTCTTCATTTCACCATTTTCCACTTGTGTGGAGATGTGGTCTTCACGTTGAAAATTGTTCCGAGCGTCCCAACTGACGAATTGAGAAAACGGTGTTGTGTTAGCCCTTTATCGACATCGAAAGTGGTGTGGCTATATCTCGTCAAGAACTAAAATTTTTACGCTAATTTTCATTCTCAACTTGAAAAACGAAAAGGCACTGAAAGAAAATGAAAGAGATCAGACTAATGAACAAGGAAGTTAAAACAGATTGGTCGTCTGCGTTTCATTTCGAAGACACCGGTATTGATACATTGTAGCGGACGATCACTTTGTTTTGCTCTCAGTTCTTTAACTCTGGATTTACGTTTGCAACCCATGTTGTTTTTTAATGTTTAATTCCTTCTTATTTGGTGTCGTCTCCTTCCCGTTTAAGAATATCCAAGTCCAACAAAGGAAAAACAACAACTCAAAATATTGTTCTATGCAATTGTTTTCAATAGCACGGAAAAGACACAATCCAAAGTTTATAGGGACTCCAAATCGACTGTATCGCGAGAAAAACGAGGCATCCTTAAAAACGTTAAGACTAGATTGGGGTGAAGAATCTGCAGGATGAACAAACTTACAAGCATTTGATTTATAAGAAAAAGTACAAGATTTATCTGACATTACCTTCCCATTATACATAACAGGTTTGATTCTATTCAGACCTGTAAAGTATGAGGCAGATAATTCAGGTTAACGTTTTGAACTAATGTAAAACTAGATAGCTCAGAGGAAGTTTTATTTCTTTCAAGATAACATCGCCTAACACAAGCGCGCTTGTGAGGTATCAAGTAAAAGATGGCGGGCAGACCCCGGCACTTTTCCAAACCTAGTCTACTTTTCAAGTAAAACAAATGCAATAAATAATAAGGAATAGCTGTGGATCATGTGATCTGATTGTCTGGGTGAGAATACTTCTAAAGCAGAACTGTTATCAGTGACAGTGACTGTTTCAAGCTGGGTTATTAAGTCCAGCAAGTAACGCGTGATTCTCGTGATTACGTAACCAACAACAGTCCTTACAGGACTACTCCTGTCCAGACGAGTTAACCCTTTCACTCCCAAGATCTGATTGTTAATTCTCCCCTCTAGCTGCTACACATTTCCTTGTAAATGAGTTGCGAGAATTCTACCTAATACATTAGAACATTTTCATTACCTGTTTGCTAGATAGTGCAGAGATGGATATTGCGGGGATAAGTTACTTGTTAGCAACTTCTGGGAGTTAAAGGGTTAAACGTCTTTCTTAAGTTTGCACTGGTCCCTAACATACATGCAGCGTCAGCGTGGTTGTCTGTAACAAGCTTATCCTGCTTGATAAAGGATATCATTACATGTGCAGCGCACTTGTCTTAGTTATGACGATGGGTCTCCCCTCCCTCCCTGTCGTTACGTTATTGTTTGGACTTGCGATAATTAATATTCCATCCGGCTGCGGAGCCGGTAATAATGCATCAAAAGAAATAATTTAACCTCATCATGTCGTCAAGTTAAACTGTCTTTCTGACAAAACAAAACAGTACCGACCAAATATTTTCCAGCAGGGTTTGGACTGATGGCCGAAAAAGAAAAATGTCACTTCAGAGAATGGAGTTTATATTTCTGAATAAAAGGCTTTCATATGTGAAGAACAAAAGAGAGAAAAAAAAAAAAAAAACTTAACACGAAAGACTTCCTGGTTTGACCTAATTGCTATCAACATGAAAGAACACTAATTTTATAGTAGCAATCAGAACATATTTTACACTTTGTATCACAAATTAAAACTATTATGAAGATCTTACAATCCTCTAAGAATAATCTACTATTAATTATTGTCGACGAATGCCAGAGTTCCCCTCATTCTATGATAACTTTCTTTCGTCTACGTTTCCGTTACTGATTGACTCAGAATCTCCAGTGAATTCATCCTCTTGTTCTGCGGCCTCTTCACCCAGAGCTTGTGCCCCTTGAAATTCTTGAGGCCTGCCATCAGGTCCCACCTGAGCTGTCCTGATCAAACCCTTCCTATTGAGGTCTTGTATCAGACCAGCCAATTTCTCAGCTTCTTCCTCCTTCTCTTGCTCAGTCATTTCATCCAGCGGATTAGACTTCCCATCATCTTTTGGAATAGCACCTAACAACAAAACAATCTAAATATCACCGAATGCCCAGTGAAAATATCTTACACCAAATGCAATTTGCTGTCCCACGGTTGCCACAGTCATTAGGTTTGGAATTGTCTCACTTTTCCCTACCAAACATGAAATTTCTCCAGCCAATTAAATTAACAATTTAACAAACAAGTCCTAGTTAAGGCCTTCAAACTCCAATCACAGCCAACGTTTCACCCATAACGTTTTGCTTTTAAGCAAGTCACATACAGTGTACATGAACTGAAAGTTCATTTTTGGGATCATGAAGAAAGGATCAATATTCTTGGAAACCCCATATCAGCTTGTACTCAATTTCATTACAAAAAATTCTACCAATCCAACACCTTCACACTGTGAAATGTTCTAAAGAATTGAAAATGATAAAATAGTAATTAGAGTGGCTAAGACATTGCTGACTTGAATTGACAATCTTTGTCTGGCAATCTGGGTATCCCTCTAACAAACAGACCAATTAACTGTTACATTGTAAAAAGATTCTACACACAGTGTGATAACTGAGTAGTACTTTTAAGTCTTTTGCACTTTGGAAGTGAAAAAAACTACTCACTGCTAGACTGTACAAGACTGTACCTCAATGCGTTTCCAACAAAATACCTAAAAAATTATATTCTCTCTTTTTGTCCTTTTGAAGCATCATATAATGCTGATCAACCAGCATCTAAAACAGGCTTTTTTGAAGCATCCCATGTGTCCTTTTCCATAACCTTTTAGGTGTTTCTCTTTCTCTCTCTATTTCATTTTATGATGACACAACTGGACCAAATAATTTATTATTTACTCCTCTTGAAACCTTACCCTTCATAAAGAAACTCACCAATCATAGGATCAATCTGTGCCTTATCCATGGAATATTCTTCAGTCTCAGAATCATCATCATCTGAAGAGTAATCTCCAATACTCTGTGGCTGAACACCACCCATAAGTCCACGTGAAGCCAGCAGCCCTGCTGCATTGCCATAACCAGTGTATTTAATGAGCCGATTAACATTCTCCTTACAGAGAACAAATAGAAAATCTGCCACCAGCTCCTGATGAAAAAAAAATTCCAATTTTAGCACCTAACTATCCTTGGCAAACTTTCTTTACAGGGCTATATTGTTGTATCGAAAAGGGAAACACTTGTGACCTTCCAGTAATTTCTTATTACCTGCTATTTTGCTAATTTTAGAAAATATTAGTGAACTGTGAAAAATTCTAGGACAACTACAGTTTTGGCAAAAACTTTGTTGATAAAAAAAAACTTAGTGGTGCAACACCTCAGAAAATTATGGTTTAGAAGTTTAGACTTTTCCACTGCACTGATTCTTGAAATGGTGTTCTGCATATCATCATACTTAAATAAAGACAATGTTCATTTGACTCAAGGTGTGCGTATTTGTCCTTCTGTCTCCCGAACTCTGTGTGAAACATTGCAACAGTCAATACAAATGGCATTAATCTCCACAAACCCACCTTAATATCTCCAACTGGCGATGTCATAAGCCTGACCAGGCCATTCCTTATTAAGTTTCCTTCTTCTGGGCGAGTGGTACCCACCCTTCCCAAGGGTGGCAGCACTTCTTGTCGTAGATACTTCCTTATCACTCTGTTTCCACGTGCCATTTGACAAAAGGCACTAAGAATTGGGACGATTTCTTCCTGTGGTGGCTGACTGGCAACTTTAAGACGACCATCCAGGATTGTCAACATAGTCTGAACTGTCAGCATATTGTATTTCTAAGAGACAAAAAAACAGGCATGTATGTTTTGTTTGTAAAGTAGCAATAAGGTAATAACAAACTTTGTGGAGAATCATCACAATCCCCTCTAACATTCAAATAGATTCTGCTTTGGCAGCAGTTGTTGTAGAATTTGCTTTTAAAGTAAATTATTATTGTTAAATTAAAATATATTAATTAAAATGTTCTTGCCAAAAGGGTTTCAGTGTCTTCATTCAATAACTTACAAGTATGCATAATACATTAAAAATTGCAGTTCTAGGCAAACATAACTGTTTTTCTTATATTATTTGTTAGTAATTTAACAAGAGAGTGAAGGATTCAGAATCAGACAGACCAGAAAGGTTTAGTGTCTTATCATTGACTGTGTTGGCCCTGCTCTGTGGAACTTGATTTAATCTAGCACATCACCTTCAAGAAACTGCCATAACGAATGGCACATTTACCTTATTAATACTCAAGTTCATAATAAAGAGTGAAACAAACCCTCAAAATAGCAAACAAATTTTCAACTTTCATTTATCACTCTTATAACTGTATCTGTTGGAGATTCCACAAAATACAGAATGTTTAACAGTGAATTGCACTTTCACTTTGGTATTCATGAAGATTAGAATAACTACAAGTTATGTAAAACCATCAAAAATAAAAGCCCTATGCATAACTGTTTTGTTCCTAAAACCTTACATTTTACTCTACCTTACACATGAACTAAACTTATCTATTGAGGCAATTTTTTAATTCTAGAAGTCAATCATGACTTTTATATGTAAAAGTAGTAGTACTACCTCTTTCTAATTCTTGTAACATATTTTGTAGAGGTAACTGGTTAGAAAGCCCAACAGGTTTCTTTTTGGTAGGTTATTGTGACATTTATCTTTTTGGACCCAATTGGACAAAATTTCAGTGGGATTCCACTGATGTCATATCAATTGACCAATAGAAACTATCCGTTGTTTTATTCATTCCCTACACATGGACATGAAGGCAAAATATTGTGCACAGTCTGAGAGTTACCAACCAATCATTGCACCACCACTAATATCATTTTTGATGTCTGCAAGATTTTCCAACCAGTTTCCTCAGTCTATTGATTAATATGCTCAAACCTCAAAATATATCCTAAACGTCTTCGATGACCATCTTGTCTCAAAATCTTGAGCAAGTGCTTTACAAACACTGGATGGCATTGTCCACATTAAGTGTTGGAGACAATTAGTTGGCATGTTGGATAGGATGTTAATTGCATGATTTGGTAGGTTCTCTGGCTGTTCAGACAATGGATTGATGTGTGCAAACATGGTTCGTACAATAAACACTATCCTTTCGCAGTGTTCAAGTGTGTCAGTGCTATCAGCATCAGGTAGATTTATTGTGATGTTAAACATTGTTTTCAGGATTTCAGCAGACATACGAATCTCATCCTGTGACATGGTGTAAGTTACTGGACTTTCCTCAATCCTGGACCTGTAAGAGGGTTACAAATAATAATCATATAATTTTACATACCACAAAATACATTTGTTAATTTAAGACAAGATTTGCAAGGAAATTTACACTCTTTATATCTGGTTATGACAGAAATAATTATTTTCACTCTCCTCAAGATGACTTCATGATAAATATAGTGGCTCAATGGAAAAAAAACTAGGAGGCGAGGCAAGGATCACTTTCATCCACGTAATATAACTTTTCTTGGGTAATTTGGTGTAAATATAAAGCACCAGCAAATTTTTCAATGACTACAAATGGCACTTTCCCTTGTCTTTGAAAAATTCACTTGTGCTTGTTTACACCAAATTGCACTTGAAATTATTTTATTACCAATTTTAAAACTGACAGCAAAGATTTCGAGTTCTCTGTATTTCTTGCTCATGAGGATATGAAAATCTGATTGCTACATCATATGGGTTTAACCAGAGAATTGAATCACAAAATTGTCCCCAGCAATTAGTCTTGAAAAGTTAAGTGAAGAAGATTTTTAAAAGTATATACACTGACAGTAACCTCAATGTGGCAAAGAACAGGGTTCACAGTCCATTAACGAGGAATCACCTTACATTTCATTCTACGTTGTACTGTACTAGAGTTAAGTCTAACAAGAGTTAGTGAAGGAAATTGATCTAATTAAGCAGTGTTTTAAGTTCACTATCCTTAAGTAAAGTTCAGCATATCATTGAAAAAATTGGTGCACTGACAATCCACAGATTGGATAAGTTTTAGTTTGCTTGAATTGCACCTACATGTTGATGACACATCAACAGGCCCTGGCAATATAACCCATCAATTACCTACAACATATACATAATAGAATAAAAGTAAACTTAATATTTCTATAAATCTATACCGTGGTTTGAAATGACTTCAGATTAAAACAACCCAAACTGGTTGGATTTGAATTGTCCTTTCCACAGGAGTATGGTAATTTATCATGAATTAAGGAATACACACATAAAACTATTTGAAAATAAGTTGACCTGGAATTCATCTTAAATTGCAACAACTGCTCATTTGTACAATCTGAAGTAAATTAAAGTTTAGCTTTCGCTAAAAGCATCGATATTTACCTTTCCACAACAGTCAGCGCCTGGAGCCTTGCTCCCGTCAACTGTCCACAACCTTCTCTAACTTTGGTTTCATGACAGACTTTTCTCTGATCTTTCCCTGGAATACAGCTATCCAAAGCATGAGTCAAGACACAAAAGCCATTGTTAGAAATAACGTCCACTCGAGCAGCGTTTTCAAGAGCAGTAAGAAGGAAAAGAAATCTGAGATCAAAGTATTTCACATCGGTAGCCAAGCGGCTGATCTCAAACCATATTTTTATCCTTGCAATGATTGCTTCGATGCATTTGTATTTCAAACAGAGTCGACGAGCTGCTTGGCTGTGATATACTACATTACATAAACATTTGAGCGCTTCAATAACTACATCGCTGTATGCGATAACTCTCTCACAAGTGTTCTCTCTATTTTCCTGCTGGTCTTCATATCTTGTTCGCTGTTCTGGTTCTTTTTTAGGAAGACTTTGCGCGGCTTTGGACACTTCTATCATAAGTTCTGCCAGTGAAAGTAGAACTAATGACGACTTATCAGAAGTAAGCGATCCCAGACCGTCTTTATCACGGCTTAGAATCCTCAAAGCACGGAGACCGTGTATTTTGAAGGTAACCCCACGGTCTTTCGTGGACAAATCATCGAGGATCGCATCAATCAATTTCTTTCTAAGACTTAAGTCCACATGGAAGAAGCTGAAAGTCTTTTCGTTTGTAGAACAAAATTGTTGAAGTGTTTTCACAGCAGCTGCTTCGTTTTGGGAACCTATACTTTCAAGAATAGCAGTGAAATTCTCCATGACTTGTACAGCCTACTTTTCAAATACAAGGCTTGGACACTTAGCATCAAATGTTAATAGCCAGGTTCCTAAGATCGCCTGCATTATCTTTTTTTCCTCTGGCTCTGGCTAACAACTGACTACTCTGAATACCCTTTACATCCTTTTCCCTCCAGTATCCTTCATTTCAGTGAAACGATAGAATGTCCGACACCTGGACCGAGATCCAAGAACACAAGCGCCGTCAGGAAAGATTTCGTGATCGTCTTCAACGGCGAATGAGGGATCGCCAAGGAAGAGGTGTAGAAGACAATGATTCATCAGGTGATGTAAGGACTTGAGACGTCAGTTCTTGATTTACACTCGAACCTCAGAGAGAAACTGAGAAAGGTTCAAGTTAGGAGAGTGTTTATTTATCGAGAGCGGAGAGCTGCGGAAATTAGAGGGGTTGGGGGGGGGAGGGATTGGTCTACTATTATTATATTTATCCAGCATGCACTATAATCAGATTTAATCACCGGAAACAAACAGGAAGAAACGTTGAAAGAACGAGGATATTAAAAGCAGAGCTTTATAGAGATGCAGGTGTACTTTACTGAAATGAATACTTTGTGAAAACTTGATCCCCAATTAATTTGCACCCCCTCCTCCTCAGGAGTTTTGTCTCTGATCCAGTTAAACATGTACTCTTATTGTCAAGAAGACTCCTTGATTGCTTGTTCATTTATGTTTCATGGCCTAGTGTATATTTGGACACAAGAGAAAACTACTTAGCAGGATTCTACGTTTTGTTTAGATTAGAATTACTGAGACCCTTTGTTGATTTGTTAAAAGATTTTATCAAGGGTACTTGTAAGTTTGCTTTCTTGACTCAGATATATGACCTGTCAATTCCTTCCAGGGTTTAGAAAATGAACCAATGACACAAGTGTGAAATTTAGTATGCTTGTGCAACAATTTTTCTTGTAATTACAAAAATTATTACTTGAAAAGTTTAGATCCTGAATTTCTGCAATACTAAGTACCTATATATGCAAACATTGCTGGTTAGAACAGAAAGATTTGAAAAAGGGCTGTTTCAGTAAACTTAAATTAAAAATTAACATTTTCACCTTACTAACTGCTTACTATTTGTTTATTAGGTACTGATGCACCTCAACCAGATAGAACAGAGTCCATCCCAACAGATCAGTCTTCTAGTGCAAATAAACAGGCTGATAAAGTTTTAAAAGTGGATCCTTTGCTGGAAAACAATCTTCTCGAGTGTCTGTGTGATCCTTCCTTAACTTTCCCAATAGATTCTGTTCAACTGACAAATTCTCTTTCCACGGAGGTAAGCATTTCACTAGTCTTGTCCACAACTGAAGTGTTTCTAAAATTTGGTCAAGCACCATTATATTATGTTTACCAAAGTTTGCTTAAATAGTTCTTAAAGTGGTCACATGATTGTTTAAGTGTACATGTACAAATGTTTGTTTTGCCTTCTTGTCAATCCCTCTGCTGTAAACCTATCTTAAATCTTCGATCAACTGACCTCTGGCTGCTCTTTATAATTCAACTATGTCCTCGGTTAACTTTTCTTCTTCCCTCAAGTGGGTAAATTTTCTAATCTTTTAATGAAAAAATGAACTAAGGTAAAATTGAAATCTGGTCAGACAAGCAAGGCAATTTTCCAGAAGTAATTACCTTTTTTCAATTAATTTTTTTAATAATTAGCTAAAAAAGGGTCAAATTGGGATGTAGATCCATTAAGATTGTTAAATTATTTGCAGTGTTGGACTGGAATCTTTTGAAAAATCAGCAAATCCTGTTTGATTATTTATTTTTTATCATTTGCTGTGTTGATATATTCATTTCCTCTGTTATGTATATATTTTAATTAGTAATTTTCCACTACTACCTGAAACCATGAGAACATCAGCACACTTTAACAACTCAGGTGTAAAATAGAAATCCTTGCAAAGCATTGTCTGATCTCAATTTACCATTAACCCTTTTAGTCCCACTAGTGACCTAGACAGAATTTCTCCTTACATTATCAGTATGATATCAAGCAGATGAGTGATGAGAGTAACGAAAAATATCAATTAGGGGATTATTGGTTGATCCAATTCCATATTCTCCAAACTATCATCACATAAATTGTATAGCATACAGTAAGGAGAATTACTCGTGAAATCTTGGGAGTTAAAGGGTTAATGTCACACCACTGAAAAGAAAACCAATTAATATACAGATTTTTGTTTGTGGCATTTCACTTTCTTTCTGTTCCATTTTCTTATAGTTATAGGCTTTAATCAGAATTCTGTTTGGTCATTTGCATAGATTAAAAAAACAATTGGTCTTTTGCTATAGAATCAAAAAACAAAACTCACTGATACATGTATGCTCGTAATAATTAAAAAGAGTATTTTTCTTTCCTTTTGTACCCAATAAAGGTCCCTGTATTGAAATTTCTGTCAGACTATTAAGACATGCTTCTTTCATTCATCAGACGTTATTAATGGGTTGACCTTTTCTTAGTTTCATACTGTAAATCAAGTTTGTCACCAATGCCAGCTGATGCTGTTGATTGTCTAGTAAATGATAAAGCAATGGAAACTATCTTCCTGTGAAGATATACCGTATGTGTAAATGTACATTATATTTAATGTAAATGTGCCAAGACAACAAAGCATTGAATTTGTTGATCATTTTCTTAGGCACTGAAAATATGTTTTTGTTTTCCTTTGATTTGGTGGCAAAGCAGGATGAGAACAGTATTTCCCACACAGCAGTAGAGAGCCTGCTTCACAAGTTTGCTGTTCAGGACTTTATAAGGTTAAAGCTGTTACCTCAGTTCCTTCATAAAAGACATTGTTATATTGTTATTGTTATTGTTATTGTTGATACCTCAGCCAATCATAGTCTCAAAATTACATGTTAATGAGACCATATACAACTCTTACAAATCATTTGGCAAGTGCATAATCTCATATATATTTTAATCCTTACACACCACATGAACCAGATCAGTGATTGGGAATAGGAATGATCTTCCTGAAATATTTAAAAGTCAATATTGTTTAAAAGTACTCATTATGACAATGATGTCAGCCATGGATTGTGATCGACATCATGGTTACTATTCATTTAATTCTGACATTTTAAGATAAAGCTGAGCTGTGTGTTTTTGTTTTTTTTTCTTCAGCATTAAACATGGGACTTCACCTGATGGAAACACTTGTACAATAGTTACAACTACAAACCATCTGAAGGTATTTTGGAATGAGGCTGTGCCAGTTATATTTGATAAATTGCACCACTAAGGGAAAACAACTCCTTTGAGGTTTAGGACAATTTTCTCTGTCATTGCCAGTTAAAAGTTTATGTCCATTTAAAAGGAAAACTGCCTTTTCCTACAAAGAGCTCTCAGCTGCACTGTGTTGCAGATTAACATAACTGCTATTCTCACCTTCCTCCTTCTCCTTTGTCTCTTTCACTCTTTAGCCCTCATTTAAACCCCTAAGAGTGACCAGCATACAATTTCTCCCTAGAAAATAACCCCATATTTAAACATTAAGATCACAAGAATTAAAGAAATGATCACCAACTGAAGAAGCGCTTGATTGTTGCACAAATTCTCCTTGTCAGCACCTAAGGAAATGTATAGAGAACAGTATAGAGAATGTGAATACTGATGTTAGGATGTACAGGGTTAACATTCCATCACAGGTTTTCCATTCTGTTTGATTTGGTTGACTTCTTACTATGATTGTAACAAGATCACATTTTACTTGGCTTCACCTGAGTGATGTATGGGTATCTGTATAATGTAATCTGCCTTTCTTTAATTCCTTTTTTCTCTTGTTTGTTTAACATCTTGGTTTGGGAAATTCTTTTGTTTTCTTACCAGATAGATGCTGTTCGTAGAAATTTTCCCACCAAAGGTACTGTTTTTTTTAATGAATAAGTTTTTTTTTCTCTTTATTACATCCATTTTGAAATCACTTGTGATCCTTGCAATCTGATTGGCACTCAACAATGGGATTTATTCACAAATTGCACCATTTCATGTTCTAAATTGCTTTTTTTTTCTCAGCCAATGAGACAGTTTTATTAAAGCACAACAATGAATCAAATTTCAAAGCTTGTTTAAAGAAATCAATCAAATTGTGGGAAGATGAAAGACAACTTTAATTTGCAACTTTTTACAAACTAGTTCAATATACTGGATCAATAAAATGTTTTTACAGTTTAAAAAATATTGTATTAGGCAACTGAATTTTGCAACTTCAAATAAATGTAATTTAGTGGTAATTGCACTTTGTGTTGTGCAATTTTGGTTTGAAATCATACTTGTGATTTCAGATCAAACTCATGCTGCTTGTTCATTTGATGTTGAAATCATGCATATGATTTCAGACCAAATTGCACTCCACTCAGTTTAATTATTATTGTTTATCAGTCTATATATTTCTCTCGCTACAAATGACATGTGAATCATTTTGTTATTTCTGTTGGTATCTTTAACAATTTAGTGAAAGAGGTGTAATAATGACCTTTTTGTCCATACCAGCTAACTCTGTGTGCTGAGAGCTGATTGGTGATGAAGTGTACTTCCAAAAACTTATTACACTACACAAAATTATTTTCCTTATGGTTGATTAATGCATTTTATATTGATTCATGAGCTGGTTAGTTTACATCATAAAGGAAGCTGATTTTCTGATTTTCCATTTCTTTGTAGAAGATAAATCAAATTCAAAGAAGAGGAAAAGAGAAAAGTAAGTTAAAAATATACCTGCTCAAACTTTAAATTATATTGTTTGTATCAACTTGTTAATTTTAACATACAAGTACCATTGTCTGTCTGAATTATGATTTATTTCATGTATGTGTGACTCTCTGTTTGTTACAGGCAATGATTTCATGATGCTGGCCTTTTTTTTTTAATCTCATCACTTATGACTTTGAATATTTTATTTGATTTTTGACATTATTATGATTACTTTGTCACAGGCCCTTTCATCCCAGATTTACTTACAGCTGATTTATGGAAAACCAAGCAGGAAAAAATACTCAACCCCTCTGACTGTTTTTTTTTTCTCTTCTTAGTGATTCCAGCAATCCAGTGTCATCACCAATCATTGCACAAACAAAACCAAGAATTGAATCAGCTGATGACCTTGAGGTAAGACTAGTGTTTTAGCTTAAATAAGGCAGTAAAATTGACTTTTGATAATGAACTGTCCCTTGAATCAGTCTCTGTAAGTATACTGTATCATCTATGGTTTTGGGAGTCTAGAGTGTCAATTATTCCTAGTTTCAATTCTTTTATGCTGCCTCATTTTGTATTGAATCACAACACCAAATAAAAATTTTGGTATGCAATAAGGAAACAAGATTTAATTTGCAAGAGATTTCCCAGACATGTGGTAAATTTTGGAGTGAAACTGCCACCATTGGCCATTCAGAAAAGTAGATTAATTTTTAAACTTTGATTTATGCTAATAGATTCAGATTTCAAATTATTGAATCATGAATTGAGTCTACGAGTATAAGCTTCTCATATTTTACTCTAGCTTACATATGAATACTCGAGTCTTAGAAATGCAAGCCGTTCCTTTTATTTTGTATTATTTGTTTGTTAACCCTTAAACTCCCATATCAAATTTGTAATTCTCCCTACTATCAACCATACAATTCTTATAATGTTAGTTCTGAGGATTTAGTATTGGGTCAACTAATTATCCCCAAATTGATATTTTTCTTTATTCTCGTCACTTATCTGGTTGATATTATGTTAATATTGTAAGGAGAAATTCTGTCTTGGTCACTCATAGGAGTTAAAGGGTTAAATCTGCAGTCAACCATTCAACCAACTTACCTCACTTGAGTTTTATCACATCAGTAACAGACAATAACATTACTGCAAAACTGGCCAATCAGTTTATATGAATCAGACTTAAAACATTTGACTGACAACAACTGTTCACTTGACAATGATGACGACCTCTGCTCAGGTTGTTGAAACATCAGTTACTGCTATGAGCAACAGTCCTTTTTTGGACTACACCCATCCAGACAATTAGACTACACTATTACAAAGAGGTTTCATTTACTTGCATGCAGACAAAAAGTGTTTTTGACATCAACTTGTGTCAGCATCACATTTTTGTGGACCTGTGTTGCAGTCTTATAAACTCATTTGAAAAGTGATAAATTTTTGGATTAATCAATAATTGGTTTGAACTGCTCATAGAGGTATACCAACTTGCATAGAAAAAAGTCGCTCATTTATTCCACAACAAGTCCCAAAGGAAGCTAGCGCTTCGGTGGAGATGACCTCTCTTTCCATATAAACATTCCTGATACTGACCCCTATTATTTTCATCTTTGTGGATATCACTTTGTTCCCCTTGAATTGTTGTTTTGTGTAATAGGGTTACTTTGTTTTTCGGTGGTCAATTTTCTTGTAACAATTTGATATTTCTCCTTTTTTCCATTTTCAGAGTCTCCTATCAATGCCAACCATGAAAGAGATGGAAGTAAGAAATTATGATATGCCTCTTTGTCTCACTCAATCAAAGTAATTTTTGTTGACTGTTAAATAACATAACAATTTGTGGTGTGTGTGTTTTTTTTTGTTTGTTTTTACTGCATTGAGACCAACCTTCTGGAGATCAAACTTGGATAATTTACAAGCAGGTTCCAGCACCAGGAAAGAAAAAATCATTCATAACAATTAACCTAGAAATACTTGTAGCTTTTTTTATGTCTTTGTATTTTTAACTGAAGTTATCTTGCAAACACAATTGAAAGATTGAAAATATGTGGGCAATGTTTGATATTTCCTACTTTTTTCATATACCTTTGAATTTGGTCTTTCTGTGTAGAGTAAAAAAGTTGGAGAAGAAATTTTGGATCTTCTGAATGTACCTTCACATAAGGTAAGGGAATAGAGGCAGACTGTCATCTGCTTTAAAAAAAAAACTTTGAAAACGATGTAGGTAAGAGTCATGTCTTGCTCTTCTTAAACAATATTAAAACACACCTTTCATTGTGCCTGATTAATATTGAGCATCCATCATTTGTATACCAGTCAAGTAGCACCTTTAAAATTGGCTCACCATGGAACATCCTAAAAGCTACTTGTGTTTTATTGTTATGCACACAAATCTTTAGAAAAGTCAGTCAACTAGTAAAATCAAAGTGTCAAGTCAGATATTCTGTAGTTTACCACAAGAAAGTGAGGATACTGTGAGCAACAGAATTAATGAATATATGTGAAGACTTAATTGTGAATGGTTGTGAGCTACAGTGTATACCAGTCGTGACCTTGGCAACATTGTCTTTTAAATTTTTACAAAATGTTTATAGCTTAAACTTCATAACACAAAATGCAAAAATGCACAACTAGTGAAACTTTTGTTAACAGATATGTTACCCAAAAAAATCTGAACAAAGTATAGAAAACATCAAATTGTCTTTCAATGAAAGTTGATAAAAATTAAGTTGTTGAAGGGTTCCAAAAACAAAATCTGTAGTAAATTGAGGCCTTTATTTAAGAGCTCAGTACATTTATTTTGCTCAAATCATTGAGTATGCAATGAGTGGTAAAGTGTTGGTATGCTCTAATAATTTTGAATTTTTTCCTATTTAAATTATGTTCATTTATCTCCCCCTCCCCCATTTCAATGTTACATGGTGGTACAAAATGGTCACATATATCTGACAAAATTGTTAGGGAGAAGGAGGGACTGGAGAGTAACTTGTTAGAGATGAATTACAAGATTTTTCTTCATTATGTTGAGTGTAGGATTGTTGATCACTAGGTAAGTAAGGCGTACTATCTTCTTTTGCCACTCATTGTAGGTTTTGAGCACTGAAAATCCTTTTTTCCTTTTCCATTGGCAACTTTCTGAAAGAGATGAAAGCAATAATTACCTAGATCGCTTTAATCTAGTTGTGAGTAAAGGTTGTAAATTCTTAAATATTGCAGGAACAATCTACAGTTGAAAAGTTCAAGTCTCAAGGGGGAGCATTTGTGCATGAGTTCTGCGATCATGGAACAAGAGAAGACTGCAGGAAGAACAACCCCAGAGGTCAACCTTGTAGGAAGGTGAGTTTTTAATGTTGTGTGCCATTTTTTTTCTTATTTCTTGCCTTTTTACCAACGTGCCAATATCTCTCATTACTAGGTTCATTTTCGAAAAATTATTCAGAAGCATACAGATGGTAAGTCCACTTGTTATCAAGACTAAACTTTTTTTGAAAAATTATTTTGTGTGTAAGTTACATTGTCAGAAGAGAAAGAGTTTGAATATAACTTTTGTTTACTTAGAATCCCTTGGAGATTGTTCATTTCTCAACACATGTTTTCATATGGATACTTGCAAGGTGAGTCTTTCCTGGATAACTGGCAATACTTTGAGTTGTTAATTTGAAAAAAAGTCAAGCTTGAGGGTAGTAAATTTGAATATAAATTGCTTTAAGGGTCAATGCCTTTAACCTGGGAGTACCATTTAATCATGTAGTCTCTTCATCTGGGCAAGTGTTCTCTTGAAAAGGGCTTGTCAGTAGTAGTGACTGACATGTCAACAAACTGAGTGGAAGTTATCATCACAGGCAAATAAGGAGTTGTCTTTTGGCTTCAGTGGTATGAGTGTGGTTCATGAGATCACTTTGGTCAGTGACCCAAAACTGAATGAGCTTTAATATCCAGCACCACATGCACACAAGGGATATAACTAATTGCACTTCATCCATTTGACAAGGCTTTCTGACGATATTTTAACACCCTTTGAAATTTTGATTGGGAGAGATGAAGGCACAGTAAAAGAAGTGTGTCTTTTTCCGAAGAACACATTGCCTGTGATCTTGCAGGCCTGTAGGGTTTAATTTGAGCCTCATGCACTGAGTCTATGTTCTTTTTCCTTTTCTCTTTGGATGGGATTGAAGCCCCTTTCATGCTTTTCTATTTCAACTTGTTGTTTTTTTTTTTTTTTTTTTTTTTTAAGAAAACTTTTTTGTCTTTGTTAGTATGTTCATTACAAGGTTGATTACAGTGATGTTGAGTTGAATAAGGAAGAGAAAGAAAAAGACAAGAGAAAAGAAGAAAAGGTATGCTTGGTTTACCACTTTGTTCATTGGCTTTCACATCACTGAACAATCTTGGTTACAAATAACACTAAACCATAGAATTTCGAGGAAAGAAATGTGGAAGAAATCAGTGAAGGAAAAGTTCTACCAAACATTTACATTGAGAGCAAGATGAATTGTGGGTCCTACTTTTAACAAATAAATGATACAGAGGTAAATGATATCTTCCAACCTGCAAATGATAAACAGGAAGTAATCCTCTCAAGTGAGCATTGATTAAAATTAAAGAAATTTCAGAAAAGAATCCTGAAGAAATTTAGGCTTTGATGGGATTGGAACCCATGCCTCTCAGATAGTTTGTTGTTGAGTTACAAAGCCACCCGTTAGGGGGTGGGGGGGGAGGCTTTAGTAGGTTCTTCTTTCCTGCAATGGAATCTGATTACAATTTTCTTTGAAGAGTGAAAATGTGAACAATGGAGATATATGTAATTATTATTAATTAAACAATTAACTATTGAATAGAATAAGTGACAAAATGACTTTTTTTTTAATGCCTTTTTTTCCTTCCTTTGTAACCAATAATTCGTTTATTCGGTTTTTTTTTTTCATTGGAGGCATCTTTAACAAAAACCGCAGAGGAAGAAAACCGAGTGATACTCTATCCACCTCAGGTAAGAGGGATGTCTTTTGTTGTGTCACCTGCATTGTGAGATATAATGAATTCTTCAGAACATCATTTATTTGAATGATCTGTCAGAGTGAATTGCTGAAATGAAAATAGGGTCGGTAACCAGGTGTAGACGCATTTTGCTGAGTAGTTTGTCACAGGTTCATCTTGTCAAAACATCTGGTCTCGTACGCTGTAAATCAAGTAATTAACTGAGCGGAATTTGGCTCTAAAACTGCAAAGTTTTCCTACGACATAAACAATCCCGTTGATTTGCATGCTTAGTAAAGGTGTCCACTGAATGCAGGTTATAGTCACATGTAATTTGGAAAGACAAAACTGAGACATTAATTAGTGTTGGCCCGTTTATGACAGGTTTTGTGGATGACGAAGCCTGGGTTTGAATAAATGGCTTCCGTAGCCTCTATACCTTCTTTCACGAGCTATATTACGTTTAAGCTTGGGCCTTGTCCAGGCGGAGCTTGGTTTTATGATAAATTAATCAAATGAGTTGAATCATTCTTTGGAATACGAGGATGTTTACGTAATTGCAAATTCCTTGCACTAATTTTCCAAGACTAGTGGTGTGTTTTCTTTATTTTAGTGGATTCAGTGTGACATGAGGTATTTTGATATGACGGTGCTGGGCAAATTCTCTGTGGTCATGGCCGATCCTCCTTGGGATATACACATGGAGGTACATGCCGTATTTCATTTGTCCTTTTTTTCTGGTTATCCACTCGTTTGAAATCACTGTGACCTCTGTAACTTTAAAGAAAGAGTATAAATATCTAGTTACAGTGATTTGGACTTGGACATAAAAACATAAAACGACATTTTTCATCTCATACGCATTCACATGTATGTTCCAAGACACACACGCATATGTCCTGCTTTCCATGCAGACCGTTGAGTAGTAAAGCATTTTCTGGGTGAATTTAAAAGGCAAAAGATTTGCTAGGAGGCAATTCAGCCCGCTATGATCGCAAACGTTGGGTTACCACCAACAAAATCGGACATTCCATTCCTTGGATTTTCGTTTTCTGAATTGATGATCGTGTTTCTTGTTTTAAATGAGTGAGACTTTTTAAGGCTCGGATGGGTAACAGTTTTTTTTGTTTTTCTAGTTACCGTATGGTACTATGTCAGACGAGGAAATGCGCAAGCTAGACGTTCCCTCCCTTCAAGACGAAGGATACATATTCCTTTGGGTGACTGGTCGGTCAGTACAGAGTTTTTACTGCTTCGTTACTTTATAAAAAAAAAAAGTTAGACAAATTTTCCCTGAACTTTATCATAACTAATTTCTATTGCGGAAGTCTTGTGAATAGGGGTTCGTTTTTGCTTAGATTCGTCAAAATTTTTGAGCAAAATTACTCCATGGATTAAAGGCAGCTGTAAACAGTCAAATGTTTCTTGTTTTGTCGGCGAAAGTAAAGTTCCGCTCATTTCCAAGTGTATCGGAGTGCGGTTTATAACACTGTGACTCAAACAAGTACTTTATGTTGTTGTATTGTAGTGCGATGGAACTTGGTCGAGAATGTTTAAAGCTTTGGGGGTAAGTATTTCAGTGAATGAGCTCATTTTTACGTCCACTACACGATGGTGGCCAATTACGGTTTTTGAGCCATTTTTTTGCTCCGGCTAATTTGCTTAGTTTGAGAATCAACTCGACACTCAGTGTTATTAGTGAGTTTTTGCAATGAGAATGAAGCACCGCTCTTTTATACATGGCTTAAAAACAGTGTTCAGTAAGCAGCAGAGGTTAAGCTGTAGCAAAACCTAGTTTTGGTTTGTGCAATTTATTTTATCAATAAAGTTTACTTCTGTAACATAGTGTTACTTGTAACGAAGAATGTTGGGAATATAGTTTAAAATACGGCTCCCTCAGGGTGTTTTCAGCCATCCTGAAACATTATCAGTTTATTACAAAATTTTTATGCGTTTTCTTCCACATACTACCTGGTAAAAGTTGTTTTTGTAGCTTTGGTTTTTGGAGACCTACTTTGGTTGTATTGCTAAAAATCCTCACAGAGAAGTTACTGAAGTTGTTTTATTTTATTCAATAGTTATGCGGGCTGCGACGAGTTAATCTGGGTGAAAACAAACCAGCTACAGCGCCTGATTAGAACGGGAAGAACTGGGCACTGGCTTAATCACGGGAAAGAGCACTGTTTGGTAACTTTTAAATCTTTGTATTTACATTCAATTGATCTTTATCTTTGTCATAACCAAATGCATTGTCGTTCTTCAGGTTGGCGTGAAGGGAGAGTGTAAAAACTTTAACAGAGGTTTGGACTGTGATGTGCTTGTTGCTGAGGTTTGTTCACTAATTGACTCTTCCAAGCAAGGCTGACTTTATCTCCTTGCGTCTCTTTACCTTCTGAAAAATATAAAACCTTTGCAATTCTATTTACTTTTGGTAACAAAAAAAAACCTTAGCGATGGTTGAAACAACCAGACAGACAAACAAACCAGGAGACAGAAAAATATGAACAAAATAGACAAGTATAGCCGTGCGCTATGAATCAACAATCAATTTTAATTTATAGTTAAAATTCATTGTCTCCTTCACTTAAATTGTGCAATTTTTTGATGAATTATTCGATTTTCGTTCTGTAGACAGTTGTCATCATTTTTACATTGCTTACAGGGCAGTTGGATGTATTTTGCAGGTGAGACAGACAAGTCACAAACCAGATGAAATCTACGGAGTGATTGAACGGTTAGCACCCGGAACGCGGAAGATAGGTAGGTATTTTTTGCCTTCTCATCATCAATGTTTTATTTTAACATCAAGAAGAATCAAGATTTCCCTCGCATCTCGCGCATGAAATACCTTCGCTGCGTGTAATGAACACACTGTTCTACGTATACCAAATAAGAAGATAAAAATGATATCAAGGTAACCGGGTATATGCAAATGATATTTGTGCATTTTAGGGCCTGTCTACATGGATGTGGAAGCCCCCAGGTCGGTGAGGTAACCTGCCTAACTGTGGTCGAAAAATAGCCCGCGTTTACATACAATCTTACAACCCCGGAATCCCGGGGTGAAGTTTCTCGAGGTTGTTATCGCACTTGTAGTTAAGGAGTTTAAGATGTCACTACGGCGACGTGTGGTAAAACGTTGCCGAAAAAAAACTAATTTATTTTCCTCTAAGTTTTCCGCCAATAGTTAGATGCGTTAACCGTTTCTAACGGTACAACGTCTTCACCTCGGCATAACATGTGAATGTACTGTTGAGTTAAAAGTAAAAGTATGACTAAATTGCTGTCGGGGTTTTATTACTAAGAGGAAGTAAAAAAAATGGTGTTTTAACGTTTCAGCTCTCTATGGGATGGCTAGGAAATGAACAAAGTTTAACACACTCGTGTTCCGCTATTTTTTTGCTCATTTGATATTTCTGTAACATAAATGCGACCCCGGCTAGGTGGGTCACCCCACCTATCATGGAAACGTGATCAAGATAAAAGAGGAGATTATATGAGCTTGCGGGTTACCCCACCTAAGCGGGTTACCTCACCTACCTAAGGTCCACTACCATGTAAACAAGCCCTTAATAACGGCTCTCCATCTTTTCTCGCATTACTGAAGTTAAATTCCATTCTTTTATGGCATGTAAACAAACGTTAGAAGATAACTTTGTTTATTTTTGCGTGGAAAGTTTAAACAGAATTTCCACGAGCCTGCGTCCCGGGAATCACTCGGGGATCTCTCACTCGAAGATAAATTCGTATGCTCACACGGCCCTTTCTCAATTTTTTTCCTTGTAGAACTCTTTGGAAGGCAGCACAACGTTCAACCAAACTGGTGAGAAATGGTAGAAATTGTTATAAAGATGAACGTTGGTGTCCTTTGCCGTTGAAGGCTAAAAACTCCAAGTGTTTGTTGTTTGATTGACTTTATTGGTTAATCAGTCTTAGTATATATCACACGAGTGAAGTGGCTAGTTCGGAAGTGAAGAGCAACTAGTACTCACCTCCGAGCAGCCGGTGAGAAAAAATCGCGCGTCAAGAGTTTTATTTCCAACCATTTTTTGGTAACTGTGTGGTATGTGCTAAAAACAGCTATTCACTTCAGTGTTGGTGTATAATTTTTAAGTGTTGCCATTACTGTAATTGGTCGAGATTTTAGTATTTGTGAAAAAAGGTTTTGCTTTTGATGTGTAAGTAATACGTTCCCTCTCCACAGGATAACCTTGGGTAATCAACTGGACGGTGTTAGACTTTTAGATCCTGAAGTCACAGCACGCTTCAAAAAACGCTATCCTGACGGAAACGTACTCAAACCTCCCACCACTAAAGCCTGATTCCTCTCGAGTTGCTTGACCGTAGACGCCTGTTCCAATCAAAATCTGCGCAGCAACTTCGTGAAGTAAAACATGGTACTCCTCAGTAGCTGCAGAGAAGTTTCAGTCGGATGAGCCGCTTTCCTATTGTGATAAAGATAAGACGCCCGAGAAAGTTACAATTGAATCAGTTGGGCCGACAGGATCGGGTGACACCTGTCCTGTTTTCTATTTGTCCACTTGGAACTAGACAGAGTGTAATCTGTGAAACAGTTTTCTCTGTCTCTTTTAAACCATGCAGAAGAAGCGTGAACTTAGTTGGAGTCACGTGAAACATTGAATCTCTTTTCTCCCTTGATGTTTACCTTAGCGTGACCCCAAAGTGGCTTCCGCTTTTTCTGCTTAGCCGAGGGGGAAAGAAGTCTGTTACGGAAGGCAAACAGCGTGAGTGGATTAGACTGCTCATGCACCAGCATTATTTGATTCGTTTGTTGTTATTCTGTAATCCGTAAACAAATAGTTTATTTTTGTTTAGATTAATGTGCGTTTTACTCAGATGACCTTGAAAATAAAACGGGGCTTAAAGCAAAGAAATGCCTTTAAGTTTTGCTAGTATACGTCAGCAGAGATATTACAACATTTCAGCCTTGCTCGTAAAAACTGTTTGCCTACTGTTAACCTACATTAAAAGCTTGTATCGGCGTGCTTATGGAAAGGGAAAAAAGTCGTTACATTTACTTAACAATCGCCGGTTTTCGCTCGTTTGCGCAAGCAAATATCAGGCTACAGGCTCAGCCACTATCCCACAATACAGCAGGCGCTTCAATCGCTTTACAAAGGGAATTAAATTGAGTAGAGTGAATGTTCTTAAAGAGACAATATGGTTGACGGCAAATCACAATTATGATTTCAGTCCAACATAGCGCGACACTAAATTGCATCAATTTTGAAACCGCACAATTTAATTGCCTAACCACAGGATTTTTGTCGCTACCAATAGCTTATCGATCCAGAGCCTCAAGAGACATTGCTCTTAATGAGTAAATCATACTCCTAAATCTGACATCGGATTGGTTGTCTCGTTTTAGAGTTCCATTCCTGAAACTGTTGACGCAAGATTACAACGGTTATGTTTCAACACAACATTCATTATCACCTAACCCAGTCCCGCGCGTGTCACTTAGTTCATTAGCAATTACTAGACATTGTGACGTCAATGGTGGAATGTTCTCTGCTTTGTTATCCAACTGAAATGGATGACTTACAAATTGTAGAAAGCGATGGAGAGAGAAAGTTTTTGCAATATTTACATGGGTATCCCGGGGAACCAGAATGGCTCTCTGTATTACTTGACGAAAAACAAGCTCTACAGGAACCGGAAAAAACAGAAATACAGCAGGTTAGTCTTACGCTATTGGCAGGGTCATCGAGACACATTACAAGTAAATTAGCTGAACTTTGCCACGTACCAGCATAGTAAGACAACTTTTAACGACCAGATAACACGCATTAGTACCATTAAAGGGAAACCGTCGTCGTTGAGCATGCGCATTAGTACCCATCCAAACTTTACAAGTTTTAAAATGGCTTCGGGCGGCGGTGGATACGGTCTAAGAAGAAATACGGGACGGAAACGGAAGAGCGTGGTTTAAACGGAAACCGTCTTCGTTGAGCGTGTGCGTTTGTATACGAAACAATGAAGAAAAGAAGAAATAATAACTGTAAATATATGAAAATCATATATGTACACTGCGGTTGAAGAAACGAATATAGAAGCGATCCTCGCTGTTACGAACACTACTGAATTAGTAGTTGAAATAAGGCGTGAAAAAAATTCAGGCCCGTGCGGAATTTAAACCCATGACCTCTGCGATACCGGAAGAAGAAATCTTTCCTTGGATGGTGAAGCATTTTGAAGAAAGAAAGAACTTAGTTAACAGACTTTTTAAGATCCATATCTCGATTCGTACACTTTTGGGAGACCTTTTTTTTTTTCTTTTATTAGTATTCCTTTTCCTTTTCTCGTTTTCAGTTTATCAGAAATCCAAGAATTGTGAAATATCTTGAAATACAATCCTATTAGAGAAAAAGCTCACCTTGAATGTATTAGTTCTTGCATTGTGTTTTTTATGTCGTTGGCCAGTGAGCTTCCCAGCAGGTATGGCTCCGTGTTCCACCAACCGACGAGATTTCCTTAGCACCGTTTCGTTTTTACCCTTCGCAGAATTGTGCAAAGCCCTGTTTTATCAAGGGAAGTCACCCACTCTAATACATACTTTCGTTGTCTTTAACAGATGCTGGTAAATTTACGGATCCATGTAAGAGTTCTCTACGAAAAACAAAAGAGTCTGGCCGACAAAGTAGAAACCTCTGAACTGTTGGCCGAGAATAGATTAGAGCGTCTGTCAGATAAAGACAAGCAAATTGGGAAACTGTCACAGTGGATAAGCGATCTAAAGCGACAACTTGAGCAAGAGCAACTACGACTAAATCTGAAACTTAAAGACGTCAAACATGCTGCTGAGAAAGAAAAAGTTGAGTTTCAAAACGAGAAGGAGAGGGTTGTGGCGGAGTTGGAAAACGAAAAAAGATCATTGCAAAGAGAGCTCTACGAGAGCAGGCATGAATTAACCCAGCTACAGAATCGCTTAGATAAGTCCGTGCAGGAAACAGCGAACGTGATAGATAATTTCAAGTTCTTCTATGAAGATTATCTTAGGTTGGAACAAGATCTGTCTAATATCGAGCGAGAGCTAATACCAATACAAAAGCAGTTCCTCCAACTAGCTGAAACCATGAATATAGACCCTGAAGAGTTACAGCGCAAGCTCGAAGAAATTAAGGAAGCTCTCAGAAAGAGCAAAAGTCACAAGAATATAAAGGACGTCTTTGATAAAGTCTTGATAGCTGCTGATAAAGATCATACGCCTCAAGAGGATCCAGCTGCGTCCTCTTCTGGTGGTAGCAGTAACTCAGACAGCTTCACTAAGGGTCAGTTAAGACTGAGTTCGTCCAGCAAAACTAAACAGAGGGAACCGTCCTGTCCTTTCAGCCAAAAATTACTTTTCGAGGAGTTGGAACATGGATCGCCCAAAGAAGCAGATGAAAATGTTATCGTACAGAAAGGAACACTGAAAAGATCAAAGCTTCGCGTAAAGATTCCAAAGTTTCAATGGAAAACACGGTAAGTTGCCACTTCCTGACGAAGGAATTCCCCGAACAAGAGGTTAATCGGTTAATTTTCCTTCTATAGCACGGTCCTTCAAAAAGGGAAAATAAAGCTCTCGCAAAAGATTTGCCCTCGGTCTTGATAATTCTCGCTGTCATGATCAACCTCATCCAGCAGTTGTTAGTTAACAGTCGTTGTCTTTTTTTCTTTGATTTGATCTTTCCGATATTTACAAACAACATCTAGTCGCACAGTTTGTTGCTGCACCGGTTGAATCAAGTTATTAAAAGAATTTGTCAATAAAGTAGTCAACTTTGTGGATGTTTCATAAGATCTCCAGTCGATAACTCGCATGATATCAGCTCCGACATCAACCTCTACACCAACAGAAAATTGAAACGCGTCCAGAAAGAAAAACTGAATCAGGTATATGTGATCGAGATGAAAATTGCACGGAAATGTCGGCATAAATATACTCTCAAAGGAGGTGTTCCGACCTAAGAATCTGTGAAATTGGCTGGTACCGTCATTCTCAGTACTATTTTGTTTTTGTGTTGGCTCAAGATTAATGGGAAAAAATGGAGCCTGCTCGTTTCTTCCTTTTTATTTCCTTGTTTTCTTTTTTCCGATGGGATTATGACTGCAACAGTGTTGATGTGCTTGTTTTGATCAGATCACCCGCCAAACGCTGAATATTTCTCGGGAAAAACCGACTATTGTTATGCCGTACTGATTCGATTCAGTGGCATCCTTTCAATAAGCACCCACTCCCCCCTCCCCCCTCCTCTTACAATCGCTCCCCTCGAATCTGTTGTTGTTAATAGGCGACAGTTCCAAAAAGCGTCCCTATTAATTAATCACCCTCATTCCAATAAGCGCCCCTTTTCCAATAAACACCCCTGTTCTGTTTCAGTAATAGAACTGCCAGAGTGCTTGTACACTGAGATGCACCGTGGCTCATCCTCCTTTAATTGCTCACTTAAAGCCTCACGATAGAAAAAGTGGTCTTCGACTCAGTTTCGCAATTTTTATGTCGCTGTGAGTGCACAGTTCCTTCAAACGATTGCTTGGCTAGTCGTTCTAGCGAGGAAGGATCCATCAATGGACAACAAGTCCGTTTTCCAGTCTTTTTGATTATCAATCAAATAAACATCAAAGCTTTGTTTTACACTCTGATGTTTCTCAAAAAATTGTAAAGAAGTAAGCGCCCTGTTTCAAATAAGCCGCCTCCCTTGTGGTAACGAAAGTAAAACCTGGCGCTGAATCGAATCATTTCATATTTGTGGAAACAAAATGATCATATAGATAAAATATATATTTGTTTATTTCTTTCAGGATTTGAAGAAACAAGTTAAAACTTTTTTTAAATCACTTGACTGCTTATATCGCTTCAGAGTTCAGTTCGCAGAGAACACTTCACTCGTCATGCAGTTCTCGTGAACTTTGTCAGTTATACTTAACAACGAAAGTTGCATTCCTCTATCTTGTTTTTGATCGGCATTTCTTTTGATTGTATTTGTATTTTTTTTTACTTCTTTCCATTTAAGCGAATACACATATTGATTTGTAATCAGTGTCAATAAAGGAACAAGCCAGTGCATTTGTTCAAAGAAATTTTACTTTCCTATTAGAACATTACCCCTTGATAGCTCTCTGCATAATTATAAAAAAAAAACGCTGTGTTCGCAATACTGAATTTAATTTGAACCGTCGTGAAAAAGTCTTGACCAGGGTTGTCAAACTGTATTCACCTGTCACGGAAGCTTCGAAAAAAAACTTTTTTCATCGCTCGGCAATTCTTAGCAAAACTCGTATTCTTCAGGATGGGAGAGAAAAAATGAGATAAAAATAAAACTACTAAGAGTAAAAATTATTGGACGGTCAGTTTTTCTGTTTATTGACTGACGAATTTCAATGACTTATTTTAATGGATATAGGATTTTTGAGAATCGTGATTAACTGCCCGATTACGCGTTTGGGAAGATTACTTCTATAATTTCACTTTTCATTGCCTGTATTATTAATTAATTTCTATTTTTTTACGTTTCGATCAAATCCTTTGTATCGTATGACCTGTGACTCACTCCACTCTTATAAAAGCACCTCTTCGCGAGTTTTTCTTCTTTCTTTTTAAGGGGTTCAGCATTAGCACTCTAGATAGCCCCTCTCCTCTCTGATTACTTAGAATTAAGACCTTACTGTTTCCTCACATATAACTTATCGACTATATACTAAACAATTGTTGGATGGGGTTTTTGTGATATCTAGAATTATCAAGGTCGAGGCAGGAAGGCTCCGGCTAATAACCCTTACCGAGACCTTGATTACTCTAAATATCACAAAAACCGGATCTAATAATTGTGTCATTATACATTTAATATAAAATTGAATTGAACGGGAAAAAAAGGGTCACGGCAGTAAGTGAAACTGATAATTTATTTCTAAATGTGTAAAAATAAACAAATCAGCAAGCAACACTGAAAGCGATCGAACTTGACATGATTACTCATAGAAATCATGCACCGCAGTCAGACATGATATGAGTACCTTGAGTGTCTTTGACATGATTATTGTATAATCTGCAGCTAAATGACGTCCTAAGCGCTGATTTAAAAAATTTACCGTACGCTTTCGGCCAATCAGAGAAGATGCAGTAAGTTGAGTGTGTAATAGCAATAATAATCCGTTATTGGACATCTAGCAGCCTACATGATGGATTTGTAACTTCTATTAGGACCGCTGTCTCACAAACTTGTGTGTTCGGTCCTCGATGACAACCTCAAAAAGCCTTCGACGTGGTATATACGCCATGGCTGAATGCCATATAGACGACAAAATGGCTGACAATATATATGCTTTAAGCTTCATGTAAAACTTACAATATGTCCTAGTTAGCCATGTTCTACCACGTTAACCCACATCTACCTTAAGTTAGCCATGTTCTACCTCGTTCACCCACATCTACCCTAAGTTAACCATGTTCTACCACGTTAACCCATATCTACCCTAAGTTAACCATGTTCTACCACGTTAACCCACATCTACCCTAAGTTAGCCATGTTCTACCACGTTAACCCACATCTACCCTAAGTTAACCATGTTCTACCACGTTAACCCACATCTACCCTAAGTTAACCATGTTCTACCACGTTAACCCACATCTACCCTAAACTAGCCATGTTCTACCACGTTAACCCACATCTACCCTAAGTTAGCCATGTTCTACCACGTTAACCCACACCTACCCTAAGTTAACCATGTTCTACCACGTTAACCCACATCTACCCTAAGTTAACCATGTTCTACCACGTTAACCCACATCTACCCTAAGTTAACCATGTTCTACCACGTTAACCCACATCTACCCTAAGTTAACCATGTTCTACCACGTTAACCCACATCTACCCTAAGTTAGCCATGTTCTACCACGTTAACCCACATCTACCCTAAGTTAGCCATGTTCTACCACGTTAACCCACATCTACCCTAAGTTAGCCATGTTCTACCACGTTAACCCACATCTACCCTAAGTTAGCCATGTTCTACCTCGTTAACCCACATCTACCCTAATTTAGCCATGTTCTACCACGTTAACCCACATCTACCCTTTGTTAGCCATGTTCTACCACGTTAGCCCACATCTGCCCTAAGTTAGCCATGTTCTACCACGTTCACCCACATCTACCCTAAGTTAACCATGCTCTACCACGTTAACCCACATCTACCCTAATTTAGCCATGTTCTACCACGTTAATCCGCATCTACCCTTTGTTAGGCATGTTCTACCACGTTAACCCACACCTGCCCTAAGTTAGCCATGTTCTACCACGTTAACCCACACCTACCCTAAACTAGCCATGCTCTACCACGTTCACCCACATCTACCCTAAGTTAACCATGTTCTACCCCGTTTACCCACATCTACCCTAAGTTAGCATTACATTTCCTTTTCACGTTTAGTAAATATATCAAGTATACCAAAAGTACCATTCGTCAGACAAGCGCCATCTTGAATGGTGCAATCTTTTCTGTGACCTCCAAAGTTTTGTTTCACACTCGCGTGAGATACGTATAAGTCTTCTCCACAGCCGTTGTTTACTGATCTCGTCAAGATTTTTTTACTTATAGTTTGTTTCAATATATTCGATTTTTTTCATAACGGTAAAGCGTTGTGTCGTCCAGTTTTGTACTGATTCAAACAAAACTGGGCATACAATGCAAAGATTTCCAAATAAAGCAAATTTGAAACAACAAAGGGTTAAATTTGTTCAAGTAAAAGGAGTCCACTTCGTCGAGCCGTTCGAACATTTTGTTGTTTGTAGCAGTCATTTTTCTCCCGATTGCGATGAGAAAAGCTACATGGTTGAAATGAGCCTTAAAATGCAAAAACAACTTCTTCCTAGTGCTGTACGGACGATTCAGGCCCTACCGGAAGCAAATGATTCTGAAGTAAAGAGGGGACCCATACAGTCGGCAGACGGCGAGGATTCGGAAGTGGCCGACCGCACTGACAAAAAACCGAGGAGAAGTGAAGTTCTTCAAAAGTTAGAGGTCATCAGAGTAAGTACTAAATTGATTGACATGGAAACCCTACGAGTATTAAATAACTAAAGCTTTATCGATTCTCTAAAAGCACCTTTTTTCTCATCAATTGAAAGATTGTGGGGAAGCCAGTTCGGGAGCCAGCGCTGAGCCCATAGAAGACATTAACCTGTCTGAACCTTTGCATGAATTCGAAACATATGTCAAAGAAAGAGAATTCGTTGATGTGGGTTTGTAATGTAATGAGCAATTTTTTTGGTTTGATATAAAGAATTTTATACATGGTGCTATAATTGACTCTTATTTCTATATGGGAATCCATGCCAACCCCACTTGCCGCTTCCTTTGAGAAACCCTGCAAAGAAACAATAGTTGAAGAATTTATGTCACAGTTTTCACAGCAGTGGAATTACATTCAAAGATCAGAAGGACTATTTTTTTTTATTCTGAGTATAGCTCAAAAGATCCCGATTCCAGATTGTGAAACTATCTTTTAGTATTTTCAATGGAAGCAAACACCAACAGGATTCGATAATTATGCAGGCCATACAAAGAAATGTAGAAGTTACAACTTGCTTAAAGATGAAAATGCTTTGGAGATAAAGGAAAGCAATACATAAATATCTCCTAACAAACAGGCACAACTGCTATTGCTGTAAGACATAAATAACCATATCTGCATTAACATGTACCTTTTCTCTCAAAGGCTAGGGGTTTAATACAGTGAAAAACGTTCCAAAAACCCGCCGGAAAAGTGTTTCGGATTTTGTTTACCGCACAAGATTTTTTTTTGTGATTTCTTTCTTCTTTTTTTTGCGTTTTACAAAACTTTACTCTACTTACAATACACTACAGGACTCAGTTACAATGCGTCACTTACAATAATTTACTGAGAACACACTACTAACAAAGTATAGTTTACAATAAACTTGATTACAGAAGATGACTTACTCTCGATTACTTACACTACCAACACAATACTCTACATTTTCATTATTTTACGACAAATTACACTACTTTTAATATGTTACGGTAAATAACTTACAGTATCTTACTAATAGTATATAGCGAAATTGTATGCTTTACAATAAAATTTGATTCTTCTGCTACTCTGCATTGTTTGGATGACACCCATCACATAAAACGATATGTGGCAAAAGCTTATCCCATTTCTGAAAATGTTTTGCTAATTTATTCCGCTTTGCTGCTATCTTCACTTCTACCTGTTATATCTCCCCGATCTTGGCCTTATAAACTCGTATAGAGGGATTCTTAGAATTCAATTTACACTTGTATATATAAAATTTAGCTGTCAGTATTAGATGATTTAGAATAATCAAGTCCTCTTCTGCATTGAAAACTCCAAAAAATATATCCATTATTGAAAATGTTTGAAAGTTAAATTGACATTCACCAAGCCAAGAACAGAAAGCTTCCCAGAAGGCCTTTGTAACATTGCAGTAGAAAAATATATGTTCGAAGGATTCAACCACTCTACAAAAAGTGCATAAAGGCGAATCTGACAATCCCCACTTAAACAATCTTTCGTTTGTTAGTACTATATTATTTAATACTTTATATTGGAATTCTCTAATTTTAGTTTAAATTGTGACGGTAAAAGGCGAGGAGTATATTTTCTTCCAGTCAAACGGAAACTGTGGAAATTTTTCATCGAACTTTTTTTGCGCAGTTGGAGGGATATGCTTTTTGCTTTTAAACGCGTTATAAAGTGATTTGGACGTGATTTTTGCTAGCATTACATCAGAATTTTCTAATTTCAAATAAATTATGTCATCGGTATGAGAAGGGAGATGTTGAGCGCTTTGTCTAATAATACGCCTCCAGTCACGAGGAATGGCGTCTAAGCTACGACGCTCATTAACCTAAAATGTGGTATCGGAGATAAATTTGCATGTAATACCTTCACATCCTTTAAGAAGATTCCAGTGTCAGAAATGAGATCACCGATCGTAAAAATTCCTTTAGAAAGCAAATGTTTTTCGAAAAGTGAGATCTTTTGGACAGTATTATTTTTATTTTTCCATATAACCTGGTGACCTACATCTTCATACGAAAGTATCGAAGGTTGCCTTAACATGGACCAAGCGTCCAGGCACTCCTTATAAAAGGTCGGAAGTTAGATAGGTAACTGTCTGGTATCAAAATTAGACTTAAGAACAAATTCTCCCCCTACCTGAGAAAGGAAGTAATTCAATGTTATTTTCTAAGAGCTGTTATAATCTTTATTTGTAAATCTTTTTAATACCATCACCTTCTGTGCGAGGATCATCGACTGAATATCCAACATCTTAAGCTCTCCATCCTCGTATCATTGATAAGAGCGGCGCGTTAATTTTATCATTGTGTTTCCAATTAAAACGGTACATCAGACTGTTGACCTCTTTAATTAAATCATCTGTGACTGTAATCAACGACCCTTTACTCAAGACTTTGGGGATAATAAACGATTTAACAAGCTGTATCCTTCCCAGAAGCGTAAGCCCTCTCCATTTCCACATATTTATTGTATTTTTGATAGACTATATAAAATACCTTCGGAAGCTCAGCTTAAAAAATTTCTATGCATTCCTTTAGGTTGTACCCTTGCTTTATTGGATTTTTATGCCAAATACAAATAAATAACACGGTAAATTAAATACCAGTCTGAGTTTCCGAGACGACCATTAACGCTGTCAACATGTTCCGTTCTGTCTTCGTGCGGATCGTTTCGGTGAACCCTACGCGGCTCATATTGTTAAGGACGTGGCCCAGACTCCCCTAAAGATTCTGGATTATCTCCATCGCTGCCATATGCTAATCTTAAGGCATTCGAGTCACTCCCTTCTAAAAAAAAACATCGTCCGCAGAACTACTGCTATTTGCACGAGCTGCCATACCAATTACACTGTAGAATACGTGTTGCGCGATACTTTAGTGCCACCGCTTATTTAAGTCACTACTTCTCGCTACTGTTTTCACCGGAAGTGGAATTTCAGTTAAAATGACGATTTTTTTCCCTGAAATAAGTCAAATGGACAAAACGAACTGCGAGTTCGTTTCCTATGCCACTTTTCTACATTGAATAAGGAAAACATGTATTACACTCCCTTTAACAATTCACGACATCTTCAATGACTCAAACGAGAAAAGAAGAAAATAAAACGCTGTTCCAAAATCGTAACGAGCGTGACACAAAGGGAAGAGGAACTAAACGAGGGGAACTCAAATTGATTGAAAAGATTTGAGTTCCCCTCGAGAATCGAATCTCCTTCCTTCCAATTTCGCAGAGGGTGTTATTAACAATGATCAACCACAGCAGCATCCAACCACAAAATCACAATGCTCGAGCTTCGAATCCGTCCATGTTCGGGGTTACAAGATGTTGCGGGGCTGAGTTTCATCACCAGGCCCGGTTGTTCAAAAGTAGGATAACGCTATCCACTGGATAAATCGCCATCCACTGGATAGTGCAGTACGTTTTCTCAACAGTTATCCGCTGGATAGTGATTTATCTGTTGAACAGCGTTATCCACTTTTTGAACAACTGGGCCCAGATCTATAACAAAGGACATTCTGTTACTCAGTTTTTATTTTCACGTGATAACAAAGTAAGTCAAAGGGATTACAATAACTTTCCGAGTCAATCACTGTACCTAACTCGCTACAAAAACTGTCTCTACAGAGAGGGCTTGATGAAAGAAAAATCCAACTCAAGCAAATTTAAAAGACACAAGGATCTTGACATAATATCAAAACTCTTTTCTAAAAACCGAAAACTAAACACTATATTAAAGATAGTAAATATGAAAGCGATCTTCGCAGTAATGAAGTTAATATGAAGTATATAGACAAATATGATTGTCATAGATTCACAGTTATATAAAAACATACGGCAAACTTTAATGTTCAATTTACATAGAAACTACCTCGATGCTGCAATTCACCAAGAACGGAAATCTCAACTTAAAATTGAATTAAATTTTACGATGCAACTGAAACATTCGTAAGATTCATATTGAAAAACATCACCAACACGACCTACTAGCGAAATAAACTGCTTCCCAATCTACAAATAAAGTAGATGGTCCTTTGAAATAAATTCTTTGTGAATAAATCTTCCAAGTTTAACTTTCTACTCATTCCAGAAACAAATGTAAAAAATTCGCCAAAATTTTTTAACTGAGGAAGTGCCCACTACTTCTTGAGTCTCTTAAAATACTTTAACTATTTCAATCGCGATCAGTGAAACGGAAATTAGTTTTTTAAAATTCAATTGTAAGCAAAATCTACCATAGTTCACCGACTATTCTGCAACACACTGTTGTCTTTCGTATTATGCACTAAGAAATTAAAATTGAGTTAATTTAAAAACTAGTGTATTTTTACTGACAGACAATATCGCTACATGCCGAGATAATCAGGACGTTTTAAAACTGAGACATTAAGCCTTTAAAACCAAGCTAAATCGCCGAAAATACCGAGGAAGTTCCTGTCGCCGGAGAAGTTGGTTTCAAATCGTTGCCAAAAACCATCACCAAGGATCTCGTCTTTTCTACAAACAGGATAAAAAGGGTCAGAAAGGAAAATAGAAACTGTTCATTTTAACATAGGTTGAATACGTCCCTGAAGTAAGAAACCTGTTTAACACACCGATATATGTAGAAGTATCAGAAATTGAAGGAGTGATGAACTTAATAATCAACATTTACGATACGAGCTATGCGTAGCAACAGCGCGGAACGAGCTAATATTCCTTTCACTCATTTTGATATACATTGTACACACTCCGAGATTGATATTACGTCATCATGTTCATCATTACACATCCTTGGAAAAGTTTTGGTTAAAGTCTTCCATTAAACCAGAATATCATTTTGCTGCTCATTGGATATCATACGTTGCGATTGCGTGACGAAGAGCAAATCATCTTTGAAGACATAAAAGCCGTTGCAGTTAGCCGCTCGCGAATTTGATCATTTTCGGAGCACTAAAATTTGAATGGCAGAAACTTATACCTAGGCGTGATTGATTCTCTTCATGCAAATATGATGCAGGCTTGATTCAAAGTATATTATCAATTAATATTTGCCTACCTCCATCTGACAATATCCCAAACTCCTATCTTCAAATTCATTCCAGAGTGACGTCATCCCCAATGAGTACAAAGGGTGCCCAGTACTTCACATCGCTGAACTCTTCAGACTCTTTCATGCTCTTCATAGCTTGGTTAAGAGCTTCACTTGCAAGCTTGCCAGTAACCAGTTCTTCATAGAAATGTTTCATAAACACGAGAGTAGCCTTGTCATCAATTGCCCACAGCGACACGAGAACAGAGCGAGCGCCGGCACCTAAAAACGCTCTTGCAATTCCAACAACTCCCTCAGCCTTAATCTCTCCACGACCACTGTGACAACAACTTAACACAACCAGCCTCGCTCGCATCCGAACATCCAGCACATCTTTCATTGTTAGAATAAAATCCTCCTCAACAAAGAGCAGTGATGAGCAGGTACTTCGTGGCGCCAAGGCAATTTCGCCTGTTTCCATTCGGCCATGTGCAGCAAAGTGCACCAAGGCAACAGAGGGAAGTCGCCTCAACACTTCATCTTTTCTTGCTTCTTCACCAATAAGAGGATCAGCGCCAAGGATTCTCCCGAGTATCTCAACTTCTTCTCTCGCACATGGCAGTGGATCGAACTTCCTCCCCTCGTAAAGAACCCCCTCTAAACATGGATCACCCACAAGTAAAGCACTTTTCTTATTGTGGAAGTCGTCTGGGTAATCGTTTATCAACTTCAAAGTAGTCAGGGATGGAGTCATTCGAACTCGGAAAGAGTCACACAAATAATTTGACTCGGGATCCATCAATGCAGCAAAAGGGACAGACCACAATGAACTCTCGGGAACAAAGATAATTTCATCGCCATTGATCAGATCACCAATCGGCTCAATGATAACGTCATACAACATCCTCAAGGCAGCTTTCGGTGAGCTTTCAGGAGAGAAATAACAACGACCTGACCTTTTCTTCGCTAATTCTTCAGCGCATGGCTCATCAAGAGAGCGATCTTCACATTCAATAACACCTCTTTTTAAACGCTCTTGATGCTGTGTTCATTAAGCTTCCAATAAAGGTATTGACATCTTCGAACGAGCCATAATTACTTATCTCAGTACTTCTCAATTGAATATCTTGAAAGCTGTTAATAAACCAGTAGAATATCTTGCGTGCCTTATCATCTACAGCCATGAAAATTGTATGTGAAACAGCACAGTTTGCAAGGACCTCAAGATCACAATTCCCTGGAGTGTGAGGCCCAGGCTGTGTTCCTCCCGACCCATACCTAAAACAAATCAGATCATTAAGAGCCTGTGCACGTCCTTGTTCAGCAGATAAAAGCGCATCCAAAATTTGATCTAGCTCTAAGTGAAGACACCACAAACAAGTGTATGCGGTTCTTTGCATGTCGCGGTAGCTAATCTTCCAATCATCTCTGAACCGCAAATTGGCTCGGATAACGTCAAAAACTACGACGCAAGAACGATACAGGTTGACGGCTCTTTCCAGATTTCCTAACCTCCAATAAGCATTGCCGAGATTGCGATAACTCTTTCCCTCTCCAGCCTTGTCTCCCACTTCTTTGGCAATTTTTAGATGACGTTCATGATACTGGATGGCTCTTTCGAAATCTCCTAGGCTATGATAAGCATTGCCGAGATTGCAGTAACTCTTTCCCTCTCCAGCCTTGTCTCCCACTTCTTTGGCAATTTTTAGATGACGTTCATGATACTGGATGGCTCTTTCGAAATCTCCTAGGCTACGATAAGCATTGCCGAGATTGCAGTAACTCGTTCCCTCTCCAGCCTTGTCTCCCACTTCTTTGGCAATTTTTAGATGACGTTCATGATACTGGATGGCTCTTTCGAAATCTCCTAGGCTATGATAAGCATTGCCGAGATTGCAGTAACTGATTCCCTCTCCAGCCTTGTCTCCCACTTCTTTGGCAATTTTTAGATGACGTTCATGATACTGGATGGCTCTTTCGAAATCTCCTAGGCTATCATAAGCATTGCCGAGATTGCCGTAACTCTTTCCCTCTCCAGCCTTGTCGCCCACTTCTTTGGCAATTTTCAGATGACGTTCATGATACTGGATGGCTCTTTCGAAAATCCTAGGCTATGATAAGCATTGCCGAGATTGCAGTAACTCTTTCCCTCTCCAGCCTTGTCTCCCACTTCTTTGGCAATTTTTAGATGACGTTCATGATACTGGATGGCTCTTTCGAAATCTCCTAGGCTATGATAAGCATTGCCGAGATTGCAGTAACTCTTTCCCTCTCCAGCCTTGTCTCCCACTTCTTTGGCAATTTTTAGATGACGTTCATGATACTGGATGGCTCTTTCGAAATCTCCTAGGCTACGATAAGCATTGCCGAGATTGCCGTAACTCTTTCCCTCTCCAGCCTTGTCTCCCACTTCTTTGGCAATTTTTAGATGACGTTCATGATACTGGATGGCTCTTTCGAAATCTCCTAGGCTACCATAAGCATTGCCGAGATTGCAGTAACTATTTCCCTCTCCAGCCTTGTCTCCCACTTCTTTGGCAATTTTTAGATGACGTTCATGATACTGGATGGCTCTTTCGAAATCTCCTAGGCTATCATAAGCATTGCCGAGATTGCCGTAACTCTTTCCCTCTCCAGCCTTGTCGCCCACTTCTTTGGCAATTTTTAGATGACGTTCATGATACTGGATGCCTCTTTCGAAATCTCCTAGGCTATGATAAGCATTGCCGAGATTGCAGTAACTATTTCCCTCTCCAGCCTTGTCTCCCACTTCTTTGGCAATTTTTAGATCACGTTCATGATACTGGATGGCTCTTTCGAAATCTCCTAGGCTATGATAAGCATTGCCGAGATTGCAGTAACTGATTCCCTCTCCAGCCTTGTCTCCCACTTCTTTGGCAATTTTTAGATGACGTTCATGATACTGGATGGCTCTTTCGAAATCTCCTAGGCTATCATAAGCATTGCCGAGATTGCAGTAACTGATTCCCTCTCCAGCCTTGTCTCCCACTTCTTTGGCAATTTTTAGATGACGTTCATGATACTGGATGGCTCTTTTGAAATCTCCAAGCCTATGATAAGCATTGCCGAGATTGCAGTAACTCCTCCCTTCTCCAGCTTTGTCCCCTTCTTCAATAGAAAAATGCAAATTGTTTGCATAGTGGAGGATCTTTTGGACAGCCGTTTGAGGTAGCTGATTGTTGATTTGTATATCCTAAGGTTTAAAATTAGAAATATTGAAATTGTTTGACTACCTTTTATCCCCATGGTTTATCTTTCCTTAATTACGTTTCTGGATGGCTTATTACATGGGCCAGACTTGCTTATGGTGCTACTCAATTTATGCAACAAAGCCAGCTGGATATGGACTGAGAAGGTTACCCTTATAGTGCACTTAACTACTATATATATATATATACGGAAAAATTGAGCTGGTCTGTCTTCCATGGAAGCGTCCCTTTCCGCGTTACCTCTTGGTTTTCGATTAATTTTTAAGTCGTAAACTTTCTCTTACCTCGATTTTCTCTTTGGTATCGTCACGGTTAGTGTTAATTTCCTGATTAATTCTAGTTTCATCTGTGCCATCAGTTGGTTGATTATCACACTCGGTCCACAAATAAAGTAACTTCTTATTGTTGTTGTTAATCTTAAAAGGCTCGAGTCAAAGAATTTGCCCTCTAAAGAGTTTTAGGTCAGTTCTATTTACACTACAATTTCAAACTCAACACAGTTTATGCCAGCATTCAATCCAGTGTAATGAAAATTGGCCACAATAGCTGAAAGTAATACAAATACAGCTATTACCACCTCTACTGCTTCTATTACCGGTAATGGTGAGGGTGGTAGAAGCAGAAGTACTACCAGTGCAAGAAGCACAGCCAGCATTATTGTGCAAAATTGTGCACTTAATTCTCATGGTCTAGATTAGTTGTGTTAACGAATATATAAGCTTACATGTAAATGTGCACCTGACTCCGCACACTTGCGGTGACTGGAGCTGGCAATGACACTGCCAATGGCGCAGGCAGACGGTTTTAACTCCAGTGATAGGACATGAGAGAAAAGGAATTATAGAACTTTGTTTTTAGGCATGAGGTTTGATAGGAATTTGGAGTTGTTTGGCACCTACTGAGCATTATGGTAAGAGCTGATATAGTTAAGGGCATCACTCAGGTGAACGTTTGAACCCAGTACTGTTTAAGATGATTTCTGGTGTTGTTGGCCGTCTAATATACATGACAAGTCGCCCGGTTTCTTGAATTCGTATATTTATCAGAGTCAACAAGGTATGGGAACCGCCTACTTTTCGCTATTTTACATGAGTAATTAAATGAAAGAAATCTCCAAAGCAGAATTGGCTTTTTCTACATTGGTCAAAGGATACTGCCAATCCTTTCTGACACCAGGTAATGGCTTCTTGATACAAGTGTTGTTGTACACATGCACTGGCCCCTTAAAGAAATTGAAAAAAATTGATATCAAGAAAGATCATTTTTCGCATTGCGGATAATAAAGGACCTCAACTTGTACTTCTATTTCAATCTTACAAATCTTAACTTTAGTGATGTCTCGAAATGTACACAGTCAAAGTAAATTACCAGACTCGAGACCGAGTGTGAGATGGAGACTGGTTAAGAAATTGAGAGGTATACATGGGTGCGCGTAGATATGGAATTTCTCTTCGAGTGATCAACACGATAGCCTACGAGTGAGACTGGATGACAGGGGAAGAGGAGGATATCGGGTTGAACACTCGAAGAGAAGTTCCATTTCTTTAAGCAGCCATGTATTATTCTGTATGTTATATAAAAATAATACTAATTTATGACAATAAAAGTCGGCTTTATTAATAAATGAAAAAAGGATCCTCGACCCTCGAAAAAAAAGTTGTAAAGTGCGTGGGCGATAAGGCTCATCGTAATTTTACACGTGTGCTGGTAAGACATTTCTCAGGCCTGGTAATCATTGCAAAACATCACAGTTTATATAATATACGTAATGATATAGCAGCTTTTTCATTAACTATCAAAACTTACAACTTAATCCAAAACCCTATAAGAGTAGGCGGATTACTTTTCAAAATGAGAAATTTTGAATTTTCATTGTGCTTTTGCAAGAAGATCTGTCAAATGCAAAGTCGAAATTAAGACAATAAATTAGGTTGTGAAATGATTTAAGGAGATCAGACAATGCGGAACCCCAGCACAAGCTTTTTTCCTGAATGATCAACTGGTCAGATGAGTCCAATCTTTCGGTCATCCTCGGAGACATTTTCTGCATGTCTCAGGAATTGCAGAGAACTTACCGATTTCTATTGCTTCAATGAAAGTTGGTGCCAATTGAGCAGACACTGTAGCGTCATCCAAAGCTTCTTCCCAATTTCCTGACAAAATAATTTGGTGTGAGTACGGAAGGACAAATTCTCAACTTTCAGAACTAGAGTCTACTTTAAACGTTTCAGTTACTGATGTCTTCTCAGTGCTGGGTAAGTTGCCAAATTAGCAAAAAAGTCTTGCGAGAGCATCTGAATTTCGGTCTGTCTGATTTTCATATATCTGATTGGCTAATTTGAGGTTCACAATTTTTAGTGTCAGGTTTTATCCCATCTTTCAAATAGCCAGCGGACGAATAGAGAATCGGCCAGAGCGAGTGATGTTGGTGACGGGGCCATGCATTGAGCCTGTCCCAGTCATGCCAGCGCTACCTTCCCATATTACCTTGAGGTTGCTGCAAGCACGGAGAAAGTTTTCATTCACGCACACCATTCGAACTGTAGATGATTGTAATATCAAAATGAATACAAAACTGGAATGATTGATTAATTCTTACCCAGAAGGAGCTGAGCCGCTGCTCTGTTGCTATAGAGTATGGCGTTTAGTTTGACATCTTTGCAGTTCACTTGCAGTCCCTCCGAGTAAAAGTGTACAGCATTGTTGGTTTCTCCTTTGCTGTACTCGTTGTCACCTTCTTTCAAGTACACCTCCGCCATCGCTAACAGAAAGAAGAAAACATGATGATATAGAATATAACTCAATAGGGATGCACAAAATAGCAGCCAGACATATACAGATGCGTAAAATATCCAAGAGAGCAGCAGTTTGAACCGGCTGTCAAACGTTAAAGTCATTTTGTTGACTTGCAAAATTTGTCTGCATTTTTCCTGTTCCATGATCACTAAGCGGTACAGGTCCCTTTGTGTGCCTCTCTTAAAAGGATTGCGTAACCCTAATTGACTCGATGACCATACCTTATTGAATAGGTTGTGTTTATTTTAATTGTTATTATCACCTTTTAAGGTTGCATCATCAAATTGCGATGTACCATCTGACGGTAAAACGGCCGGAACGTCTATAACGAGAGAAAAATAATCAGACAAGTATATAGGGGACAAGGATCTTTCTGATCTCTCTGTTGGCCTCCAAGCATTGTGGCGTGATAGTTCAGCCACTGAACAGTTTCAAACCTAAATTGTACCATACCAGCTCAAGTAAAGTTAAGAATCAAATACGTTGGAACATTTAGCAAACATAGACAAACACTGATAAGTTCATTCAAAACAACGTGAATCGAAGTATTTGGGAAAATAGTCAAACTCCATCTCCAGTGCTTGATATATGTTACCCATCGAAACTAAAATTAAGATGTAGAAGCGGCGAAATAAGGTTTTAAAAAAGTACGCCGTGTAAAGAAGATTCCTGTCATACATAAGATATGATACATAAGATACACGCCACGGTACCGGCATGCCTTGTGATTAAACAATTAAACACTGATTAATGAGTTTAACGGAGAGATATATGTTGATCTTATCGACAAAATCAACAAAAACGTCAGGTGCTGGACTCCATCGAGGCGGAGGTGAGAGGAAGAACGATAGAGACCTTAAGATGGACAACGGAAAAGTAGATGAAGAGGAACTGATTTACCTGGAGAGAGGTTCTGAGGACAAAGCGAAGAAACGATCGTACTGGTGGTCCTTTTTCATAAGGTTAGATACCCAAAGGCACGAAAAGGACAACAACTTTTCTGAGTTTTTTTTGTTTTATTTTTATGTTCCTTACGAGATCACATTTATTATTCCATACAGTCTGAGAAATACGCTATCCTAAAGGTTGGATTTTTTTCTTAGTATAAGAGTTTTGGCGTGGAACTGAGTTTCCTTTCAATTCAAGAATTGGTATCTGAAACATGGAAATGAATCACACCATAAATTCATGTTGTGACTATGACCTGCATGTAAGACCACTTTACTCACCTGCCTGAATATCATCAGCTAAATTCACTTTTAAGTCACCAGATCTGACTTGACGTTCCTCTGCAGCTGGAAAACACAACATCACGTTCATGGTGAAACCATTACCCTTAAAAAACAAGACCTTTCACAAGTGGTTTTACTTTTATTTTTCATCATGCTTGAGCGAATCTGTAAAATAATGTGTTTTGCTAATCACCCTGGAAATGATAATCATGTGACATTTTCCGTAACAGAAAGTTAGTTGTAATTAAGGTTTTTTTTTTCTTACCGTCTGTAGATTTCCCATCATCAACGCTGACCTTACCATCTTCCGCCATCACTGCAAAAGAACCAAATACTCTAAAACTTCATGATATCAATTTTGAGATCAATCTCACCGGCTTTGGTTGTATTAAACTGAAATCGAAAAGGAAGGGCTTTCAACATTTATACCTGCTTAGATTTGCAGGTATGCCTCAGTCCACAACCAAGCCTCAGCCATGTATAATTCCTAACTAATTTAAGTATTAGCTCTTTTAGCCCAAAATTCAACATAACCATTTCTTCGTTCACTTCTCATTAGTTGATTTTTCGTAATAACTTTTCTGATAATGATATAAATGGGCGAAAACAATCAAGACAGTTGAGTATTCCACAATTGTTTCTTGAAGAAAGTTCAAGGCTTTGACGGAAAATGAAATTCCCAGATAGTACGAAATCGAGGGGTTCATTCGGAGAATTAAGAGCTATTATAGCAGGATTGGTAACATTGATTTTGAGCCACAACCAACCTGTGTTATTCAGAGTAAACAGAGCGACCTTGGCGCACAAGCGTTAGATAAGTCACATGACCTGTCAACCTAAAGGAAAAAACACGCTATTTCAGCCCTTAA